CAAGTCTAAAAGTCGCTCTTTTTCAGTCTAAAAGTCCGTTTTCAAGTCTAAAAGTCGCCTTTCTCAGGCTAAAAGTCCGTTTTCAAGTCTAAAAGTCGCCTTTCTCAGTCTAAGAGTCCGTTTTCAAGTCTAAAAGTCGCTCTTTTTCAGTCTAAAAGTCCATTTTCAAGTCTAAAAGTCGCCTTTCTCAGTCTAAAAGTCCGTTTTCAAGTCTAAAAGTCGCCTTTCTCAGTCTAAAAGTCCGTTTTCAAGTCTAAAAGTCGCCTTTCTCAGTCTAAAAGTCCATTTTCAAGTCTAAAAGTCGCCTTTCTCAGTCTAAGAGTCCGTTTTCAAGTCTAAAAGTCGCTCTTTTTCAGTCTAAAAGTCCATTTTCAAGTCTAAAAGTCGCTCTTTCTCAGTCTAAAAGTCCGTTTTCAAGTCTAAAAAGTCGCCTTTCTCAGTCTAAAAGTCCGTTTTCAAGTCTAAAAGTCGCTCTTTTTCAGTCTAAAAGTCCGTTTTCAAGTCTAAAAGTCGCCTTTCTCAGGCTAAAAAGTCCGTTTTCAAGTCTAAAAGTCGCCTTTCTCAGTCTAAGAGTCCGTTTTCAAGTCTAAAAGTCGCTCTTTTTCAGTCTAAAAGTCCATTTTCAAGTCTAAAAGTCGCCTTTCTCAGTCTAAAAGTCCGTTTTCAAGTCTAAAAGTCGCCTTTCTCAGTCTAAAAGTCCGTTTTCAAGTCTAAAAGTCGCCTTTCTCAGTCTAAAAAGTCCGTTTTCAAGTCTAAAAGTCGCTCTTTTTCAGTCTAAAAGTCCGTTTTCAAGTCTAAAAGTCGCCTTTCTCAGGCTAAAAGTCCGTTTTCAAGTCTAAAAGTCGCCTTTCTCAGTCTAAGAGTCCGTTTTCAAGTCTAAAAGTCGCTCTTTTTCAGTCTAAAAGTCCATTTTCAAGTCTAAAAGTCGCCTTTCTCAGTCTAAAAGTCCGTTTTCAAGTCTAAAAGTCGCCTTTCTCAGGCTAAAAGTCCGTTTTCAAGTCTAAAAGTCGCCTTTCTCAGTCTAAGAGTCCGTTTTCAAGTCTAAAAGTCGCTCTTTTTCAGTCTAAAAGTCCATTTTCAAGTCTAAAAGTCGCCTTTCTCAGTCTAAAAGTCCGTTTTCAAGTCTAAAAGTCGCCTTTCTCAGTCTAAAAGTCCATTTTCAAGTCTAAAAGTCGCCTTTCTCAGTCTAAGAGTCCGTTTTCAAGTCTAAAAGTCGCTCTTTTTCAGTCTAAAAGTCCATTTTCAAGTCTAAAAGTCGCTCTTTCTCAGTCTAAAAGTCCGTTTTCAAGTCTAAAAGTCGCCTTTCTCAGTCTAAAAGTCCGTTTTCAAGTCTAAAAGTCGCTCTTTTTCAGTCTAAAAGTCCGTTTTCAAGTCTAAAAGTCGCCTTTCTCAGGCTAAAAGTCCGTTTTCAAGTCTAAAAGTCGCCTTTCTCAGTCTAAGAGTCCGTTTTCAAGTCTAAAAGTCGCTCTTTTTCAGTCTAAAAGTCCATTTTCAAGTCTAAAAGTCGCCTTTCTCAGTCTAAAAGTCCGTTTTCAAGTCTAAAAGTCGCCTTTCTCAGTCTAAAAGTCCATTTTCAAGTCTAAAAGTCGCCTTTCTCAGTCTAAGAGTCCGTTTTCAAGTCTAAAAGTCGCTCTTTTTCAGTCTAAAAGTCCATTTTCAAGTCTAAAAGTCGCTCTTTCTCAGTCTAAAAGTCCGTTTTCAAGTCTAAAAGTCGCCTTTCTCAGGCTAAAAGTCCGTTTTCAAGTCTAAAAGTCGCTCTTTTTCAGTCTAAAAGTCCGTTTTCAAGTCTAAAAGTCGCCTTTCTCAGGCTAAAAGTCCGTTTTCAAGTCTAAAAGTCGCTCTTTTTCAGTCTAAAAGTCCGTTTTCAAGTCTAAAAGTCGCCTTTCTCAGGCTAAAAGTCCGTTTTCAAGCCTAAAATTCGCTCTTTTTCAGTCTAAAAGTCCGTTTTCAAGTCTAAAAGTCGCCTTTCTCAGGCTAAAAGTCCGTTTTCAAGCCTAAAATTCGCTCTTTTTCAGTCTAAAAGTCCGTTTTCAAGTCTAAAAGTCGCCTTTCTCAGTCTAAAAGTCCATTTTCAAGTCTAAAAGTCGCCTTTCTCAGGCTAAAAGTCCGTTTTCAAGCCTAAAATTCGCTCTTTTTCAGTCTAAAAGTCCATTTTCAAGTCTAAAAGTCGCCTGCAACTTTGAACCTCTGTAGAAATCAGCCTGGTGACATGCTAACTTGAATTGTCATGGTAAGGGGTTTTAAAATTTTTGGCCAGTATTTTCGGCAGCTTGAGCTTCACGAGCAGCTCCTTGTGTACGGTAATATCAAGACACAAAGAATACGATGCATACAATCAACACAATTGAACGGATCGGTTTATTCAAGCGCAAATGAGGAGATGATCATGGGTTGTACTCGATGGGGAGGTTCTTGCGACGGACCATGCCATCTCCCTGGAACCATTCACGACGGAACTGCTTGGCGGCGCCGTCGGGGGTGTTCGTCCACTCAATCGTCACACGGTCGTTGTTCGTGTCCTCGGCTCCGAAGGTGAACGAGTCGCACGAGACGGCAACCTACAACATCCACAACGACTCCAACAGGGTCAACACAAACGTACCAAGACCTGCTCCTTGGGGTCGAGAACACCGCAGGGCGGGTCAACTCCGAGGCGCTTCATGTTGGTGGTCTTGAAGGCCCATCCGATGCGACGACCTCCCGAGTTGATCACCTTGATGTGGTAGGTGTGCTTGTCATCGTACGGGGCGTTGAACACGATCTTCGTGCCCGGCTGGGTCACGATGTCACCGGGGGCAACCGATTGGGCCATCTTCTTCGAGCAGGTCGGGTTGTTTGGTAATTATTTGGTTTGGGTGGCTGATTATATACTTGGGAAAGCATGTTAATTAGGTGATGTTAAGAAGCATCTTCCGGATTTGGTTGATTTTCAGACAACTTATGTTTTTATGTAAATGATGCTGACTATGCTGACTAGAGACGGTCGAAATGTCAGAACGCGCCTCTAGAAAAGAAGCGATAAAGGGTCTCGGAGGCCAGGCCTCTTCAAAGCTAACAAGGAGTCGTTTTTAGGTGCTTTTGCAGGTTCGGGACGGCCCTAGTTAGTTCGATGGATCAAAAACTTCTGTGTAAAACGCGGTTTTTAGAAAGTGCTGATCGATAAAGGTTTTTGAGAAAAGTTAATTTAATTAAGAATTTTTCCGGTAGCCGGACCCTTGCGGTGATTTGATTTCATTCTTATTTCTTGTCAGCTTTTTGCTTTTTTCATAAATGAAATTTTATGCACAGATGACTGGCTCAAGGACCAAAAAACAAAGGGTTAGCGCGCGAGAAGGTTCGAACCCGAGGCAAAAAATACAAAAAGCTGGTAGGCCAGCACACACTACTTTGATCGCGTCTTGGGGCTTCTCTCATTCGGCTTGTCGGCCTCGTCGAAGAGCTTCTTCGAAGTCTCACCACAAGCTTCTGAATAAAAAGGCATGGATAGGAGAATGGGTACGAAGCACGCCTACGCACACCTAACTGTCCCTGGACGGCGCAATACATTCTTTCGAGGCGAAAGATCCCGCTTTTGTTGTTGAACCACGATTTATGTCAAAAGTTTCAAAAAATCGAGAAACTGGTTTGAGACCCGGAAATGGCACCTCCCTTCATTTTCCTTTCATTCGTTCTGTTTGGTCTGGGCAAGCCACCGCTCGCAGGCGTTCTTTCGAAAAATCTATTCGTTTCTACGAAATTTCAGTCCGCTGCTTTTAGAAAGAATTATTTAAATGTTGTTTATATGAAATGGGTTTTTTAGGAATCAAGTTCTCGGAGCTGGCCGGCAAGCGGCTGTACGAATTCCAGAAAGACCTCCTCCGCACGCTCCTCCAGATCGAAGAAGTAATTTTTTGATTTAGGGTTTAAACTCTTGCCTTTTCTAGGTCTACTTCAACCAAGCGGCGTTGATCACCGACAAGAATGTGCTGGTTATTAGCGACCGAGGCGCCATGGACCCGTCGGCTTATATAGATAAAGAAGGGTAAACCTTTAGCGTAATTCTTTAATATACACTGCTTCAGTTGGGCGAATATCTGCGCCGAGCTTGGGCACGACGACACGAGCCTACGCGATAATCGATACGACCAGGTATGACAGAGCTTATTTCTCAAACATTTTTTAGATTGTTCACATGGTGACTTGTGCAGAAGGCGCCGAGGACTTCTACACGGTGGCGAACAACAATACGCGCGAGGAGGGCATGGCCGGCGCGAAACGCATCGACTGGATGACACGCCATGTAGGATTTCCTGAAATAATTACGCTTTTTTGTAGGCCTGGGTCGGCCATCCATCGATCTCGATTATCGACAATTCCGAGTGCAAAACGTTTGACGACAAAATCCGCAAATTGTTGCAGGTATTGGTCAGATTTTTGGTGCGATTTCTTTCAGGTAGTCTGCGATCGGGCCGGTGTCCAGACTTACGAACGGTTGGCGAAGAATACGCGGTTAGTATTTTTTCAAGTGAAAAAAATTTTATTTGGCTCGTGATAGTCCCAGGTTTTTTTTAGGGTTCACGGAAGGGGTACCAACTTGTTTTGCGTTTCGACATTGTCTTCAATATTCCTGAACTTAAAGACTTTGCGCATTGTATACAAATTGATTTTAGCTAGAGAATGGATTCGTTTCGAATTTTTCAAACTTTGTCAAAAGTAAAACTACTAAAAAACTAAAACTTACTAAAATTACAGTAAAATCACGTTATATTCGATTGCTAGGCCCCCGGGCCCGCTAGAAAAAAAGTTGTGTCCTCCCGTGAAGCCCACAGAATCCTTTTGCCTTTACCTTAAATTCTCTAAATTTCTGTTTAGGAAAAGAAAATGGCTACTGGCCGGCTACAAACAAGACGAATTCCCGAAATACAAAGAGTTCCAGCACAAGCATGATTTTCTGATGTGCGGCGAGGATGGAATTCAGGTGTCGATTCGGCGATTTTCCTGGCAACTTTCAGCTTTTTCAGATGCGCATTCGGGCACGCGAGCAGAAGGGCAAGCTGTCGTATACGATCACTTCTCGATATCCGCCCATCACAGAAGTATGCTCATTTTCTTATATTAATATCTTTTACAGGCCTATCCCCTCGAGACTCGAATGAAAATCAACAAGCCCGAGTACGATCATTACAGAAATCTGAGTGGTACAGCCTGACTTCATTTTGGAAATAATTGCTTTAGATGCGCCGCTGCTCTGCGTGGACTTCTAATCCCCGTTGGGCTTGCGGTTAGTGCTTGAACGGCTTTTTCTCTCCGCCAATTATTTTAGGGTGTCCTCCATGGCTCGGTGGCGCAGCGATGGACCAGGGCGCTCGACACCACGTGGAATTTTACATAAAGATATGGCGGTTCGTTGGTGAATCTTTATACTTCTCCGAAAATGTTTAGTGGTTCATCGTTAACCGGCAGCTCCACTTCGTGCTTCGCGCAAAAGATGAGATTCGCGCCAACAACCCGTCCCAAAGTATGATGCAGCAGCTCCTGGCTAGGAAGCAGGGGGATTTTGGGGGAGAGCATTTTTTTGATTTGCATGAATATCCATGAATTATCTAAATATCGCTCGTTTGCTTAATTAACATATCTATTCTGGTATAAATTGGCTGAACAGCGAACTAATTTATATTCTATTGGATTTTACCTACTCTGCCACCTGACCCACTAATGCCCACTGTAAGTGACATCTGTTTCCTTTGATTAGTTTGCAGAACCCGGAAACCTTCTTCCCCGACTACCAGCTGGCCGCGCAACGCTTGGCCGCCGCCCGACTGGCTTGCGACAACATCAAGGAGACGCAGATTATGGAGGTGGGCTGATCGGTTAGGGTTGAAAAACGGCCTCGCGGCTTTTTAACCCTGACACCGTTTTTAACTAAGGTAATGGGCAATTTTTATAAAACTTGCTCAAAAAACTAAAAGCAATAATTTATACCTTGCGACCCCTGGCCCACGGTCGAGACTGCCTGCTTTTTACTTGCCACGAGCGCCTGCCAAAAGTTACGGAACTACAAAACTGCTAAAAACTTACGCCGTGAACAAAATCGACCTTATGCCCGTTTTCAGGAGACCTTGGCCATGGTATTGTACATGAAGCTGCATTCGCTGTCAGCCCATGAGGAGGCGGCGATTCGGCGACTCTGGGAAACATTGAGCCCAGCCACGCTCACCCAGCGCCCGGCGGCCGTCTTTACGGTAGCAGATCGATGGAGGCACAGGGAGAAACACTCATTTTCCAGGTCATCAACATGCCGTTCGTCGACGAGCCAGCCATGATGGATACCCGTTTCGAGAGAGCGCTCGTCCACGCCCGAGAAGCCGCGGCAGCCCTCGACACTAAGGCTGCGATCCAGACGGTATTTTTAGCCCACCCGAGGCCTGAATTGAGAAATTCTTACAAATAAATAAATTTCTTTTATACATTATAAAAAGCATAATTTCCGCGCTTGCCGTTTCCCTAACTGCTCTATAGCATATCCAAAAAAAAACAATTGAATTTGGCAATTTATACCTGTTTTGGTCATTTTTTCCTCAACCTTTTGGCCCCCCATCCGCGCTAAAATTTAGGGCATTTTTTAGAATGATAAACGCTTTATGGCACGATGTGCACTGTTACAGAGCCTCAACCGATACATCCGCGAACGTCGTCTGGGATTGATGACGGCGGTTCAGGAAGCAAAAGCTGAACTCGCCGCCGCCGAGGACTACTTCGAAAAAATGGTAGCCCTTGGGAAGGTTTCTAGGGCAACTTCGCATGCAGGGAACAGAAGCGGACGCCAGCCGCCTCGACTATGAAAAGTTCATGGATGAACTTCTCGCGGGTTGCAAGCGGGTGACCCATACGAACGAGAACGAGCTGAGAGCAGTGATGCCGCCACTTCCCGAGATCCCAGTATTAAACAAATACACGATCACAAGATTCTTCCAGGACTACAAGGCGATCAACTGGGCGGAGCCGGTCCCCGTTCGAGCTGCCCGCGCCGACGAAGATGACACCGAAACGGCCCTGGTCCGGAGCCCAGCGGTGCAGCCCGAAAACGACGAAGAGCCCGAGGTGCCCCACCCGGACCCCAACTGACCCTTCGAAAATTTTCATTGATACGATTAATTCTCGACTTTGCGATCTCTTCTGTATAACAATTGCTGATACGAATAAAGAGACTTTTTGAGTACATGCTACTGCACATTGCTGACATTCGAACACCGGTCTAGACTGAATCATAGGGCACCATTCTGGCGGACAAACTCGCTTTCGTCCGAGAACTAATTCTGACATAGCCGATAAAAAACTAAAGCTACCTCCATAGAGGAACAAAACGAAAAAAGCGTAAAATTGTTAAACTGATATCCGCGTAATCAGGCTTTCCAGATAAGACCGCAGCTGGCCCCGGCGCGCAAGTCCGTGATGGGCCGACCAAAAACCCGCACCACGGGCGACTGCCCATGGTGTCAGAAGGAGAACGTCAAAATGACTGCTGCCCTAGGAGTATCGATCTGTCTCCCTTGCGCCGAAAAATTTCGGTCGGTTTTGCCCTTATTATCCGGCGCGTCCGAGTTCGCATCAAAATCGCCCTTTTCAGGAAAGCAGTTGTCGAGAGCAAAGCTGATCCGGACTGCCATGGATGCGACGCGTCCTGTAAGTTGAGAATAACTCTAAAACAAGGTACACACACGCCCAAATTGTTCCGCATTTGTACCAATAATGCCGTAGTAACGTAACCATATTGAAACTTGCCTAATTGACTATTCCCCCCCCAATAACAGCCCTATTTCAGCGCCCTGCGCGCCGTGCGTCCTCCACCAGGGAATAGTGCTCGGCCTCGACCCGGCCCGTTACCGTCCCCGGTGGGTTTATCACAGCAACTCCGAACTGTTGAGCCCCATCGCATTCCATTGCTTGTCTAAATGACACCATTACAGGCAGAGGCGCGCAGGAGAAGACCAGCCAGCCTAGCCCTCCACCCACGAGCACCCGCCTACCGCAACTGATCCCACTAACCCAACTAACCCTAATGACCAACCTTGCTTTCTCGCGTTCATTCTGATAAATATTTTCCTAATTCACCGGTAACTGCAGTTGAATTTTCCCGCGAACGAATTAGTAAAAAACTTGCTGCTGGTGCTTTCGACCTAACCAACCGACTTGACTCAAGATACCTAGTGGCAACAATAAGCTAGCAACGCTAATATTCGGAACAGTAAAATGCGACAAATCACAAGAAATACACACAAAACATAATTACACAAAAAACGAGGAGACGTGTGTGGTTCAGCCGTTGTGGATCTTCGAAAGCTCGTAGAGGGAATATTGCTTCTCGTCGGTGATCTCGCGGATAACGGAGAGGAACGGGGGCAGCACCGGCTCGCTGTGACCTTTCTGAAAATGGCGGTAAACTTTAATTTCATAAGCTTCTCTAGTATTTCTACATGGGAGGGAGGTCCGAATTTCCCTATAGCTCCAGATAGTTCCAAATATTAATCTTTTCCGCAAACTTTGGTTATACCTGAACTTGCAAACCAAAAAAAACTAACAGCTTAGAAAACTTTTCAATTGTCTCACATTTTTTTAAATTTTGGGCAAAAAATCAATAGTTGCGTATGTTTGGTCGGTTTTGCAGTTTTTATGCTTCGAAAATTGGCTACTCTAAATTTACAAATAAAGCTTATCTTCGAAAATCGAAAAACCCTAGTAAAAAGCAGCTTAGAAACACTTTCCCTTGTTTTCCATTAGAAAAATTGGGCGGGGAAAACATTCGGATCTTCCCAAGGAAATACTAAAGAATCATTTTATTTTGTGCTAACTATTACCGGAAATGTGGTGTAGGTCTCCAGAAAAAGAAGCCCTTCCGGCGGGCAAGACGGGGGCAGCGGCGAGACGAGCAGATCCAACGAGTAGAAGTGGTTGCCCCACGCGAAGCAGCGACGCGTCTAAAACCACTATTGGCAGAAATCACACCACTATTTATACCTTATGAATCGTCACCCGGGAATGATCGATCAGATTTCGGTACTGATCATATTCGCGTTTGTTGATTTTCATTCGAGTCTCGAGGGGATAGGCCTGTAAAAGATATTAATATAAGAAAATGAGCATACTTCTGTGATGGGCGGATATCGAGAAGTGATCGTATACGACAGCTTGCCCTTCTGCTCGCGTGCCCGAACGCGCATCTGAAAAAGTTGAGCGATGCCAGAAAAGCCGCCGTATCGACACCTGAATCCCATCCTCGCCGCACATCAGAAAATCGTGCTTGTGCTGGAACTCTTCGTATTTCGGGAATTCGTCTTGTTTGTAGCCGGCGAGCAGCCATTTTCTTTTCCTAAACTTGAAAATCTAGCACCGATTTAATAAATTTATTTTTGATTTGATTTGATTCCCGGTATGTTTTTAAAGGATAGGAGAAACGGGGGGTACTATTGAAGTTGGGGGGGGCAAAATTTTTTTTAGGTAATTTTTGGGCTAATTAGTCAGTTTTTCTCTGGCTTAGGCTTAGCTTAGCTTAGTATTGGCTTGGCTTAGGCTTTAGCTTAGGCTTAAGCTGAACTTAGGCTAGGCTTAGAACTAGTTTAACCTAGGCTTAGGCCTATGCTTAGCCTAAGCCTTAGTATCTGGCCCTTAGCTTGGCTTCGTCACAGCATCACTGCTTTTGGCTTCGACTTAGCTTTGTTCAAGCTCAATTTAACTGTGCTTCGGCTTAGCTTAGCTTAGGAGATGAGTATTGCGCTGGATTAGCCACGAAAAACTGATCAAGTAGCCCAAAAATGACCTAAAAAAATTTTGCCCCCCCCCCCCAACTTCAATAGTACCGAAACGGGAAAACGCCGAGTCAGATAGAAAAAATTAAGAGATCCTTGAAGCGACATGACTAACCGCGTATTCTTCGCCAACCGTTCGTAAGTCTGGACACCGGCCCGATCGCAGACTACCTGAAAGAAATTGCACCAAAAATCTGACCAATACCTGCAACAATTTGCGGATTTTGTCGTCAAACGTTTTGCACTCGGAATTGTCGATAATCGAAATCGATGGATGGCCGACCCAGGCCTACAAAAAAGCGTAATTCTTTCAGGAAATCCTACATGGCGTGTCATCCAGTCGATGCGTTTCGCGCCGGCCATGCCCTCCTCGCGCGTATTGTTGTTCGCCACCGTGTAGAAGTCCTCGGCGCCCTCTGCGCAAGTCACCATGTGAACAATCTAAAAAATGTTTGAGAAATAAGCTCTGTCATACCTGGTCGTATCGATTATCGCGTAGGCTCGTGTCGTCGTGCCCAAGCTCGGCGCAGATATTCGCCCAACTGAAGCAGTGTATATTAAAGAATTACGCTAAAGGTTTACCCTTCTTTATCTATATAAGCCGACGGGTCCATGGCGCCTCGGTCGCTAATAACCAGCACATTCTTGTCGGTGATCAACGCCGCTTGGTTGAAGTAGACCTAGAAAAGGCAAGAGTTTAAACCCTAAATCAAAAAATTACTTCTTCGATCTGGAGGAGCGTGCGGAGAAGGTCTTTCTGGAATTCGTACAGCCGCTTGCCGGTCAGCTCCGAGAACTTGATTCCTATAAATACAATTTTTTGGAAAGCTAGGGCTCGCACCTCCGCCCAAAAGAATCGTCGCAGTTTCGGGGACGCTGAACACCTTCCAGCCGTGCTCCTCGAAAAAGTTGGAGACGCGCACCTGAAAAAGGTGGTTGGTTACTCGCAAAAAGTGATGTACCATTCCGGTGGTCTTGCCGCCACACGGCCCTCCCGTCAGCACGAGACGGTAGACCCGGGGCGTGTCGCGGGCCATCGGGCTTCTGATCGTCAGCGACGACGACTTGGCCGAGATGGAGGAATGCGAGCTCGTCGCATCAAGGGCCTCGTTTCGCTCCCCGCTCAGCATTCCTGAATACAAGGATGTTGCAAGCGGCATGAGAAAACGAGGTTTAAAAAGATGAAAGAGATTCTAAGCCGTTTCAAAAGAATGTTACAGCAACTGCGCCATAACTTTTTGATCGTAACGATAATTTTTGGATACCAATTGGCCTAAGCTAGCCTGGCTGGTTCTTTCCCATTATCGGGGGAAGGGGTGGGACAAAAAGTCTTTGCTTAGGATCCAGTTTTTTAAAATATCAATACCGGGTGTTTTTAACACGTAAAAGCCTTACAGATTTTCAAAAAATACAAAAAACATCGATTCTTCGACCAAAAATGGCCGTTTTTGATCAAAATTTACGACTTTTTGAAAACCTTTAGATAGTTTTTCTAGTTGCTATGCAGCTTTATATTACTAAAAACTAAGCAAGTTATTAAAATCCTACCTATTAAGTTACTAGGCATTTCTGGACTTATACAAAACAAAAGTGCCGTGTGATTTGTCCCGCCCCCCCGGTATGCGACAGAAACACGGGCCCTACTAGACAAGAAATCTCTTTGAAAAGCATTTAAAAATTGTTGAATTAAGGTTTTAGCACAAGGTTTTGGGACGAAAGTCCCAGACAGCTATGTACAAAAACCTGAAAACGTCAAGCATTTAGCAGCCTTCAAATTCGGTTACAATCTTTTTGACAGCTTTTTCAAGCCGCAGTGCGGTACTGTGAGGCTCTGTACAAAGCGACGCCACCAACCGAATCCTACGCGACTACATTTATTCACACAAATTACACAAAAAATAGAAAATGATACATAGAATTTGAACCGGCACAGATTTTCCACGCGGGGCAAGGCACAACCGGGCCACGAAATAATACACAAAATTTCTTTTTTTAACACAATGCACTACGGGCGAAACGATTACAAAGCGATTACAAAACAATACAATCAAGGCAGACATTACAAAAATGGCACAAATGAAAGGCGATTATCCGTTGTGGATTTTCGAAAGCTCGTAGAGGGAATATTGCTTCTCGTCGGTGATCTCGCGGATGACGGAGAGGAACGGGGGCAGCACCGGCTCATCGCTGCCTTTCTAAACAAAATTGGTAATGGTACTCGACTGTTAGCGGGGGAGAGGTTTTTAGCGGGTGAATTACGGCACTATAACAAAATATAAAACATTTGTGTAACATCCTAAACAACTTTTTAGGTATAAAAAGCTCATAGAAAATTATAAAAATTTCCGCTAAATTTCCCTGTTTGGTCAAAAAGGATAAAAATGGTCAAAAAGTAAAAATTTTCGAACCTTCAAAATGTCTTATATTTTTCCTAGCTTTCTAGCAATCAAAAATCGTCAAAAAGCCTGTAAAATAGAATAAAGATACCGGGAATGTGGTGTACGTCTCCAGGAACAGCAGCCCCTCCGGCGGACAAGACGGGGGCAGCGGCGAGACGAGTAGGTCCATCGAGTAGAAGTGGTTGCCCCAGGCAAAGCAGCGTCGTTCCTGAAAAGAACAACTTTTTAGAAAGGATAAATCGTACCTTATGTATCGTCGCCCGAGAGTGGTCGATCAAGTTGAGGTAGCCCTCGTACTCGCGCTTGTTGATCTTCATCCTCGTCTCGAGGGTTTCCTAAAATCGGTGAAATTTTGGAGAAGAGGTCCCAAAACCTCAGCGTTTGACGTATTCCTAGAGGTGATCGTGTACGTCATCTTGTCCTTTTGGCCGCGCGCTCTGATCCGCATCTAAATATGGCGATTTGTTTGATTTAGAGGTTCTTTCCCATTATAGGGGGGCGGAACTTTTTGTATAAGTTTAGATTAGTATTTCTGTACAAAAACTTCGTTCAAAAATCAACATTTTGGTAAAAAATCGGCCATTTTTGGCCGTATTTTGGTCTAAACACGCCTAAAAAATTTGCACAACTTATATTTGAAAAATTGGATCCTAGGAAACGCAAGCTGGTCCCCCCCCCCCCCGATAATATAAAGGACCGGCTAAGAATTTCCCCCTACCTGGATCCCATCTTCGCTGGACATCAGATAGTCGTGCTTCACCTGGAACTGCTCAAACTTCGGGAAGTCCTCGGATTTGTAGCTGGCCAGCAGCCATTTTCGTTTCCTAAATTCAGATTTATCAAAACGTTAGACCGTCAATACCTGCTGTTCTTCGCCAGCCGCTCGTAGGTCTTGACGCCGGCGCGGTCGCAGACCACCTGCAGCAACTTGCGGATTTTGTCGTCAAACTTTGCGCACTCCGAGTTGTCGATGATGTAGACGGAGGGGTGGCCGACCCACGCCTGAAAATCGGAGTAAGCCCTCGAAGAACAGCGCGAAAAATTACATGTCTCGTCATCCAGTCGACCCGCTTCGCGTCGTCGACCCCCTCCTTTCGCGTGTTGTTGTTGCTGAGCGTGTAGAAATTTTCCGCGCCGTCAGCACACGTGACCATATGCACGATCTGGAAGGCGAAAAATGAACTAAAAAACGTGGATTTACTTGATCGTAGCGATTGTCCCGGAGGAACGTCTCGTCCCACTCCAGCTCGCCCAGCATTTTCGACCATCTGGAAATTAATTGAATCATAACAAAAAAATAAAAACTTGCCCCTCTCTATCAATATAGGCCGACGGGTCCATCGCACCACGATCGCAGATGACCAGCACGTTCTTGTCGGTGATCATCGCCGCCTGGTTGAAGAATACCTAAACTTCAGGATTGGTCAAAACCGAACAAAAATCCCACGTTCTCAATCTGGACGAGCGTGCGCAGCAGGTCCTTCTGGAACTCGTACGACTGCTTCTCGTTCAGCTCCGAAAATTTCACGCCTAACGAATAACGGGTGAAAGCCGAAAAAAAGGTCGGATACCGCCGCCCAGCAATATTGTCGCCGACTCGGGCACGCTGAACACCTTCCACCCGTGCTCCTCGAAGAAGTTGGCGACGCGGACCTGAATTTGTGTACGTCTTTCAGGCAGAAAAAAACCAACCATTCCGGTGGTCTTCCCGCCGCAGGGCCCGCCGGTCAAGACGAGACGGTAGACGCGGTTGCAGTCGCGGGCCAGCGGGCTTCTCAACGGCGACGACTTGCCGGAGTGGCTGGAATTCGACGACTCATTGCTGCCGCTGTCCTCGTCGCGGTCCGCGCTCATACCTGGAAATAAATTGACGTTTCAGGAGCTTCAAAAAAGACCTTTTAGGTCCCAAAATTGAAATTCGAGGAAATCGCTCAGCTCAGAAACAACAGAAAAATGCATCCAGGCTCAAAAAAAACGGAAATTTGCGCGAGCATCGTGAAATTTTGCGAAATTATGGAAGAAAAGGGGGCCATGACAGTTGCGCAACGACGTTTGAGCAACAATGATTTCTTAGTAATTTTTATCTCTGAGTCTTTTGCCTCAGTTGCTCAATATCGTTGCGCAACTGTCATGGTCTCAAGACAAAAGCAACTTTTTCGGAAAGTGTTTTATCGGGGAACAGAAAAGCTACTTTCTAGATACCATACCAATAAACGAGAAGAAGGACCTTCCAAACTCCAAAATTTTGTGAAGCTTTAGGGCAGGAATGCAAAGGCAAGGCAAAACCTTACGAACGCCAAAAAAAGGAAACACTATTACAAGTTCAACCAGCCGACCAACCGGGTGGAAAGAAATCCTAATTTTCGCACCGAAAAGAAAGTGGGAGCTTGCGAAAAGAGGATTAGAGAAATAGAGAAAGTACCATGCCTAGTTTTAGTAAAAGTACCATAAGTACGAACCGGAAGGAGGAGTGCACCCTAAATAAGTTTAAAAATCTTGTAAAACTTTAGCGCAAAGAGGGGATCACCAAATAGATAAACTGAGAGCCTAGATAAAACCGTTTTCTAGCGACCAAGAAAACAAACTATTCCAAAGTAAGAAGCTAGGCATAATCTGTATGAACCGGGAAGATGGATAAAGCCTCAAAATTACGGTCCAATTTTCTAAAACCTAGCACAAAGGGTCAAAGGTGAGCCCCCTCATTGTGTTGTCATCGGCCAGAGCAACGCCCATTTGACAGGGCAGCTAATGTGGTCAGAGGGGGGTTGTAACTCTTTGAGCGGAGGATATGAGGGACTGAAGAATCGGCCGGACACTGCCCTCGGCAGACCAATGAGGGCGGGGCCACCTCGAAAGGACCATGTCCACGACAGGGACGGCTGCGCGAGGAAAATGTCTGAAAAACGGTTTGCACTTTCGAGAAAGTGCAAGGCAATCGTACCTAGTTTGAATACGGGTGTTGGGAATAAGTCTAGTAGACGAGACAGGGTCTCTTTGGGATTTTCAGAACCCTGGGATTGTCTTGGTTTTACCAACCTTCAAAAGCTGATCTGAAAAATGAAGGGCCAAGATACAGCCAACCCGTTACAAAATTTGCTAAAACAGCTGCTAAAAAAAGTTCTAGAATTTTAGCAGGTGTGGGGGACCTGTTTGGCCTAAACCTAAAAATTAGTGTCTTGCAGTGTATTTTTACGGTTTTCGGAAAAATTACGATTTTTAAGATGTATAAAAAAATCAACCGTTATCATGAAAGCTGCGTCGAAAGCTACAGAAATGCCCAACAACCGTTTTTTAGCCTCGATCTCCAAAGAGCACACGAAACGAAAATCGCCAGTGTCTCGCGCGCTGGCACGCCGAGACAAAGCGGCTCGCTGACGGCTAGTCGGCCAGTCGCGCGCCACAGAGACCCACAGCCAGACCGAGGGCTATCAAAAGGGCAACCCCCCGCTGGCCCCACCGACTGAATCAGCACAAGCCCATCTGTGGCCCGAGTACACATCTGTGGGATCGATTCACTGAAATGGAAACGCGAATTTACCTTTCCGTCCTTGCTGAATCTGGTACTTTTCGGTACGGCTTGGATCAAGTCACGGCTTACCTCGAAAAGACTAGCCCTTATATCGCTAAAAAAATAGTTTTTCGCCGGAAAAAGGAAAACCTAGTTTATCTTCCCTCATTAAAGCCGAGCTTTTTTGAGCCGCTTTTGCTTCAACCCCCGGCTGGCCTAGAAAAAAACCTTAGACTTGGCCTCTGCCTACCTTACAAAAGGATATCTAGGTTCACACTCTTCAAAATTTCCATATCTCTCCGGGAGCTGTCGCGGACACATTTCGCATCGGGTGTCTAGACATGGGCGCATAGGGTCGCCGATTGCCATTAGATATCCACCGTCTCATAAACATTCGACGATTGCTCGCCGGCGGGCCGTCTCGATGCCCAGACGATTAGTCATCATCAACTGGGCAGTTCGATTCCTGAGACGCCCGCACCGGGGAAAAAATTCTACAAAAAGCTAAATTGCCATCAAAAAAAGACTACACTCTCACTTTGACCGCAGTCCTACGGCGTGCCGGCCTAAAATAGCTGGTTATATTTTAAAAACTAAAAAACCGGCAGTCCCCGCTACCTGAACCTAGAGCGTAACGGTAATGTTAAAGGTATGGCGATAGTAACGGTCCTGTAACGTCGTTACCCGAAATACTACGCTTTTTGATGCATTAGAAAAACAAAAATTGGCCCAAAACCGCGGCAAAAAAGAAGTCCTACTCAACCGGACACTGCTTCAACTACACGTTACGAAAGCAATAGCAGCGTAGTTCATAGATCAAATAGAAAATCACTAATGATCCTGCAGGGCACTTCTCGCGGGCACGCGTGGGCCCCCCTGACGGTATTCTCCAACCTTACGAAAAGGTGATGATCGTAGCGCCCTACGACCGTCGTTATCCTAAAAAATCCGCTCTTTTTATACCATATCAGAAGCAATTCAACCCAAGAAGCTGCGGCTTCCTATTCACTAACTAGAATCTTAATCATTGACGCCCCATGCCTACTTCACCCTAAACGTCCCGGAACCAATAATCACTCCCCAGATTCCCGATGCACCGTCGTTTCGCGGTCTCAGGGTTCTCGTCTGCTATCTGTTGAGGAGATCTGGTGGGATCGGCTGGATGGAAAGTGAGAAAAGAAAACATTAGCCGGCCACCGATTGACCTTCTCAATGGCGAAGATGTGACCAAGTGATAGCGGGCCATTGGCGATGCCTCTTCCGTGGCAACGGGGCAGAGCTAGATGTCGAATGGACCTAAATCGACGGCGCAACAGGGGGCGGAAGTGCTCGGGGGCTACAAGGGGGTTAGTTGCGGGCAGCGGTGTGTGAATAAGCCAAGGTAAATTTAGAGCGGATTAACAAAAAAAAGTTTATTCAACCTAAACGACGACTAATCAAATTGCACACGGAAAACAGTCGAATTCAACGATTCACAGCGGTTTGTCAAAAGAATTGTTCGAATTGAGGTAGACGAAGAGGCAGGCGGCAGAGAGGCGGGAGAGCAGCTCCTCGTCTTCCAGGCCGTGATGCCATTCGACCTAAAATAAGTGGTACTGGACTGTTAGCGCGGGGGGGGGGGGGTGAAATACGCCGTATTTAGCTAGATTTTTTAAATTTATATGCCACCGGAAATGTTGCTTTTGGGCAAAAAGGGATAAAAATTGCCCAATTCCAACTCTTAAATTTTTTAACGATGCTTAGATGACTTTTCAGTTCAACTGACAAAAAAACTAATAGAAAATTCTAGAAATACACTAAAAAATCGAAAATTTTTCGGTTTTCTGGGTTTTATTAGCCGCCTCCGCCCCCCCCCTCCCCCGTTCACAGACCAGTGCCAAATAGGCTTATAATAGTCGTCAAAGAAACGCACCGCTCCCCAAATCTTGGACTGAACCCGTCGCTCCAGCGTCGCCAGCTCGATCGCCTCGTCGGCCGTGATCTTCCAGTTCAACACGTTGAAGGCGATGATCAACGACTTTGCCGTCTCCGTTGCGTACCTAAATCATCAATTTTTCCGAGATCCTCAAGCTTACTGTAGTCCATGCAGTGACCATTCGTTCAACGACAGAATCCAACGCTCGAATTTCGCCTTGTCTTCGGCGCTGATTTCTGGCCCTGGAACGCAGCGGTATAAATGTTATCAAAAAGCTGGTACTACACTGCCGGTCATAATTTTGGCTCCACCCAAATTTTTGCGATTTTCTCGCATCGTAGCGGAGCATACTGGACGCGCCTCAAGGATAGGGTTTGTCCACGAGACTGTAAACTGGGTTTGGAAGGAAATCTCCGAAAAAATTTTAATTTTTTCGAAAATGGAATTTTTGTAAAGTTTCGCTTCTGGCAAGTGGTCATAATTTTGGCTCCACCTCGGAAAACTCAAAAAATAAAAAAAACCAGTGGAAAATGTCCGCTTCGCGGCCCTTTTCCACTGGCCCCCGTCTAGGAACCATATAATCTCCTTCCGTTTTTCAAGCCTGCGGCGCAAGAGCCTGACCCTAGGAATGCTTCTCTGGCCTGCGGCGCTGGCTACTGGTTTTTCTCTAGCATTTGGCCTGCGGCGCGAGAGCCAGGGCCAAGGGACTTTTTTTGGCCTGCGGCGCTAGAGCGAGGGACTGGCCTAAATTTCGGATACTGAGAGTCTCGAAATAAGTTTTGTTGTTGAAATATCAAAAAGCAAAATGGTAAATTTGCCGAGGATCCGAACCCTCGACTATGGGCGTGGTAGACCGGGCGCCAAGCCACTATACCAACGGGGGCATTGGGACGGCTGGCGGGAAAGGCCTCTTCTGCCCTGGGGGTTCGGGTCACGCCCGGTCGGGGTTATTCTGGTAACTTTACAAAATTAACTTTTTTGATCTGAATGCGCCGAAATTTTGTAAAAATAATGAGATGCGCGTGATCCCCACCATCGAATACATAAGTGGTCCAAATTACAAACCGAAATTCCATCAATACTTCGAGTTATGGCCCGAACACCACGGCGCGTCACCCATTTTGTTAAGGATTTTCACTTTTTTGCTTGTAAAATTGTTAAATGAAGGAATTTCAAAAAATCCAAAAAACCGTTTTTGGCGAATGTGTTTCTTCACCTCCATGCCAAAAATCAGCGCGGTATTCGGCCTGACGGCCGAGAAACCGCCCGGACAGAAAACACACATACTTTTCTCGCTTATAGGATAGGATTTCAAATGATTCACAGGGCAGTTTTGTAAGGAAAGGGGCACCTGAGTGTCAAGGGATCTGCGAACACCGATTCCCGATGTTCCCGATGCCCTGAATCCGCTTATGGATGAGCATCTGGCCGAAACTCTCCCATATCTCGAAGTGAGCCTTCTTGATGCATTTTCCCCCTGGATAGCAGTTGTTTTTAGCACAAAGCGTTGCCAACGTGTAGCCCTAACTGCATTTTGATGAATTAGAGGCCGCGAATTGAGCCGCCGCTCAAAAAAATCGGATTTTGTGAGATCGAATTTTCGATTTTGATCATTGGCATCCACGAATTTCGGCCTAACTTGCTTTAATGCAAAGTTCATGCTCAGATTTTGCCGGAGGCATGACCGGGGCCGCTGTTCGGAGGTGTACTCGTACTGATCGGGCTTCATCGGCTTGGAGGTGGAGCTCAGCAGATCCGCCGTGGAGCGATTTAATCGAGCGGAGGAAAGATCCATTCGACGCGCTTCATTCCTTGAAGCTTCGTGGCTAGAAATTCATCGGGATGAAGCCGTTGGCTTGTGGTTGGACTGTAATCACCCCAATGGGGCAAAATTTTCCTTTCTGACGACCAAATCCTAAGCGGACGATTTGTGAAGGCCTCAGCTTCGACTTGCTCAACTGGAAAGAGCAAGCTGAGCTCCGCCTTCAAGCCGATGAAGCCCGTTCAGTACGAGTACACCTCCGAACAGCGGCCCCGGTCATGCCTCGGGCAAAATCTGAGCATGAACTTTGCATTAAAGCAAGTTAGGCCGAAATTCGTGGATGCCAATGATCAAAATCGAAAATTCGATCTCACAAAATCCGATTTTTTTGAGCGGCGGCTCAATTCGCGGCCTCTAATTCATCAAAATGCAGTTAGGGCTACACGTTGGCAACGCTTTGTGCTAAAAACAACTGCTATCCAGGGGGAAAATGCATCAAGAAGGCTCACTTCGAGATATGGGAGAGTTTCGGCCAGATGCTCATCCATAAGCGGATTCAGGGCATCGGGAACATCGGGAATCGGTGTTCGCAGATCCCTTGACACTCAGGTGCCCCTTTCCTTACAAAACTGCCCTGTGAATCATTTGAAATTTTTTTTATTTTTTGAGTTTTCCGAGGTGGAGCCAAAATTATGACCACTTGCCAGAAGCGAAACTTTACAAAAATTCCATTTTCGAAAAAATTAAAATTTTTTCGGAGATTTCCTTCTAAACCCAGTTTACAGTCTCGTGGACAAACCCTATCCTTGAGGCGCGTCCAGTATGCTCCGCTACGATGCGAGAAAATCGCAAAAATTTGGGTGGAGCCAAAATTATGACCGGCAGTGTAGACTGTTAGCGGGGGGTTAGCAGCCGTAACTTAGTTTTTCCAAAAATTCTGCACAGCCAAATACCAAAATATAGACCAAATAGGATTTTACCCAGTTTTTAGCTATAATTATAAAATATTTTTACTTTTTGGTTAAAAATGTATGAAAAATTGCCAAAAAAAATAGATTTCGTCTTTCGTCATTTTTCCCACATTTTTAACCAAAAAATTAAAAAATTGCGAGGATTTTATGAGTGTATAAAATGTGTATTTTATCTATTTTTTTGGCAATTTTTGATACATTTTTAACCAAAAAGTAAAAATATTTTATAATTATAGCTAAAAACTGGCTAAACTCCTATTCAAAATGGTTTAAATATTCCTGTAACTTTCCAGCAATCCAAAAATTAGTGTAAATTATAAAAATCAACTTTTGATTATTAGCGGGTAGGTATAGTTTACGAAACCTAGTTTCCCCCTGCTAACAGTCCAGCAAAAAAAAAGCTTACCAAAAATATTGCCCGTCGGCTTCAAGACGGTGCCGAGTTCCTTGTTCGTGTTCTCTATCAACGGATTCCAGTGTTTAACCTATTTTTTTTTATTTGAAGAGAGAAATTTTTCTGAACCTGTGCATCATGCAGGGAGCGGCTCTCCTCGTTGTGATAGAGTACAGTGTCGGACTCGACGTACTCGAGCAGTTTGGAGGCGATGGAGGCGCTAAAACAGGTATTTTTAGGGAGTTGGCGGGCGTATCATACGGTGTGCACTTTAATGGATTGTCTGTGGCGGTGAAGGCAAGTCCAGTAAGTCGCATTGAAGCAATCTGAAAAAAAAAAATTTTGTACAGGACTGTTGGCGGGGAAGGGGCGAAATTTAGCAGGGGAGAACAAATTGTCCGCCTGTCCCTCTCCTAATTTTTTCCTTCCTTCGAAACCCCTTAAAACTTTACAAAAATTTGGAATTTTGGTCATTTTCATACATTATGAGCAAAAAGTAAATTTTTTAGAAGCTTCTATGCGCTTTTTATAGCGACGAAACCGTGAAAAGTGCTGTCAAAATCGTTTATGATTTGGGAAAAACTAGTTTCCCCCTGCTAACAGTCTAGTACCAAGATTTAGGTCAATAAAAACTTTTTCAATCACCTCCAAATTCTGCGTCTGCCCGGCCCATTCCTCGGCGATGGCCAGCGCTAGCGGCTCGGAGTCGACCTGGAAACCGGAATTTTTACAACTTTTATTCAGTTCAGTTCATTCAACAACTGTTTCTATTCAGAAAAATTCAAATTTTACAGTACTTCTATTTCCGTAGGCAACGATGAGCAAGCCTAGCGGTCAGCTGGCCCCTAGCTTTCTGCCGTGCCCTTATCAGGTCAAATGTTTGCATAGTAATTCGCCGCCCAGCCTCGCGAATAGAGAGGACCATGGGCGAGTATTTCCGGCAAAGTTTATCGATTTCGGGAAAGCCCGTACCTTTCCGGGCAATGGTTTATTTTTAGGGCTAAAGTACGTTTCGCGCTCGTCATTTCTACGTTTCTCAATTTTTTTGCTGTTGTAAAAGCGTGTATTTGCCGGAAATATGTCGAAATGTTGTCGCTCGCTACATCATAGCTTAAAAACTCTGACTAAACTAAAAACGCGCAATAAAAATTCGAAACTCAAGTAAAAGTTTTGCAATTTTTTTTCTGCTGACGGAAGTGCTAAGATTTAAAAAGAAATGCTTTAGATTAGTTACACGACTTCCATCGTTCTTTGCTATTACTCCTCTTTTCCACGCAAATTATAAAAACTCAAAGCTCGAGTAACAGTTTTGCAATTTTTTCCGGTTTTTTCGAAAGTGTTATAATTCATATGGAGTTAGATCATCATTTTCAACGCTTTTGGCTATTACCCCTCTTTTCCACTCAATTTTTAGCCCAAAGGTCTCACAAAAATTATGTGATGAGCCACTCGCACGCACATGGAATAGGCCTTCATCTTGTGGGGGTCCTCGCCTTTCTAGTGGTAAGACAAAAATAAATTTTCCTGAAAGTTAGACAATTTAGTTGCTTTTGATTTTCTTCCTACTTTTCCGACTCATCGACAACCAAATGCTGCCGCCGTCGAGAAAGATGAGCCGGTTTGAAGCGAGCCAATACAACAATCCTATTATTTAGAAGCGATAGCCGGAAAAATTCCCAAATTTTCCCCGAACTTTCTGTCGATTTGAGGGAAGAGCCGCCAATCCCCATGTACCCACTAAGAACGGTCCTTGAAAAAAAATCACAAAAAACACATTTTTAGAACCGCCACGAATCGAAGCCGCTGATCTCGACGACCGTATGAACCCAAAAACAACGGTATCTTTTTCACGGGTAATAAAGCATTTACGAAAAGTATACCTTCAACTGCTTCCCTCCTTGCGTCTTTAGCACTCGCCCATCTAACGTCACTTTGAACATGGGCTTGCTCTCCGAGTCGTCGCGTAGAATGTCGACTTTCTAGGGCAAGTTTTCTAAATGAGCACATGCCGTACCTTATAAAAACGCTGTTTTTTCAACAACGCCGAGCCCAACGGGGCAAAATTCGTGTTGGACCTTCGCCCAATGTATGAGAGGAAATTCATCTGAAATTATGGATTTTGAACTGGGGACCAGGATTCTTTGCCCACGAAATTTGCACAAAGTATCTTCGGTAACTCTAGATATAATGAAAAGGGTTCCGTTTGTGATTTCCGAAAATTTGATGCGCAAAAAAGTCACGGTCCCGAAACTGCGAGCACAGCAAAAGGCGCGTTTTCTAGTGTAAGAATACAAACATTTTCACGTTCAAAACGTAATAAAAAAACGAAAACAGCGTAAAAATGTGTAAAAATTTATCCGCATCTATAGCTGTAATTCTAAAATTGGCACAGAGCATTATCGAGAAAGGGTGTTCTCGCAGGAGCTTAAATATGGCAAATGCACTAGGGACACCGGTCAAAATCACAATCATGGTCCGCGTGGTCGTTTCGGGGCGAGCAGATCACTAAAAAGTCCATTAAATTCAAAGATTTATTCCAAACTCGGGAAAATGCATTAAAAATAACCTCAAAAGCCACCAACCGCTTGTTTGGGTTGGGTCGCGTTCACTTCGTCGGTAAGGGCTTCTACCGTCTGCTCGTCAATGACCATGAATCGTCTATTATCCTAAAAAACACCGTAATTTCATATTTGAGCCAATTCAAACCTTGCTGAACATGTACATATCGCCCGAATAGATGTCGAACCACATAGCGTGCAGCTCTACTTGACGATTCTCAAGGAATTCCTGAAAAACAGGGATGGGATTTGCAATAAAAAATTACCTTTAGAAAGCCGTGACTCGTGATGTTTTCCAGCTGCTGGAGCGTGTTGATCTGGGACAGCTTGTCCTCAACGGACCACGCATTTTCGGGGTCGATCAGAGCGGAGAAGCTGAAAAAAACATTCGGCAGCCATTTCAATTTACAAATTTGTCCAGTAACCGTAAACTGGCTATAGAAGTACCTGAATAACGGATTCGACGAGATGTATTCCACCGGGCCGGCCTTATCATCGGCGAGTCGTGCCTCGAGTTTCTGAATCAAGATTTTCCACAGCTTCCTTATGCCAAAACCTTCAACGACGTATATCCGTGTCTACGTAGCCAGTGGTCCATCGGGCTTTCCGCGTCGAACGTCTTGGGGCATTTGTGCAGCCCGTAGAGCGTGTTGATGGCCTAAAACAATTATTTTAGATGTTTCAGAGAAATGCCTGCTCACCTTACAATCCGAATGGCCGCACACGATGACGTGCCTGATTTTCCCACGCTTGACGGCCAGCTCGAGGGCCGCCGGCTCGGTCGTTACGGACACTTCGTAGCCAGCGGCGCCTAAAACACTTTTACTAGGCACAGAAATTGCGCCAAACCGTAATTTTGTGCATGTGGAACCATATTGCCGGAATTCCGAACGACGAACATGTCGCCCACGGTCGATTGTGTAAATCTATGTAAAAAGAAGTAAAAAGTTCATAAAACAACAAACCTGGCTGGTAAAATCCTCGAATCCATGCACGTGATGAAGAGCGCCGTCGGATGAGGGTCATCTCGTACCCGTTCGAACTGTTTTACAAGATCGGCGCGCACCTAGAAAATTATTATAACCAAAAAACATCAACCAACCGTTTGTCTGAATCGTATCACGCCGTTCAATATCCGGTTCAACCCCATCTGTAAGCCAGGATTGAGCTTGAGAAATTGAAATGTCAACAAATAAATATGCGGTAGATAACGCGCGATAGTACAGAGTAGTACAAACCTCCTTTATTCAACTAGCCGGGCCTAAACAGACCCAGATCTGTACAATATCGACATAATTATTAGTGCTTGGCAATCTATTGGTCATCACGCCCCTTCCGGTACCCGGGAACGCTTTCGAGATCTTTGTATTGCGGGTAGGCCTTCGGTCCGTCGCCGGTCCCTCCTAAACGATTGAAAATAAGTCAGAAATATATAGCTACCTGCCGGCGGACCCTTGGATTCGACTTGTGGCGCCATTTTTTCTGTTGCCGTGTTCCCTGCTAATTGAGCCTGAAAACGCCGATATTTCTCAAAAAAATTGAAGAAACCTGTTGCTTCGCCTTGTTTAGCAACAACTCTTGCTCGTTGGGCGGAAATCTTCTCGTTCCCTTCACCCAGGATAGCCATTCGACGCCCGGCGCCGCCGTGGGGTTTTCTGAAGGCGGATCGAAGCCTCTAGAACTACATAGGAAAGAAAAAAAAACAGAGCAACCTCTTCACGTTGTGCTTTGTACCGTGCAGTTCATAATATTTTAGGCCTTGTCCGTCTTCGCCGATGTATCGCTGTACAAAATATATATCTAGTAAAGTGTAAATACCTTCTCGGCCCAATCCTTCTTTAGCCACTTCCTAAAATTCGTTGCTACCCGTGCCCATGCTCCCGGTCGGCTCATACTAAAAATATTATGTTGCTGATTTCGAGCGATCCTCCAGGTATCAGGGAACTGCCGGTGTGCTGTCGTGTGTATTATCGTTTCCGGTAACCAAACATTTATTTGAGATCTAATAACTCAAAGAAAATAATTTATTGGAATTGACGAGAGAGATAACATATTTACGGTTGGGTGGAAAGTGAGAAGGACAAAAACAAGGAAGGATACGGGGTGTTGTTTAGATCATATCCGCGATGTTCATCGGCATTTCGTCGATTTGAGTAGAATAATATTGTTCAATATCGCGAAGGATGCGAACGTCGTCGTTCTTGACAAAGTTGATGGCAACACCCTAAAAAGAAAAGACATTTTCAATTCCATGGATAAATAAGCTACCTTGCGTCCGAAACGACCTGATCGGCCGATGCGGTGAATGTACAGCTCACGGTTGTTGGGCAAATCGTAGTTGATGACGAGGGAGACTTGCGGCACATCCAAACCACGGGCCCACACATCGGTCGAGATCAGGACACGCGACGTTCCGGCGCGGAAGTCCTAAAAAAATATTTCGCGGTTATAGGAATTCTTACCTTCATGATCTGCTCGCGTTCTTTCTGTTCCATCTCTCCGTGCATTGAGGAAACGGTGAAGTTGGCCTCCTTCATCTTCTCGGTGAGCCAATCGACCTAAAAAAAAAGATTTATAATAGAAAATATGAAACCAACAAACCTTTCTGCGCGTGTTGCAGAAGAGTACCGCCTGGGTGATGGTCAGCGTGTCGTACAGGTCGACGAGCGTGTCGAACTTCCACTCCTCCCTGTCGACGGCGACGAAGAACTGCTTGATGCCCTCCAGCGTCAACTCGTCACGTTTGACAAGGATGCGGACGGGGTCGGTCATGAACTTGGCCGTCATCTCGAGGATCTCGTGGGGAAGTGTGGCGGAAAGGAGCACGACCTGAACAGGACATAATCAATGAAAAAAATAATAATATTTACCTGGCAGCCCGGGGGCAGATAGCGGTAGATGTCGTAAAGTTGTTCTTTGAATCCCTTGTTCAGCATCTCGTCGGCTTCGTCGAGCACCAGCAGCTTGATTGAGCGGGTGCGGAGATTTCTGCGGCGGATCATGTCGAAGACGCGACCGGGTGTTCCGGAAACGACGTGCTGGCCATAGTCGAGCTTGCGGATGTCTTCTCCGACGTTGGTCCCTCCGATGCACGCGTGGCACTGCACGTTCATGTAGTCGCCGAGCGCAAGAACGACCTGAAAAAAAAACATTAGAGAAACCAAAAAAAAAAATGCCTTACCTTCTGAATCTGCGTTGCCAACTCGCGAGTTGGTGAAAGGACGAGTGCTTGTGTTTCGCGAACTTGAACGTCGAGCATCTGCAGCACCGAGATGGAGAAGGTGGCGGTTTTACCCGTTCCGGATTGGGCCTGTGCGATCACGTCACGTCCCTAAATTTTACATAAACAATTGTTATGGACAAGCGTACCCCGATAACTGGCTTGATGGCGCGCTGCTGAATCGCTGAAGGCTTCTCGAATCCGTAGGCGTAGATGCCGCGGACGAGGTCCTCGCGTAGGCCCATCTGATCGAATGTCGGCACCACTTCGACGCCTTCGCTCGTCTCGAACTCTGTCTTGGTGAGGTCCGCATCGGGCTCGGCGCGACGTTTAGTGGCTCCGGGCATCTTCTGAAAAAAAATGTAAGTAAGGGTCGGAAAAACCAAAGGACAAAAAGGAGAGCAAAACGGCAACTTTCGAAGAACGTGTTTTTTTTTCTTGGTTAAATCTATGGTGTGCCGGGTGTCCTTTCCAGATTTCGAACGGAATGAGATTGTTGTTGAGCAAAAAGTATCGAAAAAAAGTAGGCCAGGACGAGAAAACAGCTCGAAACAAAGAAGTGGCCATGGTTTAGTTTATTTTTGGGTATGCAAGCCGTTATTCGCGCACTCGCTGTGTAAAAATCCGATCAAAAATCAATTCCGAAAAATTTTAGGTAGGTAGTGCCGCTTTTCAAGAAGCGCAAACTATCTTCGGAAAAGCGTTACGTAGTAGCGTACGAGACTTAGTGATACCATACAAGACTTTGCCAGCCAAACCCGGAAAACAACGGCTCAATTTCGGAAAGTTACAACGAATCTACAAAACAAAACTCGAGCGGCGTGAGGGGCTTTTCGAAAGAGGATTGTGGCGTCGATAGGCCAGCTGCGGTGGCCTGGGCGAATTTCGGTGCCAAGACGCAGAGAGGTCGCGTCGCGGAGGTAGGAGAGAGTGGGGGGGAGGGGAGACGGAGCAGCCGGGCAGATCGTTCGGGGCCGAGCCGCCGTGGAATCCCCGCCCCGGTTCGCGCTTTTGAACTTTCCGAAACTTCGTTTTGCGAAAGGCTTTTTGTAAATTATTATTTCTGATGTTTTATCTTCCTCTAATTCACATGAAAAATAACTGTTTTCTACATATTTGACCGCTTTTGTGCCTATAAAAGAGAAGGCCAACTAAATTCGATAATGGTCTCTGAAAATTAGCTCGAGAGCATCAGAAAATCGTGGCTTCTGAACGGTTTAAACCGACGCCATTTTTGTTTTTGATCAGCTTGAGAAGATCATCTTAGTTTTCATGGAATTTTGAACCTCTTGAAAAACCTCTTCGAATTATGGCTGATGGAAATAAGTTGATTAGGAATATGAAAACTTGGCTAAACCGTGTTGTTTATGGAAATCGAAACGTGCTTTTTATATCCATGAGGGGAAATGTTACTTTCGAAAAATTGGCGCGCTATTGACCTCCATTGATCCTTCCCCTTGGCTTTGATAACAAATTTCATTGGTGTGGTCGTCTAGAAATTATGTTTTGCCAAGCATCTGGGTTCCTATGAATTGTACTCTGTCGCCTTCACCGACCCTTTGAATTAAAAATGCTTTCAGAAACTCTTCAAGGTGAAGTCTATGAAAAGATTGCCGGTCCCGCGCCTCTACGCTGCCTCGCTTCGACATTTTTCTAAAAAGACCCCACTTCCCGACGACGAACTGCTGATCCCGGATTCGCCAGTTTGCTCTCACGTAGATGACGTCGGCGAGGTGCCCACGTTTGACCACAAGCTCATCACCCACCTGGAACGGCTCTCGCTGTTGCGCTTTTCTGACGAAGAAGCCGTTGCAAATCTGCGGGAAGCTGTCCGGACGGCGAATCGGTGAGTTTTTGGCATCTGCGGCTCCTTATTTTCCGAGAGCAAATGACCCTAAATTATTTAGGTTGAAACACGTCAATGTGGACGGTGTCGAGCCCATGTACAGAGTGCACGAGGACCAAGAATGTCCATTGAGGGAGGATAACGAGGCTTCTGCCCTCAGCCGAGAAGAAGCGCTCTCGAATGCTGCCAAAACGTTCGAAGACTATTTCGTGACACCACCCGGGAATTTGCCATTGGCGGCCAAGGAGGATCTGAATTTGAAGCTCATCAACGAATGGGACAAATTGGGCCAACCTAACGTGCCAGATCCACGGAAGCGGAAGAACGCTGGCGCGACAAATTGACGGCTTTTTTCGTTCATTTAGTGGCGAGTAGCGCTTTTATGTCTAGTCCCAAAAGCTCTGGTATGACAACTACCGAGTTCCGGAAATTCGGATCGCTCAAACTTTTTATTACGTCTCGTATCACGATTTCTGGCACTCTCCAAAGCTCGTATACCACAATTACCGGTACCCCGGTTTTTTTGTTGGTTCTACCATACGCATTTCTTTTCGATTTTCCGTTTTCTCTTTTTTTTTTGCACGGAATTTGGTCGACATGTCACAATATAACCTTTCCAGGATGTCCTACGTTCACACGGAGGGCCTCTCCGGCGCTGAATACTTGGCATCCATCTACGGCACAGAGAAGGACAAAGTCAACTGCTCCTTCTACTTCAAGGTAACGAATTTTTCCCGGCGAAAAATACTTGTTTTTCTAGATCGGTGCCTGCCGACACGGCGATAAATGCTCCAGGACACATCACATCCCGCAGTTCTCCCAGACGATGGTACTCAAGAATTTCTACCACAACCCCGTTGTCGACGTCCGTCAAGCGGACGCCTTTGACAGTAAGCTTTTCCTGACCATATCCGAGTTATTTGATTGTTTCAGAGGTCGGCAAGCGCAATCAAATGGAACAGGAGTACTTTGACGAGTTCTACGAGGAGGTGTTCACGGATATTGAAGCAAAGGTAAAATAGTTTTTCTACCAGGGTTGAAAAGCCGCTTCGCGACTTTTCAACCCTGGCCCCGTCTGATCCGATCATATTCTGCACTTTGCATATTTTTCACGAATCATCCATGCCGAAAACTGAAAAACATCCCCTTCTGTCCCTTTATATAGGCTTTCGTCACTTCCGGCGCATGCAAATTGTCTCCTAACAAAGAGGGAGCCCCGGATTTTCATTAAAAACTTAATTTTAATGTCGAAAATAGCACTTTTTTGTAAAATCTTATATGTGTGCAGTCGTGTCATGACCATTACGCACCTTTTGGCGTATCAAACATACCCTTAACTTCCTCCCCTATCGAGATACGACTGGAACATAATGACGGAAGTTGCATGCAAAGTGGCACACACACACACACACAAACACTATTTTTTTTATATATAGTAGGATATCTGAAACCACAGTTTAGTACGGAGAAATCGAGGAGATGAACGTGTGCGAAAACATCGGAGAGCACATGGTCGGCAATGTCTACGTGAAGTTCATGCGTGAGGAGGATGCCGAAAAAGCGTGCAAGGATCTCAACGAGAACAGATGGTATTCGAGTTTTTCTTGCGGTCTCAAAATTTCTTTAGCGTTTTTTACGGATTTTTAGAATTTCCCGCCATTTTCGCCGTATTTTAGGTTCTAGGCTCGCCACGCTCGCCGTTTTTTAGGTTCTAGACTCGCCACTTTCGCCGTTTTTTAGATTTTAGGCTCTCATCCAGCCGCGGGGAAATTTTAGCGAATCGATAGCATTTGGCAGGTCCGCAAGGCCGGCGATGTGCTATCTTTTCAGGCTTTAGAGTTTAGATTCGGGTACTCGCGGCCCATGCTAAAGTTGAGCGCGCAGTGAGCAAGTGCACTGTAAGTGTATCGTGTGTGTAACATTTAGGGACGGCGCGCTTTGTTCTTTTGCGAAACTCAAAATAATTTGATCTATTAGGTTCAACGGCGAGCCCATCTACGCTGAACTGTCTCCGGTGACGGATTTCCGTGAAGCTCGTTGCCGTCAGCACGAGGTAAAATTAGTTTTGTAGTTCCAGAAACAATTGAATTAGGTGACCACGTGCTCAAAAGGAGGCTTCTGCAACTTCATGCATCTGAAGGCTATCAGCTCCGAAGTCGGAAGCAAGCTGTACGGACGTCGTGGACGGTAAGTAATATTTAGTTTGGTTCGTTAGCAGGAGGGTGATACCAAATAATAAATAGAACTTATTTTAATAGCATTTTATTTTTAGACATAAAATTTACATTTATGTAAAAAAATGATTTTCCAAAATTCGGACGAATCGGAAACTGCCAAAACACCATCAAACTAGTCTATTCTCTATTACAATAGGGTGAATCAAGACCCCCCCCCCGCTAACGAACCAGAACCGGATTATTTTGAGGTTTTTGAGAACAACGTTTCTTTTAGTTTCGCCGACTCTGCTGGCCACTACCCTTCACGGAGAGAGCGTTTCGACCGGGAACGCGGTGGCGGCGGCGGCGGATACGGAGGTGGCGGCGGACGAAACGACCGTCGCGACTACGATCGTGGAGGAGACCGTGGGGATCGTCGCCGACGTTATTAACACAATTTCTATGGCTGTTCTTGATTTATCCTTGTTTTTTATATCCGCGTAATTCTGGCTACTTATTTATCCGATTCAATAAACGTTCCTGGGAATTTTGTTGGTTTTTTGCTCCGTCTGGTTTTACCACACAGTCTCTTGCTCCGGCATTGAATTCGATTACCAATTTCCCAGAATGGCGTTGATATCAAACTTCCCGCACAATCGGAAGCGGACGTTGTATGTTGGCGGCTTCAGCGAAGAAGTTACTGAAAAGGTATATTTTCAGCCGAGATCCGTTATTTTCTCTTTAGATTTTGATGGGCGCTTTTGTGCCGTTTGGCGAGATCATTGCCATCTCGATCCCGTTGGATTATGAATCTGGTATGCGTACGCCTTTTTCTATATGCTCGTTTTTTAGGGCTAAATCGCGGTTTCGGATTCGTCGAGTTCGAGCTGGCCGAAGATGCCGCAGCCGCCATCGACAATATGAATGAGAGTGAACTTTTTGGTCGAACGATTCGTTGCAACTTTGCAAGGTATAACAATTCCCTAATCCGTAAATTGATGTTTTAGACCACCGAAGCCAAGCGAGCGCTCCTCGAGACCCGTCTGGGCCGACGACGAATGGCTGCGGAGATACGGGCAGGGTGGAGGTGGGATTTATTTGCGATCTAATGAGGTTTAGGCCGAGGAGAGGACACAGAAAACGAGACGGCTGGCGGCGCACCCGGCATCCCGAATGCGCCCACGTTCAAGTTGCCCCGTGTGTACCTTGGTATCAAGATTGGAATTAGGTAAATTTTGATTGCCCATGCACCCAGCAAAATTTTTAGCGTGTTGTGTTGTTTTTTTCGTGGTTTTTGAATACTAAAACGTGAAAAATAGAAAATTAAAAATGTTGCGTTAGATATATTGGTCGCATCGTGATCGAACTTCGCAGCGATGTCGTCCCCAGAACTGCTGAGAACTTCAGATGTTTGTGCACCGGCGAGCGAGGATATGGCTATGACGGTGTGTTTTCCAAAGAGTCTCCTGAAATAGCTTTTTAGGCTCTATCTTCCATCGTATCATCCCCAAGTTCATGATCCAGGGCGGCGATTTCACAAAGGGCGACGGCACCGGCGGGAAGTCGATCTATGGCCAAAAATTCCCTGATGAGAATTTCATGGTAATTTTGGTGATTTGGTCCGTTATTTCGCTTTTTTAGCTGAAACACACGATGCCGGGCACGCTGTCGATGGCCAACTGTGGAAAGGACACAAACGGCTCCCAGTTCTTCATCACCACCGAGAAGACCGACTGGCTGGACAATAAGCACGTCGTGTTCGGCTATGTCATCGAGGGCATGAATATCGTGAGACAGGTTGGACATTTGCTTTTACTATACTGTTTAGTTGTTTCTGATAACGAAAAGTGTTTAGAAACCTTTATAGGAAATTTATAGTAGACAGTCTCAATGGAAAAGAGTTGCGCTGATTTTTGGCCATTTTTCATGCGTATTTGTAAAAAAATACCTGGCGTTTTCATGATTTTTTATATTTCAAAAAAAGCGTCTAATTATCTACAACAGCAAATAAATATTTCTACTGCTAAGTATGACTTTTTTAGATCGAGCAACAGGGCAGCCCTACAGGAAAGCCGAACATGGCCGTGAAGGTGGTGGAATGCGGCGAATTGACCTCCGGAAAAGCCGCGCCAACCCAACCCGACGACGAGAAGGTGCTCGACCCGGTCGCCGCCAAAATAACCGAACCCGCCGTCGTCGAGCCGATGGAAAGTTGATCTCGCATGTTTCATTTCCCCTTCCCCGATTCTCAAGGTCTCATTTTGTTGAGTTGTCCGTTTCGTTTGCCCCCGGTTGTTTCTGGTCCGCCCATGAGCCAAGATGTATAACTGGTATAAAGAATTTGTACTATCTATCGAGATTTTTGGAATATTGGTTCGTTGCCAATAATTTTTTTCTTGCAGGATTTGTTTTTGGGGTATTTTCGAATATTTAGTGCTTTATAATATTATGCTTATTATTTAGCCGAAATGGGCAAAACTGGTGGAAATTTGGAACCGCTGCCGTTCGTGCGCAAGTTCGGCGCCTCGGCGCAAGAAAGCGCTGGCGACAGCCAACCACCCTCCGAACCGGGCGAGCCATTGGATATCAAACGTAACCTGTTCTTTCGATTCTATTTTATTTCCTTTTAGCCGATCTCGGCTCCGGCAGCCATTCGAGGAAACGCTCCCGGTCGCGCTCACGTTCACGCTCAAAAGACCGCGAGCGCAAGAAGCACAAGAAGCGCAGCCGCAGCCGCGAAAAGAAGAGGAAGAGGAGCAGATCGAGGTATTTTTTTTCTTGGCCTTCTATGACCTGCGTTTTAGGGATCGTTCTCGTGAGAGACGTCGCTCGCGCTCCCGCGACAGGCGGCGCAGGACCCCGTCGGAAGACCAGAAGCCGGATATGAAGCGCGACTTCAAGCTCTCTACGCCCCCACCATCTAATGCTCCAGTCATCAACCCGTTGCTGCGCGAGGACATGCGTGAGTGATTCGTTTTTTCTTTCTTCTGGACAGAGTCTTATTCAAAACTTGAAATCAAATTTATGCATGCAAAACAGCAGAATGCGAAGTTTTCTGAGCCTTTGCGCTAAAAAACGCTTCGGGTCTTCGTTTCTTGCAAACATCCGGAGCTGTGAATAAGTATCATAAGCTTCATCAAATCTTCCGATTTGAGGATGATTTTTTGAAGAAAAGTAACTCTGGAGTATAGATACCTGCCAATATATTGTTCATTTTTAGTGGAGGCAGCCGCCGAAAAGCCTGAACTGGCCGTGGCCCTGATCAAGCCAACCCGCGAGCGCAAGTCCCGCTGGTCGACGACGAAGAGCTTCGTGCCCGGCATGCCGACGATCCTGCCCACCAACATGACCGACGAGCAGCGTGAAGCCTATCTGCGTGAGTAATTTATCTTTTTTGCAAAGTTATTAATTATCGAACGGGTAAGCTGGTTTGTGATTTTTATTTTTATAATCTTTTTTTTCTTCCTTTGAATAATCCTGGCCGGCTTGTCCGGCCAACATTTACAGTTCAACTGGAAATCGAGGAGGCGACGCGCAAGTTACGACTCGGAGACTTTATGGGAGACCCTGGCAATAGGTGCGACTGACACGAGTTTGTTTGGAATCGGATGGCAAGCTTTCTCTTTGGGGGCGAATTAGAAAATGGCGTTTTTCTCTTGCAAGCAAATAACCGGGGTTCGGCTTGGATTTGAACCAAGGCGAGGTTTGAATAATCGCGCTTCTCCCCCAATATCTATTTTTCCTCTCCAGCTAATCCTCTCCCTTTTAAGCCCTTTTCGACCATTTAAAAATATGTATTTATTTTTTCACCGTATGTTTTTTGACTAATTCACGCTTTCAGATGCCTAAATGAACCTTTCAGAATCTAATAACCTTACAGAATACGAAGACGCAAATCCCCCCACAGTGCTGTCATGGCAGTGGTGCTAATTTTGGACTATTTCAACCAATTTCAGCATAATCCTAATCGATTTAGCGTTTAGATATGCTCGCTGGCGGCAGCCACTTGTCTTAAAAATAAAAATCGAATTTATCTTTCGTCATGGGCCCGGGTGCAATTTTTAGCTAAAGCATAGGGTTAGGCCAAAAGTTGCAACCGGGCCTTTGGCGTGGCTTCATGTGTGCATTCCAGGAGCCCATCGCCCGAGCCGGTCTACGATGCTAACGGGAAGAGGCTGAACACGCGTGACGTCCGGAAGCGGCAGGAGATTGAGGTGCAGCGCCACTGCAGGATCAACCGTCTGATGGAGATCAATCCGAACTACAAGCCGCCGGCTGATTATCGGTAAATTACCTATTTCTGTAGGGTGATAAAACCAATGAAGAAACGAAAGCAAAATAGTTATCATAAAAAATGAGCTTTTTCGAGATTATCGTTAAATTTTTGCGGGCCGATATGTTTGATTTATTTCCAAGGTTTATTAAAAGAAAATCAAGGAAGAACAAGAAAAAGAAAATTTTCTCCTAATTCTCTTTTTAGTGCGCCAAACATCCGCCTCAACGAGCGCGTCTGGATTCCGCAGGAAGAGCACCCCTCTGTAAGCCCGTTTATTTTTGCGTAACAATTTTTCTAGATCAACTTTGTCGGTCTGCTGATTGGCCCACGTGGAAGTACGCTGAAACAGCTCGAGGCCGAGACTGGCTGCAAGATCATCATCAGGTATCGTTTATTTATAGTTGCTGATCATTTTCTTGCAGAGGCAAGGGCTCGGTGAAGGAGGGCAAACTCGCTGGCCGCGTTGGACCGCTCCCCGGAGAAAACGAGCCGCTCCACGCCTTCGTCACCGGCAATGATGAGAAGATTATCAAGGCGGCTTGCCAACGGGTGAGTTTTTATTCTTATTCGCGATTTCTTCATTTTGATTTTTTTTACTGGCGCATTTTTAGGTGGCCTGCATCATCGAACAGGCCATTATGGGCGGCCCGATTGGTGGCCCGAACGATTTGCGTGCTCTGCAGCTTCGCGAGCTGGCCATGCTGAACGGGACGTTCCGTCCGGAGGATTTCTTATCTCAAGAGAAGTGGGTTTATTTAGCACACTTTTCTACGAATCGCGTTTTCTCTGACATTTTGACTTCACCTTTTTAAAAATGTGCATTTTTACCTTATATGATATGAATGGTTTATTCAACCGGGTAATATAACGTAGGCAAAAAAAAAATGATAAACACGTAAAGTGAAAAAAAAAACATGGGTGAAAGACGAGGGACGGGGATAATAGGTTTTTTGCTTAGGAGGGATTATGGGCTAGGGGAAGGGTTTCAAGACTTTTCCTAAAGCGTTTCGCGCTGGTCGGAGGGTTCAAGAGGAGAGGTGGCGGAAGTGAATTCCATAGTTTTATGATGCGTCGTGAAAAGATAGACCTAGGGGTATCTCCTACGCTGTTAAATCTAGTGAGCTGGAACCTGTGGGAACTCCTAGAAGGTCGCGTCGCAAGTTTAAGAAATTTGACTGGATAGCTCTGCTGGAAAATTATTCGATAGCACAGGACGAGGTCATTTTGGTTTCGGCGTGTTTCGAGGGTGGGGATTTCAAAAAATGCTAGCCTCTCTTCATACGGAATTACGGGAAACCCTGGGCAAAGTTTAGAGTAGGCATGAAAGGTAAATCTTTTCTGGACATTTTCGATCTTCTGAATCAGATATTTGCGGGATGGAGACCAAACTTCACTCGCATATTCCAGAATCGGTCTACATAGTGTGCAAAAAGCGCGGATATAAGTAGTTTTATTGGGTACCTGAATCTTTTTGATGATTAAGTACGAAATTCGCGCCGCTCTTGCGCAGATTTCAGTGATATGCGGCTTGAAAGAGAGCTTATTTGTGTATCTAACACCGAGATCCTTGATGATATCGACCGTTTCGATTGGGCTATTTGCGAGAAGTAAGGGAGGTGCGGGACTTAGGGAAGTTAAGCAAAAGGTCTTATTAACGGCGAGGGACATCCCATTTTCCGAGGCCCATTTTTCTATGATAGAGATGTCGGACTGGATAGAGGTGTGGGGACTGGGACCTGAGCGCGGCCCAATACCTGCATAGATTTTGAGATCGTCAGCGAATAAGAGATTTTTGTTTACTAGAAGGGGTGGGAGATCATTTATGAAGATCAAAAAAAGTATGGGCCCTAAGACACTACCCTGCGGGACCCCCGAGGTTTGAGGACGTGGCTTAGAAACTGAGTCTCCGTTCTGTACATGAAAAGTCCGACCGGTGAGATAGGCTTTCAACCACGAGTATATGGGAACAGGCAGGCCCGTTTGGGCGACTTTATCTAGGAGAATGTGATGGGGGACTTTATCAAAAGCTTTTGCTAGATCGAAATATATGCTTATTGGTTTTTCACCGGAATCTAACATGTTGGCAAAGTCATGGAACATTTTGATGAGCTGCGCGGTGGTAGAATGAGAGGCTCTGAATCCAAACTGGGCCGGGGAAAAGAACTGTTTAGCATCTAGAAAAGAAATTATTTTGTGTTTCAGCGCAACTTCAATAACTTTGCAAATCGATGATGTGAGGGCTATTGGGCGATAGTTTTGGGCCTTAGTTTCGTCGCCGGTCTTCAAAAGGGGTACTATTCGAGAAAGTTTCCAGTGAGCGGGGATATCACCTTTTAGTAAGGTGATATTAAAAAGCCTAGTCAGAACGGGAGCGAGTATCACCGAACATTTCTTGAGGAAAAGAGTGGGAATGTTTTCGGGCGTCCAGTGGGTTTTTGGATTCATGGAAGCTAGGGCCTTGTCAATATCGTTAGGGGTGAACAAAAAAGGGGGCGAGGGGTCGGGATGATGGGAGGGGGGACGTTGCCCTCGAGCGGGCTGAAAAACCTGCGAGAAATAGGCTGCAAATTCCTCTGAGACCTCCGCCTCGTCTGTGATTTTGGGAGAATTTTGATTTTTGAGAAGTGAGATGGGATTTGGCTTACTCTTAGATTTTATGTGGGCGAAAAAGAGGCGGGGATTACCAGAGGCAAATATGCGTTTTTCCGCGTTTCTCAAGAATTTCTGGCAATTTACTTTATGCCGTTTGGAATGGGCCAGATACTCATCAAAGCTACCGGACGTCGCAATAAATCTAGACCAGGCATCATCTTTCTTCCTAAGAGAGCGCTGAATGTGGGGCGGGATTTTAGGTAAGGTGCCTTTGAGCCTACGGGGGACGGTGTCATTGATTATTCTCGCGAATTCCAGGCAAAATCTGTCATAGGTCGCTTGGATAGGATCAGCGAGGGAAAGAAATGACCAGTCGGTAATAAATAACTCGGATTGGGCCTTAGCATAATCTGCAGAGTGAAAATCGGGAGCGAGAGTTTGACTAGAGCTAGGTATGACATTTTGGGCGAAAAGGGTTGCTACTGTTGCTATATGATCGCACTGGTTAAAAGCGGGAGCGGGCTTGCAATCGATGTTTAGGTCAGGGCTAGCGACAAAAAGATCCAAAATTTTGCCCGTACGGGGAAAAGTCGGGAAGGTGGTCAGCAGTTTTAGATTTTGCTCAAAGAGTAGATCGCGTAAAAGATCGGCTATGCCCGCCGAGAAGGAGGGACCCGGGAAAATAGGCAGGTTGAAATCACCTAGTAAAATCAGCGAATTTGCTAAAAGAAATGGTTCTAGATTAGCAAAAAGCGATTCCGTTTGAGAGTAAGACGTTTGGGGAGGTCTATAAACGTTAACGAATCGGTACGGCAATCAACTATAATAATTTTGCTGTGGTGTCTGTCCGTCTGTCTGTCTGTGCGTCATGTCCCAGATTCAACTCGAAGGGGAAAGGAGCTAGAGCTTAGCTCTCTTCGGATTCGGATAGAGCATGGTCAGAAACCCCCAAACTGATAAAAAAATTACGAAAAAGTTTTAATTTAAATTATTAAAATTAACTTTGAAAGTTTTTTCCTTAGTAAAAGGGGTGGGGGACGGAGGTTGGAGTGATTTTGGGCATAGTGAGCCAGGTCGCGCGCGTTTCGTGGTTGAAAATTTTCACGGGGGATTTCATTTCTTTTTTTCTCTCATTCCATCCGGTCGGTCGTTATTTTCGTTTTTTAAAAGGATTTCGGCTAGGGGAGGTATCTAAAGCCATCAGGAAGGTATTTAGGTAGTTTTTGAAGGGGATTTCGGCCAGGGGAGGTATCTTAAGCCATCGGGAAGGTATCTAGGTAGTTTTTGAAGGGGATTTCGGCTAGGGGAGGTATCTTAAGCCATCGGGAAGGTATCTAGGTAGTTTTTGAAGGGGATTTCGGCTAGGGGAGGTATCTTAAGCCATCGGGAAGGTATCTAGGTAGTTTTTGAAGGGGATTTCAGCCATGTGGGGTATCTGAAGCCATCGGGAATGTATTTAGGTAGTTTTTGAAGGGGATTTCAGCCATGTGGGGTATCTGAAGCCGGGGGTATCTGAGGCCATCGGGAATGTATTTAGGTAGTTTTTGAAGGGGATTTCAGCCATGTGGGGTATCTGAAGCCGGGGGTATCTGAGGCCATCGGGAATGTATTTAGGTAGTTTTTGAGGGGGATTTCGGCTAGGGGAGGTATCTTAAGCCATCAGGAAGGTATTTAGGTAGTTTTTGAAGGGGATTTCAGCCATGGGGGGTATCTGATGCCATCAGGAAGGTATTTAGGTAGTTTTTGAACGGGGATTTCGGCCATGGGGGGTATCTGAGGCCATCGGGAATGTATTTAGGTAGTTTTTGAAGGGGATTTCAGCCATGGGGGGTATCTGAGGCCATCGGGAATGTATTTAGGTAGTTTTTGAGGGGGATTTCGGCTAGGGGAGGTATCTTAAGCCATCAGGAAGGTATTTAGGTAGTTTTTGAAGGGGATTTCGGCCAGGGGAGGTATCTTAAGCCATCGGGAAGGTATCTAGGTAGTTTTTGAAGGGGATTTCGGCTAGGGGAGGTATCTTAAGCCATCGGGAAGGTATCTAGGTAGTTTTTGAAGGGGATTTCGGCTAGGGGAGGTATCTTAAGCCATCGGGAAGGTATCTAGGTAGTTTTTGAAGGGGATTTCAGCCATGTGGGGTATCTGAAGCCATCGGGAATGTATTTAGGTAGTTTTTGAAGGGGATTTCAGCCATGGGGGGTATCTGAGGCCATCGGGAATGTATTTAGGTAGTTTTTGAAGGGGATTTCAGCCATGTGGGGTATCTGAAGCCATCGGGAATGTATTTAGGTAGTTTTTGAAGGGGATTTCAGCCATGGGGGGTATCTGAGGCCATCGGGAATGTATTTAGGTAGTTTTTGAGGGGGATTTCGGCTAGGGGAGGTATCTTAAGCCATCAGGAAGGTATTTAGGTAGTTTTTGAAGGGGATTTCAGCCATGGGGGGTATCTGATGCCATCAGGAAGGTATTTAGGTAGTTTTTGAACGGGGTTTCCGCTATCGGCGGCATTGATGGAGGTGGGAATGGATGTGGTGGAGTGGGACATGTAGGGTAGCCCGAAGGCCAGATGGTTGCAGTCGCGTAGCGACTGTAACCATCTGGTGAGGAGAGAAATATGTCTAGAATCAGAACTTCACAGCCTTCGAATTCGCCTATGAAGATCACCTTAACAGGGTGGTGGGTCTTAACAAACGTGATTACGCCACCTCCCGACCTGTCTTTTCGGTCAGCGCGAAAAACTTTGTAATGGCCAGGATCACAGAGCAGTGAATCAACGACTATTTGCGAGAGCCAAGACTCTTGATAGCAAACGACGTCATAAAGGAAAGAGGTGAGAAGGATCGCGTGCTCGGGGAGCTTATTTTTTAGGCTACGGACATTTGCAGAAAAAATTCTAAAGTTTACAGGTTGTTTGTCAACAGGCAAATGATAGGCGAAAGAGAGAAGGGTCGCCCGGGCTATTTGGGATGTTTGCTAGGGGAGTGGGTGTAGACCGATCGGCGTTTATAGCTGCCGATTGTACTTCATTGGAGGAGCCGGCTGATGGATTCACGGTTGAGGTTGGAGACGAGGCAGTGCTAGTCGCGGGCTTCATCTTTTTCGAATCGCTGAGTTTCGAGAAGGCGGAATTGTTTCTCACTCTAGCTGACGGCGAAAGCGATTGTCCTTTTCTCTTGTTTTTGGTCGTGTCCAGATCGATTGTCTGAGCCCGTTCTGTGGGTTTCCTGACTCTCTGAGGCCTGGTCCTCGGGGCACTCTTTACGGGGGCGACGGTGGGCTCAAGATTGGGGCGAGTGTCGGTGAGCGGCTGGGTGACACCAGGATCAACTTCCATGTGATCTTGTTGTGTGTCGAGTAGAGGCACGGGGTCGGGAGCGTGTGTCGAATCCTGGAGTGGCGATTTCAGATGGAAGGCGGAGCGGGTCGGGTCCGAATTTCGGAAAATCGTACGTTGAGCGAAGGGCGGGAGTCCGTTCCGATTTTGGCGGCGTGACGCAGCGATCAGGTTTACACGCATATGCTGGGATGCGACGATGATTTTAACGGGCCGCGGCTTGTAGGAAGAGTAGGTGCCCATCCTATAGGACCACACGATGCGAGTGTCAAGTCCAAAGAACGCGAGGATGTGGTTGATCATCTCTCGATCCAATCCACGGCGTACGTCCGGGGTAACTAGCGGGTCTGGGCGGACTTCTGGTAGGCCTTCTAATACAAGTTGGTAATCAGGATTGTTACATTTGGCATCATTTGGGTCCTCGGTCCAAGTTGGAGGTGGGCGCGGAGGGAGGGGGAGTGGATGAAATTCGTGAAGAGGGCTTGGGCGGCTCTTCGGGTAACCGCGAGCGACTTGGGCGTAAGTGGGCTGGCCAGTTGTCGGGTCACGGTTGGACATCGGGTTGAGTGAAACCTCAAACTTGGGTAATTAAACCTTTTTAAAATTAACCGGAAAAATTTAATTTGACGCCCTAATAATCGTCCAATTCCTGCCCTTTCAGGTGCACCAACTGCGGATCCGATGAGCACAAGACCTGGGAATGCCCGGATGCTCCTAACATCACGGCCGCCACGCTGTGTACGGCTTGCGGTGGCGCTGGGCATCTTGCTCGCGATTGTCGCAACCCGCGCCCCGGCTGGGAGCACAACTCGGCTGCCGGCATGGATGACGAGTAAGTTTTTTCTAGGCGTTCTAGTACCTTGATTTTAGATATTCCGCTCTGATGGCAGAATTGGAAGGCGGGAAACCGGGCGGTGGTGGCGCGGCTGGCGGCGGGAAACCGAACAGCCTCATCCCTGGACCTCAGCCAACACAACCGGTAATTTTTTTGCTCTGTAGATTGATTTTTTAGAACCGACCCGGCGGCGGTCCTCAGAGTCTCTTCAACCGACCCGGAGCCCCATTCGACGGTCCTTCGCGTCCGCCGATTCACGGTAAACATGGCAAATTTTCTTGATTATTTTTTTTAGCCGGACCGTTCGGCCATCATTTCCCTGGTGTTGCGAACCGAGGCGGCCCTCCGCCTCCTCCTGGTCAAGGCGGCGGCTACTTCCCGCCTCCGCCTGGATCATACGGCGGTGCTCCGCCTCCTCCTCGTCACAATGGCGACTACTCGGCTAATGTGGTAAATTATCTTTCACTTGGTACTTTTGATCGGGCTTCCGTGAACCGTACGGAAGTTTCGTGTTGGCGGGGGAGCAAGACAACTTGACATTAACATTTAACACTGTTTTTATCCAACTGCAAAATTTAACAATTATACGAAAACTTTTGTATTTTGGGTAAAAAGTATCAAAAAAAACCGTAACAATGCCTTTTCAACTTATTTTTTCATTCAGCTGTAGAGACTGAGACTGTGAAAATCCATTTCGAAAAATGACCAGAATTGGCAATAATTGTTTTCAAATACTCTGAAAACTTTATTTTAGAATATCTTAGCGCTCAGAAACACTCCTAAAAATAGTTTGGATTTATTACCAAGGAACTATCGATGCTGTGCTCCTCAGCTAACATAGTAACATCTGCGTGCGTTTCGCAAAAAAAAATTCTAAATCCCCGATTCCAGGTCGGTTCGCGTGATCGCGGCTACTTCGGTGGTGGTGGCGGCGGCGGCTACGGTGGTTATGGAGGACAGATGCCGATGCCCGTCCCACCGCCTCCGATGGGTGGCGTCTCGGCCTTTGCTCCACCTCCTCCACCGCCTCCGGTGCCCCAGCCCGACTTCTCGGCCCTTCTCAAGTCAGCCCCACCGCCTCCGCCCCCATCTTAAATTCCCCGGTTCTTCTCGTCACTTGCCAATTGAACGTCATTGTTGATTTCCCTGTTTTCACAACTTTGTTTAACCTGTTTACCGAATTCCCTGAATTTCGCCGATTTTTATCTTGCCCATTTTCATTGAATGCCGATTTCTGTTTATGCAGGCTAATTTTGGTTTGTTTTCTGCAAAATCTGGACGATTTTTTACCTAGAAACCTTTTCGAACTAGATTTAAAAGTTAGCCGCATAATCAGAAATCGGCGAAATTAAAATCGGTGAGATCAAAATCGGCGAAATGAACTTCTACCCTTTTTACCCCCTACATTTATCCCACATTGTGGCCGCCGACTCCTCTTTGATGGTTGTGTGCTACGTCGCTTGCTTTTGGTGCGCGCAGCCCCACCTCTTCCACTTCCGCTTCCTCCTTGTACCCGGGCAATCTTCGTCAAACTTTTGCGTTACCCTAAGCCTTCACCGGTAGTTCACCGCTCCTCTCCGCTATTTACACGCTATCTATTTGTTTCTGAATAAATTTTTAGTAAAAAAAGGATGTCTCGACACGGTGTTCCATACAGGGAAGCCCTAATTTGTTTTTTGGAGCCGAAGTGAAGCTGCTGGATTATATAGGGATCATTTCCGAGGAGCAACTGTTGCAAGGCGACGTTTGAGCAACACTTTTTCCCGTTTCTACTAACGAGGAGGCATTTTTGAGCGGTGACGGAATTTCAAAATGTCATGCAGAATTTTTCGCTGTTTACAACGCAGTTTTCGTCTGGGTAACGACCACCATAAGAAACTTTTCCCTATGACCTATGAAGCTTGAAAGGGCAAAAACTGTCACTGTTTGGCTTTGTTTTCATTTTTCAAGCTGGAAAGCCTCGTGACTTTTCAAATATAGTCGTTTCGCAGATTCTGAGGATTGCATTTTGATCGGTGTAAAATTCTTTACGAAAAAGGCTTAGTCCCATTTCGACTACACACTAAAAAACGTCTCCTTGTCAAAAATCACTGTTGCTCAAACGTCGCTTTGCCCAGCCGCTCGAAACGTTCCCCTCAAGCAATTGCTATTTTTACCTTCTGACTTCCAGATTTCATGCGTGAGCCATGAATTCTAACATCGAGCTGCATTGGCGCCGTTTTTTGATGCACGTCAATGATTTGGAGGCATGGTTCCGGATCAATTTTTGATGATTTATACTAGGTCCCGCAGCCGTTGCGCCGCTTCTTCAAGCAGGGCAGGCGACGAGGGGTTGTTGGTGGGTACAAGCTTCGAAGACAACAAATCTTGATTTAGTAGCGTTGGCCCTGTTGTTCCTCATCTACTATCTGTACCCGTCGGGCGGCGGCGAATCGTTAAAAGCCTACCAGAAAAATTCGTGCCTTCGAGATCGATTGGCACATTATTTAGTCAGGGAAAAGGTATGGTTTTATCTTGCTTGTAAAATACATTGTTGCTCTAGGATTCAGCAGTCAGTGTCGATGATTGGGCCGTAAAATTTGCCGGAAATGGATTCCTGGGTGTTGGTGCGGAAAACGAGCTGTATTTTCGGTAATTTTCGATATCTGGGATAATTCACGGACTTTTTAGGGATACGAACTCTCACACGCTTTCGCTAGCCTCAGCATTCTATCCACTGGTAGATGTGGAACTGCCAGAATCGTGGTCGAAGAAAAGTGCTGAGGTTCGATTTTGCGGCTCGACATCTACAGAACCTTGTATAGATCACCGATTTCGAAAAGGGTGAATGGCGCCGGATCCATTGCTACGACGTCGTGGGCGAGTGTGCTTGCGTTGAGGAGCGAATCTACGCACACGCGACCAGGCCGAATCTTTTGGTGCAAGACGTGAAGATCATCAATCCGACGGTACGAAATGTCCACGTTGAAGCTGCAATTTGAATTTTTAGAGCAGCGCCATCCAAGTAAAACTACAGCGCCGTCCGTCGAACAAATGGACCGCGGGGTATCGTCATGTTTTCGAGGCAAAAAAACTTTTTTAGTTCTGCCACCGAGGCTCCGACTTCGACAGCCCAGACACGTGAAATCAGCGGCAAAGACAACACGTCCGTATTGGCGTCCATTTGCTCCAGCGCGCCAGGATCAGTGACAATTTCGCAGAAAAGGTAATCGATTTATCTAAGACTGTAAAAAGTTTATAAAAGCTTGATTTGGCTTTCCTTTTTAATTCTTTTTATTTGCATACTTTTTCTTCATCCGTTTTCTCTAGCTAAAATCACATCCGCTTTAGAGAAGAGACCTTCTCGTTCATCTGCGGCGCCGGGCATGCGGTGTTGAAGAATTCGGAAGTTGCCGGCGGCAAAGGTGCTCGGAATTTGAAAAAAATAACGACTATGATGTCGTTTAGGCAAAGTCTCCACCCAAGCGATCGAGGCTTTCCAAAATGCGCGCTTCCTCTCGTCGGCCGACCTCGAGAAGGAGCACGAGGCTGCGTGGAAGGAGCTGCAACAGACAACTTTCTACCTCTCGCCCTCAAAAGCTCCGGATGTCCTGAATGGGGTGCAAATCAACGCTACAAGATACGCCCTGCTCAGCCACGTCGAGGCGAAAGGGCTGTTGGTTGGCGAGCCGGCCGATCAGAAGCTGGTGAGTGGCCTTGGCTATTTGGAGTTCAATCTAAACGAAGAATAACACCAATTTGCTGCTTCTGAAAACCTGTGTGAAAAGAAAACAATAAAAGAAAATTGTGAATAATTTAAAGACGGAGAAGAGATAGGGAAAATTGGGGAAGATAAATTAAACGCATTAAGGAATTACCAAATGACCATAATCATTATAAATTCATTTCAGACAGCCGATCGTCTCCTGGGCCAACTGGGCAAATGCTACTCTGGCCACTCGAACCTCCTCTTCCCCTCCAAGTTATGGCAATCGCTGTCGGATTCGGCTCAAATTGGCCGTGTTGCTGGTATTTTATGGTCACAATTATAACTTTTTTTTATGTTAGAAATTTGGCTGCTCACATTGGAAAAGAAGGGCTGCGGCGAGTTGATCAAGGCCGGCGCGCGCGGGGTGTCAAAGGTAGACAATTTAAAAAAGTTTCAATGTTCTTAATCTAATTCAAGATTAGACAAGCTTTTAGGCCTTTGTGCTATCCCTGCTTGCCGCGACATTCGACCAAAATCATCTGGAAATTGGCATTGACCCGGCGGATTTGCACAGACAAATGAGAGTAAGTTTTGATCGGAATTTTCAGGCGAAATTTTTATTTTCAGGCCTTCCGCCTCCCTATGCCCGGCGCCACAAAAGCCCTCGTTGACGTGAATCTCCATCTGGACGAGGAGAACATCAACTATATGCTGGTATTCGTGTATCTCAAGCTTTTCAAGCAGCTCAGGTCTCCTCCACCGACCAACTCTTCGCCTGCCCGGCCGGATGCCAAGAAGACCCGGTGACGCTGAGCGCCAGGCCGGTCAAGCTGCCGGTGAAGGTCAGTTTTATAAAAAATTCGAATAATTTTAATTTTAGATCACCAAACCTCTGACGGCGATCGTGTACGTGGCGACGAGCCGCAGGCATCTGTTGCAGTTGCGCTCAACGATTCATGTTTCTGAGGTCAACCACGCGCCGGCGCATGAGAATGAGGTAATTTCAGGCAGCCTATCCTTTTGAGCTCCCTTTTTAGGTCATCGCCCTTCACGAGCACGGGCACCGTCTCGGCGGTCTTCCGATGGTCTTCTGGGTGTTCCTCGGCATAATTCTCGTCGCGTTCCACGCATTTTTGGTTAAGGTAAGACTAATCGGAAATTTGTTTTTACATTGTTTTTCTTATTGGCAAGCCCAAAACATTTTACATGGCTATTATACGTATCAGAAAGTCGCTTTTAGATTGTTTTACGATGTCAAATCTAAAAATTTGTTTGTTTTTTATTGGTTGGAAATGCAAAGATTTCTTCGCTTTTTCAACCAAAAACGCCCGGTCCTCAAACGAATTTCAAGTTTCCAAATATTTTTCTAAGTTTCTAGATAGTTTTTTCCACTCGAAATTTGGCTAAATTCTATCAAAACGGTATTAAAATAATTGTTAGTACCATATTTGGACTTATAGGAAAAGGTTACCCACCTCGATATTGCAACAGCTCCGAAAAATTTCAACATTTTTCTTTTTTTCAGTTGCTGCTTACTGTACTAGGTAGATCTGCTTCATTGAAAAAGATTAAACCCCGATATTGTAAAAAAATTCCATAGCTCCGAAAAAATCAGACATTTTCTCATTTCAGTTGCTGTGGACCGAGTGGCGCAAGGGTGACACCACCCCCTACAACCCCTACCTTCGATTCCGCTACCAAAACCAGCGGAGCCACTGATCTTCGATGGACGGATTTTTTTGGACTTATTGACATGCCCTGTTTTCCCCACGCGGCCACCCCGCCATTTCCTTACGCCACGGAATTTGCACAACGCCCTGCAAAACTTCTGGTCAACAACACGCCTGTTTTGATGACCATGTTGCATCAGCCGTGCGTCAGATTTGGTGGGGTAGAAAAGGGGCCCACGTGGCCACCCAGAATGCCCCCCCCCCCCCCCGCTTTGTATCTATCTCCCCCCCCCCCCCATTATTTATTGCGTGTAACACGTTGTATTAGCCAGCTTTTGTACAGTTAACAAAATAAGGGTCAAAAATTGAGCGTCGACAACTGAATGAAAGAAAAGGAAACGACTTGAAAAATTGAATTCTGATGATTTTTATGGTTTTAGGTACGTAATTGCCTTTATTCAGCCTATTATTCAATGTAATTATATAGCAAGTTATTTTGTAGTGTTTTCCGTAGTTTATGATGATTAAGAAGTAATTAAAAATACTAAAAATATGACATTTTTGACCAATCAGTCAATTTTCGAAATTTTTGATAAGTTTTTATGAGTTGCTTGGATAGCAAAATACTTTTAAAATAGGTTGTGTTTTATTACAGTGCGCTCCGGCAAAAGGCGGAAATATTCACCCCCGCTAAGGAACCAGTGCCCTCGAAAAACAATTTTTTTTTGTTCTTTTCGAGCTTGCAAAATTCGATTGAAGTAGCCTTTGTTTTATTATCGTTCGTCTGCGGGAAAGGTGGGAAAGTTTACCCCCCCCCCGCTAATGAACCAGTGCCCTCGCACTTAAAGTTAAAAATTATGCCTTTAAACATCCGTTTTTTTCTAGTTTCTCTAAATTTGGTTGTCGACCCTCACCTGCTAATAGCAATCTCGTTGCCTAACTAAAATCACCAGCTTCATCGTCGCTTTGCCAAAAAGAAATTCTCGTGCTTCACCTTTAGTTCACTTCCGTTATAACCCCCCGCCTTACCCCTGCCACTCAAACACGCATGGCGTTTTGCGTGTTGGCTTGCAGCCCAGTTGACTGTGATTCTGTCCCCCCTCAGCCCAGCACTCACTTCTCGATACCCCATAGAACAAAATTTCGTTTTAATTATTATTATTATTGTTTTCGTCTTTTTGTCGTTCTGGCCACAATTTTCTATTTATTTGTACGATGGGATAAATTTTTCGGGTAAAAACTGAGGTTTTTCCAGGCTTGCAATGGTTGAACGCCTTGAATTTCTTGAAAAAGATGTGATTGCCAGAAATTGGAGTTGATCTAGCATGGCGGACAAGCCGGCGCCCAGCAGCAACCCGATCGCCTCGAAGGCGCTCGTCATTTCGGTATTTTATGACGATTTTCTGGATGGTTTTTCCTAGCAATTTCAACGACGCCTCCGCGAAAATATCAAATCGCTGAACGACAACTTTCAGAATATTGTGAGGTGAGCTGGGGCTATTAAAAGGATTGAGAAATGGAGGTTACTGTATGCCGTTTAATATTTAGCTAAAAACATTATTGAGAAACGTAGAAAATGTTCAGCAATTTTTAATGTTGTTCGAAAAATGTTGCTTTGTAAATGCAAACTTCGAGCTTTTCGTAGGTTCAACTTTCTATTTCAGCCTGGCGAAGGTCAACACCGAGGAACGGGCGCACAATTCGAGCAACAGCATCGGGAAAATGAGCGAGTACGAGACGGTTCGCTCGGAAATGATGGCACGCGCAGCGCTGATTGTTAGGTAAATCGGAACTGTTTCTACCTTGTTCTAAAGCCATTTTCGCGTTCAAATTGTCTAAATTTTCGTTCCAGGGCCTGCGACGAGCTGCAAAAATTGACGACCGACATCAAGGAGTTCCTCTTCCTGAACGACTTTGAGTACCTGTCTCGGACGATCAAGGAGGCAGAGCGGAAAGCATTGGTATGTTTCAGAGAAATCGATGAAAAATGAGTTATTGTCTGTGGTTTTTTTAATGAAACTACCTTTGCAGGAAATTCAACGAGTCCACCGAGCCCGGCTGCTCGAGTTCCGCACCGACCTCGTCAGCCTGAGCCAGGACATCGACCGCGAGCTGCTCGACGATTTTTACCTCAAAGATTGACCCTATTTCATTTCATTTTTTGCTGATTATTTTCCACGCCGAAAATGGCGGCAATAAGGCCCTAAGCAACGCACCATTCCTATCCACTGATTCGTTTACTTGACCGATACGTTTTCATTTTTTTGCGAAATGTAATTCCATTTCACGGGTGTTGCGATTTTTTGGACTTGGATAATTTTACTTTTACCTCTATTTTTCGTTTTCCATGATCTCCATTTTCGTGTTTACACTTTCCACATAAAGCCTTTTCAGGTTCCATCTGGCCATGGTTGCCGAGATCCCGTCGTGGAACAGCAAGCCCAAGTTTTTGGGGAAACGGGATGAAAAGTGGGAATAAATTTGTTAGGATTTTACGTTTTGTTTTAGGCCCCTACCAGTCGCTGGCCGCCGCAACGTGCTCATCACGTCGGCGTTGCCCTACGTCAACAATGTGCCGCATTTGGGCAACATTATCGGCTGCGTGCTGAGCGGTGACGTGTTTGCTAGGTAACTTTAGGCCTTATAAAGCTTATTTTATTATTTTTTAGGTACTCTCGCATGCGCGGGCACCAGACCCTCTACATTTGCGGCACCGACGAGTACGGGACCGCCACCGAGACGAAGGCCCTGCAAGAAGGGCTGACCCCGCAGCAAGTCTGCGACAAGTACCACGTCATTCACCGCGACATCTACAAGTGGTTCAACATCGACTTTGACAACTTTGGGCGCACGTCGACCAAGCATCAGGAGGAGTAAGTTTTGTTTTTCTAGTCGATTTTCCTCATTTCAGGATCACCCAAGAAATCTTCACACGCCTTCACGAAAACGGCTTCACATCGACGTCGTCGGTGGACCAGCTCTTCTGCGAGGGTTGCGACAAGTTAGAAATCAGAAATCTCTCGAAATTTCCTCTTTCAGATTCCTCGCCGATCGCTTCGTCACCGGCATCTGCCCATTCTGCGCCTACGACGATGCTCGTGGAGACCAGTGCGACGGCTGCGGCAAGCTGATCAACGCCGTCGAGCTGAAGCAGCCCAAGTGCCACGTCTGCAAGAAGGAGCCGGTCGTCCGCCAGAGTCGCCACATCTTCCTGTCGCTGGACAAGCTGCAGGTGCTTTTTGCTTTTTGGGCTTTTAAGCAGGCTACCGGATCCTACTATATATAAAAAAATAGTGTCTGTGTGTGTGTGCCACTTTGCATCCACTTCCGTCTGTCTGTCCGGACGATATCCCGATAGGGGAGGAAGTTACCGGTATGTTTGATACGTCATTAGGTGCGCAATGGCTTTGAGATGACTGCACACATATCAAATTTTACAAAATCAGCCATTTTCGTCATTAAACTTAAGTTTTTGTGAAAGCTTCTTTGTTAGGAAATAATTCGCATAGACCGGAAGTGGGGATTCGACTATATAAATGCACAGACGAGGTTGTTTTTCATTTTTTGTGACCTGAATTCAGTACAATTATGCAAAGTGAATGATAAAATGGGGTTAGACGGGGCCAGGGTTGAAAAGTCGCGAAGCGGCTTTTCAACCCTGGTATGCATAAAAAATCTGGTGTTTCTTCATCTTGCATAATTACCATTTCGCATAACGCTATTTCGCATAATTGCATTTCGCATAATTTTTATTCCGTACCAGGGTTGAAAAGCCGCTTCGCGACTTTTCAACCCTGGCCCCATCTAACTCCATTTTTTTTCACTCTGCATACGAATTTTTCCGGATTTTTCAACAAAAACTTAATTTTAATGTTGAAAATAGCATAATTTAAAAAAATCTGATATGCGTGCAGTCATCTCGGGGCCGTTACGCACCTAATGACGTATCATACGTAGCTTAAGACCTTTCCCCTCTTGAGATATCCTCCGGACACGGTGACGGAAGTTGCATGCAAATGCACACACACACACACACACAGGAACTATTTTTTTAGATATAGTAGGATAACGGTGATTTCGCATAACGATGATTTCGCCTAACGGCGATTTCGCATAACGGTCATTTCGCCGAACCGTGATTTCGCATAACGATCATTTGGCATAATTTTCATTTCACCTAGCGATGATCTCGCATAACGTTTATTTCGCATATTTTTTAGTTAGTGGCAACCAAGAGCAAAACGGGGCGTTTTTGATGATATGAAGTGCAGTCACGGTATAAGACAATCGAAATGCCTAGCTACCATTTACGCGGATTCCGCATCAGTAATCAATGTAATGCTTTTGACCTAGTCTTGCGGTCAGATTTGCTGGTTTACACATGGACCAGGGTTGAAAAACCGCTTCGCGGCTTTTCAACCCTGGCCCCGTCCAGGACCTGTGAAAGTCCTTAATTTGCATGTTTCTTCCTGAATTCTAGCAAGAAAAAAGTGAAAACGGCGCCCCTGTCCCTTTATATAGGCTCTTCCTACTTCCGGCGCATGCTAATTTCCCCTAACAAACAGGGTTTTACAAAAACCTATTTTTAATAGCGAAAACCACAATTTTTCAAAATTTTTATGTGTGTGCAGTCGATTCCGGACCATTCTAAACCTATTGTCGTTTCTTCCCTATCCGAAAAACCCTTTCCCGAGGCTGTAGGAGCGGAACATCCTAACGGAAGTGCATGCAAATATACACACACACACACACAAACACTATTTTTTTATATATAGTAGGATACTATCTACATCGTAGGATTTTTGGCCAAGCCCCTCAAAACAGACGTACACCGATGGCTCATGGATTTTGAGGAAGCTTGGGATATCTGCACGGAAGGGCGCAAAAAACCGCGCAGGTAGATTCTTTTAATAGATTGCTGCTTACTAAGCTAGTGTTATATATACAATCGGCTGCCAATGGCGGAAATTATGCGAAATGGCGGTTAGGCGAAATCAAAATTATGCTAAATGGTCGTTATACGAAATGAAAATTATGCGAAATGATCGTTATGCGAAATCATGGTTAGGCGAAATCACCTTTATGCGAAATAAGCGTTATACGAAATAAGCGTTATGCGAAATCACCGTTATGCGGAATAAAGATTATGCGAAATGCAATTATGCGAAATGACGGTATGCGAAATGAAAATTATGCGAAATGAATGGAAATCAAAAAATCTGTCTATTTAAATATGCATTGAAAAATTTTATTAAAATTTCCGCCAGATGCTATTTTTCTATTTTAATTATTTTTTACGAAATTTATTTAGCCGGAAGTCGCCAAGCACATCGAGGAGGTCCTGGCCCGCCCCGACAATCGCTCCAGCCCGAACGCCCTGGCCATTGCCAAGGGATGGATCAAGGTTGTATAAAAATTCTCCTTTTTTTATTCATTTTTAGGGAGGCCTCGAGAAGCGCTGCATCACCCGTGACCTGAAATGGGGGATCCCGGTTCCGCTGGAGGAGTTCAAGGACAAGGTTTTGCTACTTTTTTCGAGAATTTATTAAAATTTGAGGTATTCTACGTGTGGTTCGACGCGCCGGTCGGGTATCTGTCGATCACCAAGGCGCTTCTCGGCGACGACTGGACCAAGTGGTGGAAGAACCCGGAGAATGTCGAGCTGTACAACTTCCTCGGCAAGGTGGCTTTTTATCATTTTTAGGATCTACAATTTTTTAGGTTTTACATCGAATTAAAAGTATTTTTGTGTGTAATGAGATTTTTAGGACAACGTCGCCTTTCACACGGTCATGTTCCCGTGCTCGCAAATCGGCAGCCGCGACAACTACACGGTGATCAACAACTGCTGCGCCACCGAGTACCTCAACTATGAAGACACCAAGTTTAGGTGCTTTTTATTGTTTTTTTTATTTCCGGTGTGTTTTGTATAAATATTTCTATCGTCAATTCCGATGTATATAATCCCATTTTTCAGCAAATCGCGCGGAACCGGCGTGTTCGGCGACGCGGCCCGAGACACCGGCATCGAGCCCGACGTCTGGCGCTTCTACCTGCTCTACATGAGACCCGAGAGCCAGGATACTGCCTTCTCCTGGGATGACTTTTCCCTAAAGGTATCAAAATCTAGAGTTACTTATCTTCCGCCTTTTCCAGGTGAACAGCGAACTGCTCGCCAACCTCGGCAATTTCGTGAACCGCGCCCTGTCCTTCTTGGCGAACAACTACGGCGGTGTGGTGCCCGAGATGCACCTGGACGAGGCCGACGTTGAATTCTTGCGCGGAGTCGAGTCCGACGCCAAGGAGTGGGACCAGCTGTTGGACAATGTGAGCTAGTTTTTTCTATTGCCAGATTTCGATATTTTGAAAAGTTCGTTCGATAGAGCGTTCAAAAATCCACTAGGAGCTTTTTTGTAGCCTCAAAAATATTTAAACCATTTTTGTTGTAAAGAAACATGCTATTTTTTAAAAATCTCAATTTCTACGTATTCTTTTAGGTAAAACTCAAGGACGCGGTGCGCAGCTTCTTGGCGCTCTCCCGTCGCGGCAACCAATACATGCAGGCCAACGAGCCCTGGGCCCTCATCAAGGGATCCGAGGAGGACAAGTGATAAAAATGGCTCATTCTCATAAGCTCATTTTTTAGAAAACGCGCCGCCACCGTGATCGCCGTCGCCGCCAATGTGGCCTACTTCCTGTCGCTGCTCATCTTCCCCTACATGCCACAGGTTCGCTGTTTAAAAACAATTGTATATTTTTTAGGTATCTCAACGCATTCGCGAGCAGTGCGGCCTCGTCGACATGCCCGTATTTTCTACCGACCCGATCGCCTATCTCAAGACTGGGCACAAAATTGGCGAGGTAACCGGCTAAATAAATTACTGTAATTTTTCTTCAGCCCAAGCCCCTGTTCGAGAAGGTGGAAAAGGCCAAGATCGACGAGTTGAAGGTATAGTTTATTTAGCTTTTAATCCCACAGTAATATTCGGAATATCGTGTGGTTTTCCTTATGCTATTCGAGCTGGAGTTGCGTGGTCGGGTACTTTGCTAGCGGGCTAAAATTATGTTTTCTGATTTCCCTGCCTTTTCCTACCTATCTGTACGGAATTTCGATGAGGCGTCGGTGTAGGAATTTTCGTAGAAGGCGTAGTTTAGCGGCTCGCCCTCTTGAGATTCTGTGTAGCTGTCCTGCAAGACTCGAGAGTATAATTTTATTATATCTTTGTTTGATTTTGAATAGGGTTTTTAGGATTTTTAAGTTTGAATTAAAACGCTTTTGTAGTCTGTTAATCGGCTTTTATACGCGTTTAATAACTTACATCTCCATACACAATCGAAATCGTCTCATCGTAGTAGTACTCGTATTTTGAATCAGGATCCTGCTCCTCCTCCTCTGGCTTCTCGATCATATCGATTTCCGCTCGGATTAGCTCGAGCTTCTTTCGGGTTTCCTTGCTAAAGCTTGATATATGAAAAGTTAGGGTGAGTTTGTTAGTAGACATTTGTCGATGGATCTTTTCGTAAAATCATAAAATCGTAAAAAAAAAGCAGGCTACAAAGTATCCCAGTTGCTGAGCTTTTGACTTACATAAAAACCTCCTCTTTTGCATCATGAATCGCGAAGAATTCGGCGCTATCTTGGTCAGGGTTGACATCAATGGCCAGATCCGCGGCCAGCTTCCGGTAGCTCGAGCGCTGAGGGGTTTTCACTAAAAAAATATAGCAGCTTTTTGTAGACTTATAGGTGTTTTGAGCTACGACTTGATCTAAACGTACACGATTTTAATGTAATCCAATGAATCAGAAAAAGAAACCAAAGAAAGGCTTACCATCCAATTTGACCTTGTACGAGCGTGACTTCTGGAGGAGCGACCGGAGGGCGGTGATGGGGTAGCAGAAGATGGACATAGTGGAGGGTTCGTTAGGGGATAAAGTAATGAATGAATGAATAGTAATTTCCTGCCGGAATCTCTGGTATCACTAGCCAGATGCAGTCGACCCGGGCAGGTGGTACTTTACCCCAAGACACTTATGAATACTTTATGATTTCTCGTTGCATTAATAGCGTGATAAGACTTCTTTTTTAATTCCGGAGAGTTCAGAGAGATTATTTCAAATTATGGAGCTCTATTTGCGAACACTAATAAGACCGAATTTTTAACTTTAGGTGTACGGGTCATTTTTAATTTGTCCAAAAACATTTTTTAAGTGCTTTATTTTGCCCATCCGCGCTAATAACCTGATAAGCTGCTTTTTAGTTATAAGAATCTAGCTCTGGAAATTCAAAGGAATAGCTTTGCAAGCCTTTAGGATACTCAATTGAAAGAATATACATTGAATAACACTTTACTTTGGTTGGTAAATCATACCAAAGGTTCAGGAAATCCTCTTCCTTTCACTGCTCATTGTTCCACACACGCATTCCAGGCTCGTTTCTTGGTTTAAAATGATAGAAATCGATACGTTAACACTAATCCGACTTCATAAAACAATAGGGATTTTCAAAAACTTTTTTTTCTGGATGATATTGATGGCACAACTTCAGTAGATCGTCAACACTTCCGCTCCTCTTTATTCCAAACATTTCAGGCTCGTTTCGGAGGTGCTACAACCGAGAAAGCCGCCCCGGAACAGAACGGCAAGGAGAAAGGTACTGTGGCACACACCCTCTCGCTATCTGTCGCCCCTCTGACAGTACCCCTGTAGTTTGCACGCGGCATTTTGGCGTTTTTCCAACCCTGGGTTTTTGTTCAGCGATTGATATCTTTGTTCTTTTTTTGGCTGCCCACTTCCGAAATGGTAACAATTATGCTTTAGAACGACGTTAAAACTATATTTTTACGAGACAGGCATTGCGAAGCGTGTAGCTAAATAATACCAGACGCTAAACATCGCCAAAACTTTTAGGCTTAATGCCGTTATGTATCAAAAGCCCGTCTACTCATTACTTCAGTCGGCCTTTGACTTTTTCTAGATTTCCGCGAGCTTTAAAATTCGCTATTGATCTTGGATATCTGCCGCCTAAATGAATTTTTACAGGCAAGCCAAAGAAGACCGAAAAATCTACCACCGACAAAAAGGACAAGGCCGCCAGCGAGAAGAAGAAGGAGGAGCAGAAGAAGAGACAGGAGGTATAAAAAAACCAATTTATGAAAATTGTTTTTAGATGAATAAGCTCCTCCACTTCCCGGCGCTCGCCAAGAACCAGGGCGTCATCGACCAGATACTCCAGGCCAACGTCGCCAAGCTTGCGGCCGCAGGTCCGAATTCCAAGAAATTATCATTTTTCTTTTTTTAGAAAAGACGCTGATCGAGCACAAAATCGAGGAGCTGCGGGCGGCAAATGTCGGGCTCGAGGGCGAGGTCGAGGAGCTAAAGCGCAAGCTGATCGAGGCCGAAAAGGCCGGTGGAGGTTTGAGGATGGATTTTGGTTTTATTTCTGATTTAGTTGCTCAAATCCCGATTCCGGCTCGAAAGGCGGTTGAGGGTTCGGCCGCCACCACCGCTGCTGCTCCACAAAAGGCGACAACGGCCGAGACTGCCCCAGAAAAGTCGAGCAAAGCCGAGAGCAAGCCGGAGAAGAAGCAAACTGGAGGAGGTGGAAAGGGCGGTGCCCCGAAGGCGGCTGGTAAGCTTGTTTTTAGCCATCCGTTTCATATATCGAGATTTTTTAACTTAGTTTCCAAGTTTCCTTCTTCTTTGTTCTTCAATATCAATCGCAGCGGTTTCTAGGCAGTTTTTGCTATTCTTTGACGTAACAATTTTACTAAAATATGGATTTTTCGCCAAAAATGAGGATGCTCGATAAAATTTCAAGTGCTTCGTCCTTTTTGGAAGTTTTTGAAAGCAGTGTTCCAGAAATACGGCTAAATTCTTACTAGGAACGCTGTTAAAATTACTAATACTATTACGTTGCTAGGCATTCTTTGACTTCACGGGCAAAAAAACGCCGATTTCACGCCCGGAAACCTGAAAAAAGTCACGTGAAAAAGTTAAAGGTTTTCGTTGAAAGGTTGCTGAAAACTAAAAAAAATCTCATGTTCAGCCACAGACGACGTCATCGACATTGGCCGTCTCGATCTCCGAGTGGGCCGCATCATCCACTGCGAGAAGCACCCCGACGCCGATGCCCTCTACATGGAAAAGGTATTATTCCCTCCCCCTCCTGCCTCAAAATCCATTTTCAGATTGACGTCGGCGAGGCTGAGCCGCGAACCGTCGTCTCCGGACTGGTGAAGCACGTGCCGCTGGAGCAGATGCAGAATCGTCTCGTCGTCGTGATGTGCAACCTAAAGCCGGCCAAGATGCGGGGCGTCGAGTCGAGGGCCATGGTCATGTGCGCGAGCAGCCCCGAAAAGGCACTAGCTAATCAACTGGACATTAATTTTTCTTTAGGTTGAAATTATGGAAGTGGACCCTTCGGCCAAGCCGGGCACGCCGGTCGTCTGCCCGCCCTATGAGCATCGTCCGGATGCCCAGCTGAACCCGAAGAAGAAGGTAAAAATATGTTCTAGTTACCTAGCGGGGAGAAAAGTAAGCTTTTTTGGTCAAAAATCTACGAAAAAGGGGCAGACGTTTCATATTTTTTTGATTTTTCAAGGTTTTGCTGAATCACAAACATCGAAAACATTATAAAGCCGTCATCTCTATCGAGGTTATGCGGAAAAAAGCGCAAGTTAGCCCCCCCCCCGCAAACGAACAAGCACCTAAAATTTTTGCGAGAAAATTGTTTCAAAATATGTTTTTAGATCTGGGAAACGGTGGCCGAAGATCTTGTCGTCTCCCCGGACGGCTTCGCCACGTGGAAAGGCCAGCCCCTCCTCGTCGGCGGCGACAGCAAGATGACCGCCCCGACGCTGCGCAACGTGCACGTCAAGTAACTGCTGCCCGGACTTCTCCGACCAACCACCAAAGCTTTCCACATAGTTTTTCTTGTTTGTTGTTGTTGTTCTGGTCGCTTGTGATCTTTTATGTGCATATTTATCGCCTTTCGTACATTTTATACCGGTTTTAAAGTTTTAAATAAATGGTTGATTTTTGGCGGGTTCTGGCTCTTCGTCTTCATCGGTTCCTGGCCATGCCCACTATCATATGATTGGATATTTATGTTATTTTGATTGTTGAGCGAGAAAGATATGACTTTTTTGAAGCTAAGAATCTCGATTGAAAAGTATTTTTTTTATTCATTTTCATATTCTCAAAGCTCGATGTAGCCTACATAGCAAAACTAAGGCCGCCAGAATGCCGTTGGCTTCAATTTAGGTTTTTCTTTTCCTTTTGCACTTTCTCTTGGATAAAAATAGATCTTTCGATCGAATAGTTCTTGTTCGTGCTTGATACTGCTAGGGTATAACGTTTTCTGCGAAATTTTTCTTATGAGGTGGCGTTTCAACGATTCCGGTAGATCGTCGAAACGATGATAGCCAAAAATTTGTTTTATCTTCCGTTTCAACCAGTTTTTCTCCTTGTGTTTTCCTAATCCTACTAAATTCCTCATTTCCAGGCGGGTACTATCATGGGCAAGAAGAGCAAGCAGGCTGAGGTCGATGTCGGCGCGGCACAACATTCTGGCGACTTCCGCCTGAAGCCCAGCAGCGAAGGGCCCAAGCTCGACACCTCGCAATGGCCGCTCCTACTCAAGAATTTCGACAAGATGAACGTCCGGTCGGGCCATTACACGCCGCTGCCCGAGGGATGCTCGCCGCTGAAGCGTGACATCAAAAACTACATCTCGTCGGGCTTCTTCAACCTCGACAAGCCGGCCAACCCGTCTTCGCACGAGGTCGTAGCCTGGATCAAGCGCATTCTGCGATGCGAGAAGACTGGTCACTCGGGCACGCTGGATCCCAAGGTAATTTTGCGGGTTTTTTATATCTTTAGGCAATTGAAAAAAGTTGAATAGCTTTTTTACAAATGTTTTTTATTATATTCCTTTTTCCAGGTATCTGGCTGCCTGATTGTCTGCATCGACCGAACGACGAGACTGGCCAAGTCGCAGCAAGGTGCCGGCAAGGAGTACATGGCCATCTTCAAACTGCACAACCCCGTCGAGTCGGAGAAGAAGATCCGTCAAGGTCTCGAAAAACTCACCGGCGCTCTCTTCCAACGCCCACCACTGATCTCGGCCGTCAAGCGACAGCTCCGCGTGCGAACCGTCTATGAGAACAAGCTCGTCGAGTACGACCCAGAGCAACAGATGGGAATCGCCTGGTTCAAGTGCGAATCCGGTACCTACGTGCGTACCCTCTGCGTGCATCTCGGAATTCTGCTCGGCACTGGCGGACAGATGGCTGAGCTGCGCAGAAACCGCTCCGGCATCACCGACGAGCACGACCAGCTCGTCTCGATGCATGACATTTTGGATGCTCAATACGTGCTCGACCACCACAAGGACGAGACGTACATGCGCACAGTAGTTCGGCCACTGGAGGCGCTGCTCGTCGCCCACAAGCGCATCATCGTCAAGGACTCGTCGGTGAACGCGATCTGCTACGGCGCAAAGATCTTGGTGCCCGGAGTCCTTCGCTATGACGATGGAATCGAGCTGAACCAGGAGATCGTCATCGTCACCACGAAGGGTGAGGCTGTCTGCTTGGCCATCGCCATGATGACCACCTCTACGATCGCCTCCGTTGACCATGGTGTCGTCGCCAAGATCAAGCGCGTCATCATGGAGCGTGACACCTACGGCCGGAAGTGGGGTCTCGGCCCGATGGCTCTCAAGAAGAAGAAGATGGTCGAGCAGGGCCTCGTCAAGAAGTTCTCCAACAACGACAAGTTGTACGAGGACGTCGAGACGGAGCAGTCCGAGAAGCCGAAGAAGGTCAAGGAGGAGCCCAAGGACAACGGCACCCCGAAGGCCAAGCGCCCGAAGAAGGAGGAGACGTCGTCGGAGGACTCGGACTCGGAATAGACCCGCTAGTGGATGATGGTTCATAGTTGTTGATTTTCTTGTTGCCTCATTGGCTGTACCCTTGTTGACTCATCTCTCATTCCCCCTTTCCACACACAGATTTTGCCTTTTCCGACGGGATGTCATTATCAATTTACCGTCTCAACACCGGCGTGTCCCAATTCATTCACCTTTCCTCCCCGTAACCCTTGGTTGTCATGTTGAAATATTCTGTTCGCCCACGGAAAGCGAAAATGTTCTCTCTTGTTTGTTATTTGTTCTGGCGATGCCCCCAAGTTGTTGACCATTTCTATCAAATAAATTTTAGTTAACCCGGCTCGTCCTCGAATCGCATTGTAATGGGGAAGGGCAGGCAGCGCGGAGGGGCCGTGGCCAAGAAGCAGCGCGACGTTTTTGAGGATGAGCGCTTCAAGCACATGAAGGGCGACGCGAAATTTGTGTACACGTTGCCGCGCAAAGAAACGAAGGTATAGCTTTTTATTAGTTGCTTTAGATAGCTGCCTGACACTTGCGGTCCAAAAAGGGATTTTTGAAAACTCGTGCCTTCAAAACCCAGAGATATCGAAAAATTAGCGGTAATATCAAAATTTTGAGCGTTTTGGGCCGCAATTGTCGTGGTTGTAGTTTTGCCCAGATTGCGCCCGTCTGTCTGTCTGTCGGTTTCACGCCACTACTAACACCCTGGTTTAGCGAATTCCATTTATCTCTCGAATCGTATGGTTTTGGTAGTCAAGGGTACAGTAGTAGTTGATCACGGCGGACACAGTGTTGCAAATCAAATAACTTATCAAAATTCGGGCGGCGGGGGATACAGTATGTACAGAGATACCGGATGCTTATTTCGACATGGCGCGCTTGGCGGCCGGCTTTTCGTCGACCAACTTTTGGATTTTCGGGTTGACGACGGTGGAGCTGATGATGGCCCCGGTGACGGCGTAGGGATCACAGTTTGATGAGGGGCGACGGTCCTCGAGATAGCCCTAGAATCCGGGGTTTAATTGCGTAGTTGTAGTTCATTTAATTCCGTGTGTTTTAAATAGCAAGGTGGTTTTGAACTTTTGAAACTTTTACTCGAAAATTGGCCATTTATGGCCGAAAATGCTATATTTTTGGAAATTTTAAGTGAATTTTTATAGTTTTTACATTTAGAAATAGTAAAAGCAATTTAGAAATTCTTCTATTGATTGTAGAAAGATTATATTTTGGATAAAAGTTGATTATTTTCAAGTTTACCCACCATTCCGGCGTCAAACACGCCACGCGTAATGCGCACCGAGCACCCACGATCCGAGACGCCCCACGAGAACTTGTCGGCCGAGCTCGTCTCGTGCTTCCCGGTCAAACGGCGCAAGTTGTCGCGCCCGCCGTTCGGGTCGTACTCCTTCATGTCGTCGACATGGGTGGTCGCCAAGTTTTCACAAGCCTACAACGCTAGAGTTCATTAGCTTTTCTCCAAGTAACCTACCAATTGAATAGCCTCAATTCCCCCGGGTTTCCTCATCGCATCCGTAGAGAAATTGGCGTGGCACCCAGCGCCGTTCCAGTCTCCCATCGTGATCGCGGGCTTCGGGTCGAAGGAGACGAGCACGCCGAACTGCTCGGCGACGCGGTGCAAAAGATATCGGGACACCCAGAGTTGGTCGCCCATATCGATACCTAGAGCGCGATTTTTAATCTATAAACTTTTACTCACCTCGGCAAGTGCCGACCTGGTACTCCCATTGGCCGGGCGTCACTTCGGCGTTGGTTCCTAGAATTTTAGGTTAAGAAATGTTAATGTTTCGGCACCTCCAATTTCGATGCCCGAGTTTAGGCAGGCCAAGTAGTGCGCGTCGATGACTTCGCGGCCGAAAATTCGGTCGGCGCCAACGCCGCAATAGTAGGGGCCTTGCGGGGCGGGGAATCCATGCTTGGGCCAGCCGAGGGGGTGTCTAAACGGAAATTTAGAATCTTAGAAGTTTTTCTTCTAAATTTTATTGATAGTTTTTCTTTGAAGATTTTGAAGGTTTCTTTAGTGTTTCTGGGGGACCGAATTTTTATATATTCCTAGATATGCGTCGTAACATTTAGTATTTAGGTATTTTAATAGTCCTTTTAATAAAATTTAGTAATATCTCAGACGGAAAACTATCTTGAAAACTTTAACAATTGTTTCAAGGATTAGAATTTGGCTCGAAAATTGATAATTTGTTCTCGAAAATCATTATTTTGCGTAATTTCGAAGGTTTTTGTAAAGTTTAGAAACATTTCCTGTATTTATATTTCGAAAATTCGGTCCGGAAATTATAAGGAATCATTTTCGCTCTAAAAACTCACCCGTCACGATCCAAGAGCAAATACTCTTGCTCCATGCCGAACCACGGTTCCGTGTGATCGGCCGCCTTCATGTACTCGTTGCACTTCGAGCGCTTATTCGAAGCTGAAGGCATTTTTCAACTACTTTATGATGCTAAAATCACTTACGGGTCGGGGCGTAGTGCTTGTCGAGCGTCTCGCACATGATCAGCCGCGAGTTGCCGCCGAAGAACGGGTCGGCGTATTCGGCTACCGGTTTCAAGTAGAGATCAGAGTCGCCGCCCTTAGCCTGGCCGCACGAAGAGCCGTCGTAATGCCAGAGAGGATAATCTAGAATTGAATAATTGAAGAATCCAAAACTACTATTTTTAACGTTCTAACTATTTTTTAATCACTATTTTAATTTTTAGCTATTTTTTGTTAGTAAATTCTTACCCTCAATGTGTTTTGGGAGCTCCTTGAGCGTCCGCGTCTTGCAGCGCACATTCTCGCCGCTGCCGTCGATCCAGATGTAGGTGGCCTAATAGAGGAAATGGCTTTAAATTCAGTTCTAGATTTCTTACCAAGCACTTTGTCGGGTGGGGCTTCATGTTCAGCCCGGTGCTGATGACGGGGGTGCCGAGGGGGAGCTTCGTGTGGAATTTGGAGGCATTTCCGGCATTGCCCGCCGACTTGCAGATCGTCAATAACATTTTGGACATCTTCTGGGTGGAGAACATTTTGTTTTCTGGAATTTCGGGGGTGATTTGGTAATTTAAGAAACGAAATGACGATAGAAAATAAACGGAATGGATTTAAATAGATAATTAGGTTCTTGCGCATTATTCAGGGGGGTGAGGCGAAATTTTTTGTAAAATTCTAGAAATTCATGGTAACTTAATAGAAAGTATTTTTGTAGTTTTTAGTAAACGGAACCTACATTTCCACTAGAAACGCTATTTTGAAAAACTTTTGAGACATTAAAAAAAAGAAACATTTTGATCAAAAACGACCTTTTTTGCTCGAAAAATCTATATTTTTGTATTTTTAATAAAAAGTGCAAAAATGCGAAATGCGAAAAAAGGATTTGAGAAAGGGATTTAAAAATTCAATCGAGTTTTTAAATAACCCTGGCCGACTACGTAAAAATAAATCCAATTTTTTCGTAATTCTCGTTTCCCAATCCCAAAATTGTACCCCTGCTAACCGTTCAGACGCAGAACCCGGATTTACGAAATGTGATCCCCGCCGCGGAACTGAACTTGAGGGATGGCCTGAGATGGGGGCATAGTTGATCGCTGACAGAACCCCGCCCCTGATCGCCCTTTGGAGTGGACGAGCCGGGGGCCTCCGTAGTGTTTTTTTTCGGCCCCGACGACTATCGTGCCCGCCCGCTTGTCTGGGCCCGGGCCCGCCGGTCACACAGACCGCTGACCACTTGGGCCATGGCGAGATCTCAAGATCCCCGGCGGCCAGAAAACGGTTCTATTTTGACCGTGTCGAGTGAGAAGGGGGGAGGGGGATGGGGTGGTTTTGGCTACTCTTGAGAGGGTATTTGTCATCGGTGTACTTGAGCGTACAATCGACCTCGGGTCAAATTTTGAGATTTTCGCGCTTTTTAGGGAATTTAGAGCTTCAGATTCGACCGTAATTTACGATTACTTCCGCAAAAATTCACACCAAAAATAAGAACCATTTGTTAGGGGGGCTCGTGAATTGTTCAGCGAATTTAGGGCCCGGAAGACGTTTCGGATTTTCTTTAGAGTAAATTTCGAAAGAAGCCATCGCTTTTTTAGTAAATTTAGAAACTTTCCACCCGCGCCTGAATCTACAATCCTTTATCGCGTAAAAAATATTTACACTATTAAGACTTCTACGCGCTTTTTAACGAATTTAGACTCTAGCGGTCCGCATAGAACTGGCTCCCTTGAAGACTAAACGACGAAAAAAGACTAAACCTACGCTTTTTAGGAAAATTTATACCCGAATCGCCGCGGTGAACCTGACTAGATTTATCGCAAGTTTTTTTTCGCGCTACCACCCCCCGGGACCCCGGAATTGATATCTTATCGCGGTAATCCTGACGAGTGCTAGACAATGCGATAGCGAGGGGTCAAATTGAGGGCCGGCCATAAAGTAGCGGAAAGTGCGGAAAACAGCTTTGGGGGAGGTGTGTGGGGGTGAAAGAACAGCGTGATTGATAAGGAGTTCGTGAGGTTTGGGGCGTGACAATGGGGGTTCATACGGAGTAGCGCGAGTTTTTCGTGAAATCGGGTTCTCGGAAAAAGTGAGATCAGATAAACCGGCTTAGGAAATAGTTTAGGTGTTATTTATATAAAGCCAAAATTTATACATTGTTTAGGTGTATCTGCCGAGATTACGCTAATTTTTTGGCAGTCCTTAATAAATCATTTTGAAAACAGTAGCCTTGTGATTTTTTCAAAGTCAGGGAATATGTCAAAAGCTTAATTTTAGCCTTTGAAAAAATATTAGCGTTTAAGAAACAGTTCAGGAATTAATGACTATAGTTTTGTCATTTTTCTAGACCGAAGAATCATTTTTTGAAGAGTTACATAACTATTAAAATAATTTTATAGTGGAGCCTTCACTACCTAGTTGGATTTATTAATGGTATGGAATTTCTAAACTTAATTCGTGTCATCTAACTAAAGCCCTACTGTAATGACCACTGCTCTGTCAAATAGAACTTTAGTGCCCCAATAAATGCCAAATAGCCGACGACGCGACCAGTTTGGCTTCCTCGGGGCCCTTAAATAGCGGCCACGCCTCGGATGGAATGGGCGTGTGCGGGCGTAAACAAAAGTTGTATGTGTGTGTTCATGTAGGGGCCGAAAGAGGAAATGGTGGAGGAGGTGTGGTCTGCCGACATGCCGCCGTTCACGTGGCCCCCCGTTCAACTAGCCGGGGAGGCGGGACTTGCACCTTGGCCCCGCGGACGGCGCGCCGAAACGTCCCCTCCGGGCATCGCACTTTTGACCCCGCGTGTTCGGCGCATTGATTGGGCATGATTTTTGAAAAGCGGGGGGTGAAGAGCAAAAATGGACGTAGATAGCGAGAAAATACGCATGCGCAGTAATTCATGAAGATGCTCTTTAAAAGACGGGTGTAAGCACGGAAAGTTTGGAATAGTGAGATGTGCTAAAAGTTGACCTTCTAAAAGAAGAAAGCGGAAAGTCCTTTTGACCCTCTTGTTTGGCGCATTGATTGGGTATGGTTTTTGAAAATCGAGGGCTGATGGCCGAAAATGGAAGTAGATGCCTTTGAACATATTCGTAAATAGGTGTATGCGTACTAATTCCTGGCATGCTCTAAAAGGCGAGGCGGGTGACGACTAAAGATTGCGAAGTAGGAAAATTGGGAAGGAGTGTGCTAACAATGAACCTTGTTGCAGATCAGCAGGGGTGAAAAGTGAAGCAGATGTTTTAGGCGTTCATTGGGATTGAAAGAACATTTGGATGCCTAGAGATCAAAGATTAGACTTTTGCTTATGTAGGCACCGGCATAGATCGATAATTTTGCCGCTGAAGCTCGCCTGGCAGACTTTACACGTGTTAAAGTTTGAGCATGGAGCTCGGCGAAATGTAGGCTTACAAGGAGTGTTTTTTTGAGGATCAAAGAGTTTTTGATGTGACATAGCTCATTCGATAAAGCTTGAAATTCTGAACTTGTTGCGCCTTTTAAAAGCTGGAAACCATAACCGTCCGATAAAAGGTTCAAAGTTCAGATTTTGTGAAGCGGGCGCCAAAAGAGGCAAAATCCGCCATTTCAGAGCAAATTTTCTCCAAGACCGTATTGGTTCAGCAGTTTTTGACAGGTGTGATTTGCTCAGAATTGCAAGCTCTAACGAATAAGCTATGTCACATCGCAAAACTCTAAAGTGCCTAAAAATCATTCTTTTTAGTGGCTTGGAATGTTTTCCCCAAACACCTATTTGTAAGGAATTTACCCTAGAATCTTTTCTAGACAATTCCCACGTTGCCCCATTGCGGATTAAGCTATTTCTAGACCGCAATTCCCCGGGCCTCGACCCCCTTCAATCACGCCACGCTTCTCCGTTTTTCGGAAGGCGCCCTAAAATTGATGACACCAGCCACGTGGTGTTCAGCTCTACCGTTGTTGAGTAATTGAGAACGAGAAATCTTTGTTGCTCTCGCTCATCATACAAAGGTTGCCACAACTGACTGACTGATTCACGATCCGCCCAGTGCACCGAGCAATGACCGGTTCTCACAGATAGGATCTCATAGATACTGTTGTGCATCATTGAAGTGCAGCAACACAGAAACATGACCTCCGCCTCCTCCTTTTCCTCGCTGTAGCCGTTCACGTGAGCACCACCCGGATTTCGTGCTCGAGTTACAGCGCCGATTTTCGGAAGTTTGTGCGCGCGGGTGCGCAGCAAATTTTTGCTCGCTCTTTGCGCTGACAGGAGACAAGTTTGTGGCGACAGGTGGGAAAGTAGGGGGAAAAGGCTTTGGAAAGGTTACTGCAAGTAATGGCGGAAGTGAAAAAGTGTAAAGGGAAATTTTTTTGACATGGAAGTTGTTGAAAGTGGTGTATCGTCGGTCGGGCAACATAGGTGTTAGGTATCGGATTTAGAAATAACGTCCATTAAAATTGTCCTTCAGATAAATAACAAAGACGTTTAGTCAATTTAGAGTTTTTTAAATGCTAGAATCTGTCTAGAAGTCTGGGTAAATTGATAAGAAGCTCTAAATTATTTCCGCTTGCTTTTTACGTGGCGAGATTTGATAGTTTTTAAGGAATACTTTTCACTCGTGACTTATAAGCCATTTTTAAACGCTGTGTAGCGTATTTCCGTTTCGCTTTTCGCTAGTAGATTCTTCGGAGAGCGTCGAAAATTCAAAGCAAAAATTTAGGAATTTTAGAAAGCCAAAATAATATATTTTTCAGGTTTAAAATTCAAAGGTTATCCCGGTGCGTGTTTTCCTACTGAACCAAGTAAGAGGGTAAAATTCTACGCGGGTCCATTTTTTTGGGGCAAAGATTGACGATTTTGCCACTGAATTTAGAAAGAACGCCCCCGTTTTACGTCACCTACTTTCACGCCTAAAATTGCGGACAAAGCCACGGGTTTCTTTATCTCCCCTTTTCCTGCCTTTCTACGCCCCTTTTAGCTCAACAAAGCGAGAGCCCTGCTGCTTCCTTGATCAAATCCCCGGCCCGTAATCTAGCACATGGCCCGTCGTAGATTATGGCATTTCGACGAAATGCCGTGGCTTCTCTTCTAATCCCCGTCTAATCGGCCGCTTCTCCACCCGCGCGTTCACTCCGTATGATTGGAGGCTCTGCGGGCACGTGCGTGCCGATTGTGTCTGCAAAATCACTGATTTGGTGTGCCGGATCCGATTCGAAGTAGAGGGAGGAGGAGGGCGGGCCGGGCGGCGGCGTGGGGAGCAGGGTTCACAAAGTCGCCCATGTGGCTGGGAGGATGGACGGGAGGATGGACAAAGTTTGCGCTGCTGTTTTTTGGGGAACAAACTAGACGTGTGCTTTAAATAACGGGCTCACGTTTTAGGAAACACGAAAGAGGAAAAAGTAAACTTAGAGTCGTAAAATAGAGGCAGAATCATGGAAGCTAGGATTGAGGCCAGGAATTTGAAGAATTTGATTCTGAGGAAATTGAAGACAATTTTTGCCAACTACGCTTTTGAACAACTTTTAGAAATCCGGTGAAACGTGAAAAAGAGGAAAGTTTCTGTAAAAATTGGGCGGATTCATCAAAAAATATGATGAAAAGCTGACGTTTTTGGACGTTTTGGTGGAAAGTTTATGAAAAATGGCCGAAACGATGAGAAACGTAGAATTTTGGAAATGTTCTTGAATTTTTTGCTTTTCGAATTTTTGTCGTTCGGAAATCTCTAGAAGACTGCTCTAAAACACGCTAAATTTTAATTTTTAAAATTATTACGTTTTTTTCTGAATTACCAAATTAAACTTAATTCCTAGTTGCTCATTTTTTTTATAATCAATATTGAAATGAAATGTTGATGAAGACGAAGATGAAATTTTCCTAAAAATGTTGGTACGCGAATCTTTTTAAAATACACGACGACATTGTTGACCTGTTTCGATGGTTATGATCCGCAAAATCGGGGCGCGCAAACAAATCATTGTTGTTCCGCGAAGAAGTGCACACTAATTCTTTCAGCCCAAGAAATCGTGTCTGTCTGTCTGTCTCTTCTATCTTAAACAATCCTGCAAAAAACCGACAACAATATTTTTTTTTTCAGGTTGTCGTCGACCAGCGCTTCACCGACGCCCTCAAGAGCGAGCGATTCCAGAACCGCGCCAAGGTACCCGATCCGCCTTATCTATTTTTATTTTCGCGCATGGTTTTTGCCGATATGGCTGGTATCGAAGGGGAGGCCTCTGGGCGGTCGATTCCAAAGTACGCAGCCCCGGGGGTCGTGAGGCTACACTTTTTGAGCCTCGTGCTATTTGGCAGGGAGGGTGGGGTAAATGGCATCAGGGGGACGCAAAGGGGCGGAAGTGGCGAGATTGGGTGCATTTGTGGCACAGTCACGATTTGAGGGCAACTGTTGCCGGGAGTCAAAGATTGGGGCCAAAAAACGTAGAAAAGCTATGATAGGTAGAGAGCTAAAATATACCTGATAGAATCCCACTAATTTATATAGTCCTATAGAAATTTTGTAAGCGATAACACTTTAAAAAAACTATTTTGGCGATTTAGTCAGGGATTGGGAGTTTACAGGTCCATCCTTGATCTAGATATTTTAAAGGATACGATATAATAAAGAGACGTCATAAATATGGCCCAAAACAGCAGGAAAAGAAATGTAAAAATATTAAGTTTTTAACGTTGTGATAATTTTTAGGATTTCCTCCTATTTCCCTTTCCTAATGTTGAAATCCTACGCTTTAGGAATGATTTAACAAAGAGCGGGGATACGATACTGTTAGTACTGTAGAAATAGGAATAGTTCAAAATATTACATAAAGCTATGCTAGAATAGCATCCACCCTTCAGTAAACTAGCGAAACGCAAGGATAAATAAGGAAAAAAGATGTGGAAAGAAGAACGTTAATTTAGCCGAAACGCTGGTTCTCGACCCTCCTCCCGGCCACTCCTTTTATACACTCCACCCCCACCTGCTCGCAGGGCAAAAATCAAAATGCAAAAGCGCATAATCTATCAGCCAGCCAGCCGCCCTCGGGCTGTTTTGGTGGCACTACGAGCTGGCGTCACGTGGCGTGTGGAGATTGTGAAAATAGGTGCTTTCGGCGAAATGGTGCGGCGATTAGTAGGCGGATTTTCAGGTGTACTGTATGAAGAAGGAATTTCGACAGGTTTAGGGAAGCGGAGCTTTTGCATGATCGGTGGGGGGGGCTAATTTTTCCCTGTGAATCCATTTATGCCTCGCAATGTAACAGAGTTATTTTGATAGAGATTTTAACAAAATTAACTAGATTTCCGGTAAAAAACATCGAAAATCCATAGAAAAATGATTAAAATATGAGATTTTGGCCGAAAATCTTTATTTTTGCCAAAAACCTTGTGTTTGTACCTTCTAATCAAAATTTGTAACATTTTCACGTTTAGGAATAGTACAAAACCGTGCAGAAACATTTCTTCTATTTATTAGCGCAAAATTACTATTGGCCTGTCATTTCAAATTTTTTAAAAACGTATTAAAAATAAGTTTTGTCATTCTCTTCTTTTCGGACTAATTCAAGGGAATTTTGGCTATTTACAACCTGGAAAATTTGCTGGTCGCGCGTGCCCATCTTTCCCCCGCGCTGCTATTTTCCACAAAAACGAATGCAATGCCCATGTCGCTTTCGCCCAATTACTCGCCGCAAGCAGGTTCCCATCTATTTTTCGGGCGTGTCAATTTGGTAATTGATGAAATCTTGCCCACGTGATAGTGCGAAGGTCATCGCCGCGTCTAGTTTTCCAGCGAGTGCTCGCGCATCATCTCCCAAAATTGGGTGCCATAATAATTGGCATGGACAATTTATTGTTAGGACAACAGCCGGCTAGCCCTAGGCCTCAAGCAAGGGGTCGCGCCCAAAGATCAAACGACCAAAAGAGCGCCGGGGTGTGATCTTTAGAGAGCGGGCATCCATGGTATAGGCTGGTGTTTGGGGCTGAATTGCGATCGGCTGTACCGTAGTTAGATAAATAAAGGCAATACAGTTTTGGGCACTTTGCATTTCCCCCGAACACGTGACGATGTTTTCCTTATTTGGTGATGGCTAAATTACTTTTATTAGCAAAGGTTACGGATGCATTCCACGTACGTTAGAACGCAGTTAGGAAATTAGAAAACGGAGAAAATGGAGAAAAAGTTAGGAAGAAGGAAACCTCTACATACGTTAGTTCGGAAATCGACCGATTGCGTTTTCAGCTTTAAAAAGCGTTGCTTTGGACCCAAACTTCTGTTAAATTTCATAGGTTATCCGGGTTTCTGATAGCCTCTAGGATTATCGTTAGGACTAATTAGGCATAAATTTTACGGGGTAAATCGAGCCGTGCTGAACTCTAAAATGGGCTATTTAGAGCTCGATAAAATTTACGGGCCGGCTAGCTAGAATTATGGCTGTAAAATTGTAAAACGCTCGAAATTGTGCGGAGAGCCGCAAATTTCTCCAATGCCTGGTATTTTGCTATTTTTAACCAATCTGTTCTCGTTCTCTAGTTATAACCCTGATTTACGACCCCAACTAATTGCCCTAGGCGCCCCAAAAAACTAGACTCTTTATTATCGTTCGTCATATCATTCGACGCGTTCTTGAACTGTGTGCCTCTATGACGTTTGGTAGATCCAAGCGTTCCGCCTGCCCCCTCCAGGTCAAAATGCATTCGTGATGATGACGGGGGCGGATTTTCGAAGACACCCCCAAAGGTCATCGTTATCATTTGAGAACATCGGGTTGACAAGACAGGGCCGTCATCAATGAAATAGGGAGGGGTGTAAAATATCGTGCAGACAATATTGTCACGGATTATCGTAACAAAAAGGAAAGTGGGACAAAAACAATAAAATGCTAAACATAGATCGGTATTATTGCTTAGAAAAATTGTGAAGTCGGAGATCGCGCGCTTTAAAGTTTAGGGATTGCAGAAAATTGAATTTTGGCTCGAATTTGGTCTAATCCTACCTTATATAATTTGGTAGCGTATCTTTGTGTGTGTGTGTCCGGCCGTCACTTTCAAGGCCCGATTTGAGGGCCTTCCCGTGTCCAAAATGCCCTAATTCTCCGACACCCGAGGGAATCGACCCTCCTCTTTCCGATGGCGTTCTCAGAATCTCGATAAAATACAACTTTATAAAGTTAAAGCCGGTTTTACTCATTTTTGGGGGTCCGGGAAGGCTAATATGCATAATGTGAAAAAAATAGAAATTTCCTCATTCTTCCCAGTTGCACGCGCGTGTGTGGTCGGTCGGGGAGGTGGGTCCGAAGGACCCGAGCTATGGAAAAGTCAAATTATCGATGCAAAGACTGCATTCCAGCGCCCAAGGCCCGCGAAGCGGGTTTTGGGCGCTGGTAATAGAATAAAATTACAAGTTTTAACGCGAAACGTTGGATTAATGAGGAATTCAAAACTGATAGATCATGCGTTACGTTAAGTGACAAGTAAAAATTTTAATTCGATCTGTGAAAATCTCTTGGATCTCAATTTGGAGAAAAAAAATGCGGGCTTTGAAATCTGCCGATTTTAAAAATCAAACTTCATTGAGAAAAATTAGCGTATAAAATAGCGTATCTTGCGTATATTTCGCACGCTAGAATTGGGCAGCGAAAAATAGAACAACGATTTTGGCGAAAATCCTACTATATATAAAAAATAGTGTCTGTGTGTTTGTGTGTGTGTGTGTGTGTGTGTGTGTGTGCCACTTTGCATGCAACTTCCGTCAGGGTGTCCGAAGGATATCTCGAGAGGGAAAGGGTTTTAAGCAACGTATGATACGTCATTAGGTGCGTACTGGCACTGAGATGACTGCACACACATCAGATTTTGCAAATTATGCTATTTTCGACGTTAAAATTAAGTTTTTGTTAGAAAATGGAGTACCCACTTTGTTAGGAATAGAAATGTTAGGAATAAGTTAGAAAAGCGGCTTTTTAACCCTGGTTAATTGGATAAAAATGTAGATCCCTCAGATACTTTGAAGTCGGCATCAGAAAATCGAAATGTTTTCCCCCATTTCAGGTCGACAAATACGGCCGAACCCTCAAGAAGTCGAAAAATGCCGTGGCCGACGAGATGGCCGAGATGTACGAGTTTGAAGGGAAAGAGGAGCCCGAAGAAGAACCTGCCGCAAAACCACCGAAAGCCAAAAAGATGAAGAAGACGAAAGAAGTCGACGTGGAGGTGCATGATCCATTATTTTTGAAAACTTCAGCTTTTTAGCCAATCGCCAGCTCGAGCGGAGAAGAGGACTCTGACGTGGAAGAGGAGAAGCCATTGAATGTAAAGAAAAGCGAATTGATTAATTTTGCCGATTTAGTTGGACCTCGCACGTGGTCATTGCGATATTCTGTCCTCTTCCGGGGATAGTAGCGATTCGGAAGAGGAGCAGCTCGGCGAGCTGGACGGCGAGAATTGGGATGAATTGGACAAGTGAGTTGATAACCACTTTATCTATTTTTTTTCAAAATTTCTGCATTTTTCGAACTGCATCTGACGAAAAATGTCGAATTTGTCACCTTGTCGATATTAACGAAATGTCATGTTTGGATTCAAATGACTTTAGAACAACTTTTTAGAAATCTTTAATTGGTCACATTTAATTTTGTCGAATATAGCTTTATCCGAATTTGATTTGTCGAAGTCGTAGTTTTTCGAGACGTCATTTTGTCGATATTTAAATATGTAGCTCAAATGGTCGAAGTAATCTACAAAATGCCGACAAAAGGAATTTCGACATCCTGATTTTCGACAAAATCAAAACAGCCCTTTTGATCACCCCCTTAATTGGGAATTTTCAGAGATGCTCGTCGCGTGGAATGGTCTTCCCCCAGATTGGCCATCTGCAACCTGGATTGGGATAACCTGTGCTCCGAGGACCTCTTCATACTGTGCCGTTCTTTTGCGTAAACTGGCCTGTTTTTGCGTATCTAACTTACGCTTTTTTAGCAAAGACGAGAAGGCGGTCAAAAGTCTGACCATCTACCTCTCCGACTTCGGTCAGGAACGGTTGAAAGCCGAGGAAACGGCCGGGCCGCAAGTGGTGAATGTGGTGGATGATCAGCAGCAGGGTCGGTGGAGCGAGGCGGACAAGAAGAAACGGTATACAAAGGATTTTTAGATTAGATTTGATTTTTTAGCACAAACCAAGCCATCCGGCAGTACGAGCTCGATCGACTACGGTATTACTATGCCGTTTTGGTGTGCGACAGGTACGTTTATAAGCGGAAATTCTATATTTCATTATTTTAGTGCCGAAACGGCGACCGTCATCTACGAGCAGTGCGACGGGCACGAGTTCGAGAATAGCGGCATGCGACTGGATATGCGCTTTGTCCCGGATGAGACCGAGTTTGATGTGAGCTTGACTTTTGAATAGCAATTTCATTTTTTAGGAATCCCGTGCTAAAGAACAGATCACCGGCGAGCAGCTCAACCTCGAGAAGTACAAGCCAAAGGATTTTATTAGCAAGGTATACTTTTCGGATCTCTTTCATTATCGATGGGGCAATTTTTTGTTGTAAATCCGCCAATGCCATAACATAATAGAAAATATTTAGATAGTATTTTTGATCCAATTTTAACCATATTTCATTTGCAAAACCTGTTTTAAAAATTTAGAAAAATGTTGGCCAATATAAACTTCGTCGAAAATGGGCTGTTTTAATCAGAAAATTGTCTTTTTTGCCGTTTTACAGATTTTTTTTCAAGGTTTTACGTTTCGAAAAAATGTTTAAGGAAATTTCTGCCCCCCCGATAATGCGACAGTACCGGATTTTCGCTAATTTCACCATTTTTAGGCTTCTTCCAACACCACCGCCGAAATCGCGTGGGATGAGAATAATCCGAGTCGAGTCCGGAAATTCAAGTAATTCGAATTTTTATGGCGTGACCAAACTTTTTAGGGACGCTTTCGACGATGGCTTCGATCTGGACAGGGCCGGAAAAGGGCTGATCGCGTCTTCCGAAGAAGAATCCGACTTTGAAGAGGAGGGCGCCCCGAAGCGCGACGATCGTATCAACATCCTGATGCAGGCCGCCGGCATCGAGAAAGGCGAGAAGGATATGGAGGTTTTTAGAGTTACTTTTTGTTTATTTCCTTGATTTTCAGATCGAATGGGAACCGCCAGAGGCCCACGAAAATTCGGAGGAATCTGGAGATGAGGAATCTGAAGCTGACGGTAGTGAGGGATCAGGATCAGAAATGGAGGATGAAGAGGAGGACGGCGGAAAGGCTCCTAAAAAGGTATATTTTTAATTCCAAGATTTTTTATTACTATTTTTAGAAGTTTTATACTTGATATTTACTCAGTCATTTTTAGAAGAAGTGGCTCGCGTATCTGGAGCGTCGCCGTGAGCTGCGACACGAGCGCAAGCAAAAAGCCCGCGAGGAGAAGGAATCCGGACGCCCGGTTGATGAGGAGGAGCCGATTTTGGCCAAGGGCAAGAAGGCACAGGTTTGGATGGTCAAGCTACTTGAAAGCCTTTTTTTTGTAGAAGAAGCCAAAGATCACCGACGATGTCGTGGAGAAGGTGGCGAGCGACCCGCGCTTCGCCTCCCTCTTCAGCAAGTCCGAGTTTGCCATCGAGAAATCGAGCAAGAACTTCAAGGTGTGTTTTTGTTGTCTGGCTGGTTCTTGTGCACTATCAGGGGGAGGTTTTTTGTCTTGGCGAAACACAAAAATATCGTTTTACGCCCAAAAATGGCTGATTTTTGACGAAAATTTACAAAATTTTATACATTTTCCAGGCCGTCTAAATAGTTTTTCCGCTTGAGATATAATAAAATTTATCCGATTATTATTAAAATACTTTTTATTTTTGCCTTAAAGATTTCTGGACTTATCGGAAAAAAACGAGTTTCTCCCGGTAAACTGCTAAATTTGTCAAAAACTCTATGAAAATGATTCCCTGTTGATTTAACTAAAAAATGCCAATTGCTCCCCCCCCCCCGATATTGCCAAAAGTCCTTTAAAACCTTTAAACTTGACCCTTTAAAAAAAATTTTTTTTTAGGACAGATCGCTGGTGGACAAGCAAGTGGCGGCCCGGAAGGCGCAGATGGCCGACGAGGATCGACGCGCCAAAGCCACAGCTGGAGCTGATGGCTCGGGTCTAGGAAGTGAAAGCCGCTCCCTGCTCGACAAGCTGAAGAAGAAGACGGCCGTCGGAGGGATGAAGCGCGGTCCGCCGGCCCTATAAATTGCCCTTTGATAAGTGATCCGTTAAAATTCGTTCACTGAATGTTGTTGGCCCGTTGTTAAATTGGTCGTCATTGTTAGGCTCGCCCCCCAAATTGTTGATATGTTATTCCGATTTTTAGAATTGTCATTTTCTGGTGGAATGAATTGTTGATTTGAACAGATACCAACTTACCAAAACCGCTCAGCTTTTCAAGCCGAACTGCGAATTTTGAAGCTTGTGATTTCGGCTTCGGAAGACCAAAAAGCGAGATGAGAGAGAGAAAAAGCGAGATAATTTATATTTGATGAGAGACGGCCTTACGAATACAGCCAGGTTTTTCAACCCGACTTAGAGTTTTGAAGCTTGATTTTAGGGTATTGAAGCCCGCAAAGCGAAGTCAGCTTCATATTTGATTAGAGACGGCCTTACGAAATGAAGCCCATTTTTCGAGGCTGCCTCGAATTTTGAAGCAGGTAGTTTAGGCGTCTGTAGCCTAAAAAGCGAAGTCGGCTTTAGAAACCCATTGATTGATTGAACGTCTCCGGCTTATGATTCGCTTTAATCTTTGAAGTTTCTAGCGGAGATTTTCAAGCCCAAAATGCGAAGTCGACTTCGGAAGTCCATGGATTTGCAACGTAAAGTCGCATTTTCCGCCTCGTCATCAATTTTCAAAGCGTCTAGCCTCGTTTTTGAAGCCCAAAATACCAATCCGACTTCAAAACACGTCGCTTGATCAAAAATGCTGTACAATTTGTACGCAACAAAGCCGAATACGTGTCAATGCGCGGGCGTTCCGCCGGAATCCACTTTACGGACCTATGAGGCATAACAAAAAATAAGGGCTCCATGGGTCCCCTTGGGCCCACCAGATCAGAGTCACTCATTTTCATCCAAACCCGCAACCAAAAATGGGCGCCGAGCTGTGGAAACGGCAGATCATTTATGTGAATGGTACTCTGGCTGTTTTGGCGAATTCCCTGCTACTTTTTATCATTTCAAAGTATTCCCGGCCTTATATGGGGAATTATAAAAGATTGATGGCGAGTTTCGCATTGTTCGATATTGGCTTTTCGATAGTTCAAGCTCTGGTAGTACCGGTGAGTGAAGTTAAGGGGCTTTTGCGCTATCGGGGGCGGGGAGGGGGCGGGCGATGCTGAATTCTTCTTATTAGCCCACAAATGTCTAGTAACTTCATAGCAATTAATTTAATAGTACCTTGATAACGTTTACTCTATTTCATGAGAATAATTTATGCGAGAACCTAGAATGCTTTTTGGAAGTTAAAATTTGGTGGAAAACCGGAAATTTTTGATCGTAAAAAATCGAAATTCGGAAAGTTTTGTCGTTTAGAAAAAGGCAAGCATTTAAAAATGCTTTTTATATTAGAAAAATTGGATCCTATGGGCAAACAGTTGATTTTCACATGTTTAAAAACTATAGGCATTTTTAGAACTTCCACATCTACCGGCATTGTTTCGTCGTCTTTTCGTTGAGTCCGTGGTTGGCCGGAAATCAGTATGACTTGGCATTTGCTGGATTGACACTTTATTGTTGCTCTTATGCCATGTGCATTATTCTGTTAACGTATCATTTTGTATATAGATATTTGCTGATCTGCAGGTTTGATAATATTCGTCTTAAATCCATTACCATAACTAAAGCGGCTTTGGCCTTTGCCGGCGATGTAAAAGGAGCAAATTTATAAGCTTACAGACCGCAGCAAATGTACATATTCTCCGAGACTAAAAACTTTATTTGGTGGTACGTGAATTGGGCATTTTGGGCCGTTGCTTGGGCGCTAATTGTTCGGGCGACGATGTATCACTGGCCGGAATTGGAGGTAACCGGGATATGGCAAGTTTTTAACAAATTTTCGTTTAGAATTACGTCTACGACGACCTGATGCTACAATATAACTTTGACTCGAGAGGAGATGCAATTCTAGGGCCGCTGTATTTCGTGGGTCTTAAAAATTCAAGAAAAACTATATGTTTTGTTTTAATACGCCTTTTACCCAGTTAATTTAGCTAATCTTACGCTTTTCAGCTTTTAATTAGCCTAATTCTAACGATTTAACCTCGCGAATGGAGTAATTTTTAAAGCTTTTTTCCAGCTCGACGACCCCAACGGCTCGAAAATCATCTCCTGGCGCGCGTTCCTTGGCTCTGGCTGCTGCATGTCGATCATGGGCTTTTGTTTCACGTAAAAAACACTTTAAATATAGCTAATTAATTTAGGACAATCCTCTTCTGCGCTGTAAACGTCTACAAGAAGTTAAAAAGTTGTTCGGTGATGAGCGAAAAGACGCGAAAAATGCAGTGGGATTTGTTCAAGGCGTTATTGGTACAGGTTCGTAGTTTTTCTTGTCTATTACCATGAAAATGTAACTAAAAATAGCTTTATTTTCAGTTTTCCCTGCCAGCCGTCTGTGAATTTTTCCCTGGAGGCATGAATTTCTTGTGCCCCGTATTTGCCTTGCCAATCGGTCGTTGGGCAAATTTTGCGGGGATTATTGCCTCGTTTAACAATATTATCGAGCCGCTGTGTATGCTGTATTTTGTCAAGGACTATCGATTTGGGCTGTGGCATTTGTTGGGGTAAGTGCGGCCTAGAAATTAAAATTCTTTTTTAAAAGTTAGATTGCGGAAAACGTAGGATTAATAGCTTATACAATACAGTTATATACTAGCCAAATCGTATTAAACTCTAAAATACGATAAAATAACTTTAAACCATACCCAAAAGTTAGTATATTAAGCAAAAAAGTCTAAGCGTCCATCAAAAGTACAAAAAAAAACAGGTAAAAGGGTCTTTAAGCCGCTGTTGGCATGATTTGATAGACCAAAACATATTAAAGTTTCAAAAAAGATGAAAATAAATAAATAAAAACGTTTCAGGCTAAACCGCAAGGACTGTGAAGCCTACACAGCTTCAGCCGTGCACCCGAATTTGGTAATACACTCTGTAAAAACCCACAAAAAAGTTTAGAGCTCGAACCAGCCAGAAGACCACGCTCCGAATCATCAAAACCAAAATTAAAATCCCAAAAAAGCTAAATAAAAGATCTCAGACAGCCAAGGGCCTCCACAGGGGGCATTTCAGTGGAAATTGTTTTGCGAAACCACGGCCCGTTTCTCTCGTCACCGATAACCGAGGCAGGGGAGAGAGGGCCTTTTTATACCCCAGCTCCGGGGAGTGGGCCAGGTCGGGTGCGTTTCGGGGGCGCAGAGGAAGCAGGCAATTGTCACGGAAAAATTGAAAAATTGGTACTTAAAATTTCATAAAAAAATAACAGTATCAAAGCATACTAGAATCTGTACAAGCCCTCCGCACTTAGAACCTTCAAAGCTTGAAAAAAATTCGAAAAACTGAGAAGCCTTGCCTCTGAACCTTTTGAATAGAAAATGAATAAAAGCTTGAATAAAAAGATTTTAATTACGTCTGCTTTTTCGATCTCTTAGATTGAATTTACAATCGTAAGCTTCATAGCTCCGAATATCTGACGAAACCATTGTTAACATCTTCCCAGGTCTTTTAAAGCCATTCTAACTATTGTCTAACGCGCAGATACTTAAAAAGCATAAAATTCGCGCTCAATTTCTAGACTGCATGACCTTGGTCGTGCTCTGTAGTTTTTCTAGCCCGAGCTCAAATTTTCGACGCACTCTGTCATCCACTGCGCCACACTTCCCGTCCAAAGAGCGCAAGATCACGACGACGAAACGTGACCGTGTCGCCCATAAATTGCGGAAAGTTTGAAATTGGATGGCGAGAGGAGGCGGGACAGTTCCTCAAGTACTTTTCACCACCAGATTCCATTGGTTATTTGCGTCTCGCTCTCTTTCTCTCTCTCTCTCTCTCTCTCTCTCTCTCTCTCTCCAGCCAATCGCTCCTTCCTTGATGCCGGGGTGCGCGGAGCCATTTTCGACCCGAATACTTAATAGCCCTCCGTTGGGCCTAGAATGTCTGAAAATCCAGGGTATTCTTCCACATTTTCTAATTTTTTTTCGAGGCTATAAAATAATTTCGAGTCTACAAAATCAAGATTATTGTACTCTTTAAAATGGACTACGACGCCTGCAATCTAGTGGCCCCAAATCCCGCAAAACCTTGGCGGAGAAGCGCTCAAATCAAAAACTTCCTTTTTCGCGGCACTGTGTCCCGCAAAAGGAGCTTTTGAAGCTGGCTTTTTGCAAAATCTTGGACCAAAGCTGGCCTTCCGTGTCCATTTAAACCTGGGAAACTCAGGTCCATTCTTGATGCCGAGTTCAGTCCTCAGAGACACGCGACTTCTGTCTAAAAACCGCCGCCAAAACAGGAAGCTATTTTGGCGCCTTTTTATCCCTTTTGTTCGTGGAAAATTTATCGCCATTCTTTCCGGATTGCACCAAATTTGAAATTAGTCTCGCGGCCGTCATATTACCCTTAAAATAAGCTGGTTATTGAAATAGCGTTTAAAAATTCACCACATCTCTTGTATAACGCTCCTTGTAATAAAGCATCGGGCACAACTTCGGAGCACGGAAATTCACCCGTTTTCAAGGAGTTCTTTCTGAATTTAGGATGGCACCCACGTTGTTGCATTGCGTAATTTGGGGGTAATTTGGAACATTTCCGTCAGATAGCGTGAATTATGTAGCGTATCACTACGTAGTGTGTCCTGACGTAGCCCAACGTAATTTTACATTTACTCGGACGTTTGATCACGGCTTTACACCTCCATATCCATCCGCCACATTTGTCAACAATTTTTTGGGGCATCTAAGGATACTTTAGCCGCAGTGCACCAGGAATTTATTCGAACGTAACTAAGGTTTGCTACGTTCTAATTATCAAACGCTTCCAATTATTCGGCGATACCCCGGAATTGCCCTCAAAACGCACCGCGCGTAACTGACCGTAAATCAGCGGCAATTATCTGCTTGCCACCCACCCCAGCTCGGACCATCGATTTCACCTGGAATTGCGCACGGGGGTGGGTGCATTTCCCGGCTACGTTTTTGAATTATTTACGCTTGTTACACCCTCTTTTGCTGTTATTCCTGTTCTGCTGCCAATAATTTGCGCAGAAAAAACGTTTTATAGAATTTTCTGAATTTCTTACATTTTCTCTTTCCATCATCCCCGGTTCAAAAATCTTCTATAAACTCGTTTGTTTAAATAATTTACGTTGATTACATTTATCGTATTCCTGGTTCTGGAGGCAGTATTTTTCGCTTAACAATGTTCTATATAAGCTTTCATAAGACTGTCTGTCTACGTTTTGGAACTCGAAGGCGTCGCGTCAAGGTATTTGATTAAAGTTTATCAGCATGATTTTACAGAAAAAATAATGCCGAATAATTATACGCTGACTGACGTGCAGTCGCATACTACAGAAGATTCATTATGGATTATAATTAAGGTGCGTTTTCTCCGGAATTGATGGCGTTTAAAGGAGCTGCGAAGGTTAGAATTTCGACCTTTCGGTGGATCCCATGTCTAATTAGAAGGAAACAACGGTACTGTCAAAGTAAAATTCGTAAAAATCTTCGAAAAATTCAACGTCCCAGTCCCTTTAAACAAACAAATGATTGACGGCTTAAATTAAGCATATCGACACTAGAAACAAATAATAAAAAAAGTTGTATTTGAGGGAAAAGTATACGATGTGACGTTATTTTTGGACGAACATCCGGGTGGACGGGATGTTTTAATGGAGCAAGCTGGACAGGTCGGTAATTTACCACTCACTCTCTCCCTCGATCGCTCACTCACGCACTCTCTCTCTCTCTCTCTCTCTCTTTCCCTCTTGCTCACTGTCTCTGGTGTCCAGAAGCCGGCTCGAATTTTGCCTTCAGCGTGCCTTTAAATCTCGATCTATTCCGTTTTACACCTCCTTCCAGGACGCCACCGAGGCCTTCGAAGATATTGGGCATTCCGGAGATGCGAAAGAGATGTTGAATGACTATTATGTGGGTGTGATACCGTAGTCTCTCAGGGTTCAGGAAAGGGAATACATACTGTCGATAATAATAAAATGATCCTATGTTTTTCAGATCGGCGACCTGGTGTTGTGAGGAGCTGAGGAATTCAATCATCAACGAACTACACAATGCGAAGCCGATAACAGCAAATAATTCTACATCTACAGCCCTCATTTTACTGCCAGAATTTCACAGATTGTTATGGGTTTTGATATGCTTTGAATTAAATTGAATAAAGTATGAAATTTGAGGGTTTGTGAGGGTTTAGATAACAAAAAATCCGGAAAAACCAACGCGAATGGCCCTGGAATTTAGTAGTTACTGGACAATGCTGGTCCTCGGAAATCGAGCTTCGTTAAAAGTTATAGTCTCCGTTCAAAAAGTCTACTAAAACAGAATGCGAACCCCGGGAATTCCGTGAGCATTGTAGTAGTCGGTACATGGGATATCCCCACGCACGCGCATTCTATTCAGCGCACCCCTCATGCATTTTCGACGAACCCAGTCTTTTTGGATGGCTCATTATTCGCCTCCTTGAATTTTTGAGATTTTGGAGATTACGGTAACGCGCTGTTTAAATAAAACTAAAACAAAAAATTGCAAGAGTTTAGGGCGCGATTTGTTTCATTCCCGGTAGCGTCGCGGTATCGCGTTCTATTTAGCGTTGTGTGGACCATTTCGTATAGCGCTGCGTACCGCGTGGCGTATGGTGTCGCCTCTGGTACGGTGTCGTACGGTAGCGTTGCGCATCGCAGTCCGCAACGCGTACGTAAGCAGTGCTTCGCGCGCCACGTCGAGTTTAGGCCTAGGTATCGCAGCGCACTGCGTAAAATCCTCGTTACGCCTTCACTGGCCCTTGAAAGCTAGAATCTGGCGGATATTTGAACAAAGGACTAGATTCTAAAGATGGAATTCCGTAGCACCTAGGTCAAAAATCGCTGCCAGCCTTTGCAAAACGATATTGTGGCAAATAGCCATTGTCCCGGAGGCATCTGGTACTGCCAGGAAAGGCATAAGAATCAGACGGCTATTCAGGCGAGGGTGGCCATATAATCGGACTGGTAGCGACCAAAATTCATCACAAAAACTAAGCACATTCCGAAATAAGCACTATTCTAAAATCGTACTTATGTAGTTTTAAACACCCCAAAAAGACTTTTAACACAATGTTTTTCAACTATTGTGTCGAGTACGTTTTTATTCTATTATATTTTTTATCCCGTAACGCTCAAGGATCATCACATTTTGGCGTTTGCCAAGACTCTGCACAGCTTCAATTTCGACTTCTCAGTCCCTTAGGCTGAATTTCTCAACCATTATGGCGTAGAAAAAATCTGAACGCTTGTTGACTGTTGACTAATTCTTGATTTCCCCCCCAGATCTTTTCAACCAAACTATTACACTTTTCGCTTCGATAGAGCCGGATCTTCTACCATATAATACTAATTGTGGATTGCAAAAAAATTGTAAAGATGTGTTCATTGGTAACTATAGATCTTCGGTGAACTTCTGGAAAATGACGATAAACTTCCTCTCTCTCTCTATCTCGCTCTCTCTCTCTTTCGCTCTCCCTCTCACTATCGCGCGCTCTCTCTCTCTCTCGCGCTCTCTCTCTCTCTCTCTCTCTCTCTCTCTCTCTCTCATCCTCTCTCTATCTTTATAGCTCCTTATTTCTCTCTCTGTCTCTCTCTCTCTCTCTCTGTCTCTCTATCTCTATCTTTATAGCTCCTTATTTCTCTCTCTGTCTCTCTCTCTCTCGCTTTTTCGATTCTTGACCCCCAAACCTACCTTGAAGCATATTTAGTGCAAGAAATTACTGAGGATTCCGAAAATTCCGCGATTTTCCAGTTTACGATGAGCGCGTCTATAGGATACCCCTTCTCAAGGAGTTTAGACCCGATTCCCAGACTCCAATTTTCAAAAATCGCAATAATCAAGGTCCAATCCCGCTAAATTGGATTATGCATAGATCAGCAAGCTTAGGGCAACAAAATATTGTTTCGGCCAATTTTGGTCGGTTTTTAAAGGGCGGGGATTATTGTGGGATCTTTGTAGACCATGGCAAACGGGGTAATCTATTGTTAGCAAAACTGGCCGGGGTCCCGCCACGATTTCTCACGTCCATTTTGGGTCAACGCAGGCCCCATTCTATTCTTCCATTAACAAAGAGAATTTTCTGGCCCGATACTGGAGTTCGCCTGATCCCCTAATTTGCACCCTGGGAGCTTGCAACAAAAATTTGGGTAGCACTCCGTTCGTTGGATTGTTTTGGAATTTCTGCAATGGAAAATGACATTTTTTGCGTTTTTCTTCGGGTTGCCGCATTTTTAATATTTTCCGTATAGCCGATTTGATAGTGAATGCAATTCTAAACAAGTACCATATTTTAAAAATGATAAATTGACTACCGTATTCGAGAAAAATTCAATTGAAAACGCGTAAAATCCGGAAATACTCTCCAAAAATTATTTTTCGCGTTATTTTTCTCGAATACCGTATTCATTTTTCTAATTTTTAAAAATGGAACCTGTAGAAAATTTTGCGCATTATCTAGTCGAATTAAAAGCCATTTAAAATTACAGAAACTGAAAAATATTATGTTTTTGATTTTTTTGACCTTACTATTTTTGAATGCAGCAAACAACTGATTGAATTTACGTTTTTTTCAGCCGTAACGATGGATTTCGGACTGATCGGCTACCTCCGACACGGTGGCCCCGATCAGAAATGGTATAACTGCTCGGCGAAAACGGATGAAGGATGGTATGCAACAGGTTCGAGACGTCCATTCGTCGCCATCTACCTCGAAGTTACTGGCTGTATTTTCTTGGTCGGTAATTTCATCACATTAAATATTTTCTACCCATAAAATAAGCAAAGTAAAGCGTCAACAGCTGAAAATCGATTTTTCAGTTCTTCTACATTCTATCTCTGGTGGGCATCATCAAGGCCAAGCTGATCGCCAAGTCCCCGTGCTATATTATTATGCTGTTTATGGGAGGAGGTAAAGCATCTAAAAATAATTTGATTAATCGGATTCGGATCGGATTTCAGCCGGAAAGCCACCGGAAACCAAGCGGAACAATTCAAAAAATAGGTGTATCATAATAATGGCATCATAACATTCCGGTGGAAAATTGTGTTAGAATGGACTAAAATTAAAAGCAGAGCTGTTTCCGGTCAAAATCCGATGTTTTCTAGAGCAGTCCTGCAAAAATCCAGTAGATTTCCAACCCGTGCTTGGCTTTTCCGCGAAAATCTGTTTCCGGTCGGGCTTTTCCGGGTCGTTTCAAAGTTAAATCCGGTCCAAGCCCGATCCAGATTTGCATGATCACTACTTGAAGTTCTTCGACTCCCGAATCCCTCTAAAATCCCAATTTCCAGGTGATCTAATCATGATTTCGATGAGCTCCACGATCAGCGGCTACTTCTTTTGGCACGGAGCGGTATACTGTAACTACCCACGTTTTATCTACCTCACCGGGGCCGCCGGATTAGGTGGGTGGTGGTGGACAAGGGAATTGTTAGAGTGTCATAAACAAGACAAAAAAAGGCATTGTCTCAAGATTGCTTCTTGATCGTCTATATATTGGCTGTGACTCCCAAACTAGACGGGATTCAAACGCCTTGAGCTCGCAAAATCAACGGCCAAAACAGCAGCTATTGTCTTGGCTAGATCGGTGTTGAATGGATAAAAATAATGTTAGAGAATGTGGCGTAGAAAATATGGCACATCGCCCAAGGTATCAGAGAACTGGGCCTTGATCTCAATATTGAGGCTAGATCGGGGTCTAGAATTTATCTAGCTGTCTCTCCTCTCTGTCTATCTCTCTCACTCTCGCTCTTTCACTCTCTCGCTCTCTCTCCTTTTGTCTATTTCTTGCCCCCCCCCCTCTCTCTCTCCCTCTCTCTCTCTCTTTCTTGCGCGCCCTCACTCACTCATTCTACAAGCGAGGTCAGGAGCCAGAGAGCGAGGGAGAGGGGAATAGAGTGAGAGAGCGGGCGAGAGAAACAGAGCGAGAGAAACAGAGACAGTGTTAGGGTGAGAGAACGACATGGAGCGCTGTGAAAAGATCGAGAGCGAGGGAAGGAGTCAGCGTGAAAGAGAGGGCGAGAGCGAGAGACAGGGTGAGCAAGAGCGAAGGACAGAGCGAATTAACGAGAGCCATAAAAACTTAAACTCGCGTTTTTCAGCGGTCTGGACGTCATCATGCCTCTACTGTATGACCCTAGCAACCAGTCGACTAGCCGAAATTGCGGGTGCCGTTCGAGTGTCACGATTGCTATGCAGGAGGAATTGCTTCTGGATATGGTAAGCTAGGGTGGATGGAACGGCTACAGAAGGCAATTCCTGTAATGCAAGAATTTTCAGCCTCTTTGCCCTAACTGTCGGCATTATTTTCGGCGTCTTCACCCCGGCTCCTCTCTTCAATTCACCGATGGGGGCATGGTTTTTCAGTCCGTTTAATGAGAGCGGGGTATGTTATCGAAATCTCACTCTCTCTCTCTCTCTCTAAACAACATAATTTGATCTCTAGCGCATCAGAAAGCAAATATTTTCACGTACCGTTTCCGAACATCTCGATCACTCTTTATCCGGTCTTGTGATTTTAGTCTCAAAACACCTCCGCCGTTCTTCCCAGGCCAATTTTGCGTAATTTCTGTCCTTTTACGGTGCAGAACGTACCAAAAACATACTATGAACGGCTAGGTAATTCTCTCTCTCTCTCACTCTCTCTCTCACTCTCTCTCTCTCTCTCTCTCTTGCTCTCTCTGGCGCTTTCTTAAATAAAAATTTTCAGCTAGAATACGACAACCTTGCCCACCGTCTGAACAATCTGCTAGTATCTGCGTGGGCGATAATTGTGTATTCTTGTATGTGCTGGAGAGCATCAAAGAAGTGGGCATGGGCTGATGGAATGTCAAAAGCCCAGAGATTGGTACGTCTCGCTCTCTCTGTGTTTCTCTCTCTCTCTCTCTCTCTCTCTCTCTCTCTCTCTCTCTTGCTTTGACCTAGAATTTCTAGAAACTACTCTTTCCAGCTGTACATCCAAGCCTTTATCATCTGTACAACTCACGTGGGTGCTGCTTGGGGCTATTTATTGATGAATTATATTCCCGGATTTCCGCCGTCATTAGTATTGTGTGGACATATCGCTTGGCAGTGGAGTCATGGTACGGTAGGCGGGGTGTAAATGGGCGCGTAGCGTAGCGTCGTCGTCCGCTTTTGAAATTTAAAAGGACGTAGGAATCAAGCGGAAATTTTTGCTTTTTTAACGGAAGCTAAGAATTTCTTGAATTTACGATAGAATGAAGTCCAGGGGTTTAAAGGACTAGTGAGGCGTAATTTTAGTAGCTTTTGCAGGCGTCCCCGGCCTTGTCTATTTCTTCCTCAACCGAACGATCCGACGCTCGGTCTGCGAGATCTTTGGTATAAATCCGGTAGGCCTATCTGCTCTAGTATACGGTAATTCAACTGCTCTATAGAAAATCGGCGTCTACTCGATCACGGAATCACATCGGCGTCGCGCGTCACACCTTGATTCCCATACCCATTCCACCGAGAAACCGAATAAATTATAGCACCATCGCGATATACGAACATCAAAACACATGAAGAGAATATAAAATTTGGCTTTGGTCATGCTTTAGGCTTTAAAGGGCTAGTTCAGCCAATAAAACAAAAGAATTTCCGCGGTCAGGAGTTGAACCCTCTCTGCGTTTTTGTGTCTGCGCCTCTCCCCTTTTCCCCAATCTCTAATAGCTGCCGTAATGGGGGACTGTTAGGGCGCACTGTGCCTACGTCCATAGTGTCCCAAGGTACCAGCCCAAGCTCTAAAAGTTGAACCAGCCCTTTAAGCGCCCACTCGCGACGCAGCACGCGACGCCCGCCATGTGAAAGGCGACGCAGCACTGATGCCTGAATTGGACATTTTTCCCTCAATGACTGTTCCTATTCTTCTTTTCTATTACGATCTTGGCCGCTGACTTTTTTGTTTTCAACGTGGCATTTCAAAAACCAAAATTTCCGCACGTTTGCGCCCGGAAAATCGGCTATTTTTTTGGGAAGGACCACTCGCTATTATGCGACACAAATATATTATGCGCTTGGGGCGAGGACTCCTCATCATAATATTCCAAATTTTCTTCTGTTCTCACTTTTTGTTGTCACATTTTGACGCTGAGCCACGTATTTTTACAGTAGGGCTTCTGCTCACTAACCCAGAAACGAGCCGATTACGGTACCAGATTATTTCGAAAATGGACTTCGGAATGCTTGGCTACATCCGGCACGGCGAGCCGGACCAGTATTGGTATGACTGCTCGAAGAAGACGTTACAACAATGGTACGAGACTGGGCAGAGAAGACCGATATTGGCCATCTACCTCGCGATCAGTGGCAATGTATTTTTGGTAAGTCACTTTCGGATGCGTAATCAAATCCGGGCAGTTTGGAACGGGGTGAAGCCTGGCCAAGGTGAACATACGTACGCAGCACGTAGTGAAGCGCAAGGAGAGGCAGCAGGACCAATTATTTCAGGTTGTGACCTTGAAAAGAGCAAATTTATGGGATCGTCGCGTAGGCACCGTTTGTCGCGGAGTCTTTGGGCGCTGTAGTGCAACGTATTGTTGTGAGCGTAGCGTGGTGTAGTATACTACTAGGGCTACTGCACTCTGTAAGGTAGGGGAGCGTAGCGTAGGGCTGCAGTTCAGCGTAGCGCAGTGGCGGAGCGTAGCGTAGGGTGTAGCGAAGGGGTGGCGGAGGGTAGACCACAACAGCAATACGGCCAACACTTGTAGTCAATTTTCTACTTCATGAGCTCAGTCTTAACAAGATTATAAGACCACGAAATGTACTCTGTACGGCATTGCAGCGCAGCGTAATGTATCGTAATGTCGTGTTGCGCAGTGTGTTGTAGTGTACAATGCATACAATCAACATTCAAATTCGACGCATTCATTTATTCCGAGGCAATGGCAATCATGGGTTGTACTCGATGGGGAGGTTCTTGCGACGGACCATGCCATCTCCCTGGAACCATTCACGACGGAACTGCTTGGCGGCGCCGTCGGGGGTGTTCGTCCACTCAATCGTCACACGGTCGTTGTTCGTGTCCTCGGCTCCGAAGGTGAACGAGTCGCACGAGACGGCAACCTACAACATCCACAACAACTCCAACAGGGTCAACACAAACGTACCAAGACCTGCTCCTTGGGGTCGAGAACACCGCAGGGCGGGTCAACTCCGAGGCGCTTCATGTTGGTGGTCTTGAAGGCCCATCCGATGCGACGACCTCCCGAGTTGATCACCTTGATGTGGTAGGTGTGCTTGTCATCGTACGGGGCGTTGAACACGATCTTCGTGCCCGGCTGGGTCACGATGTCACCGGGGGCAACCGATTGGGCCATCTTCTTCGAGCAGGTCGGGTTGTTTGGTGATTATTTGGTTTGGGAGGCTGATTATATACTTCGTAAGGTATGTTAATTGGGTTATTCGGAGCAGGAGCTTCCGGATTTCGTGGAGATGGAGTCCAATTCGGTAATTTTTATGCAAACTACGCACACCGACCATTTAGGTTTTTGGAAGAAAGAGAGAGAGAGACAGAGAGAAAGAGAGACAGCGAGACAGAGAGATAGTGGTAATCAGTTTAATGGTAGAAAAACCATTTTCATCCTTTGAAAGTCTCCAGGAAGCGTCAAAATCCCCTCCCCCCATGAGTTGACCAGGTCTCGACAGTAACCAATAGCTCCTAACGACGCTGTCAGCATCATCTGAATCCCTATTTTCTGAGCTTAAAGAGACGTGCGTCGTGCTTCGCGTGGCGCGGAAATCGATAGGAAACCCGAGACTAAAGGAAACACAGGGTTAAGCCTTACAGTAGCGTGCAAAAAGAAGGCAACACCCGGGAAGCTCTTGTAACTCGGTTGCCTCGTTATTTTTTGCACCAAACGGAATGTTTCCTAGTGTTTTCGATGCTGTAGAATTCGATGATCAGGGTCCCAAGCCGCGAAAATGACGTTTAGTAGCTTAAATATGGAATTTAAAATGGCTCCAAAAAATCGACTTTTTTTAAAGGCATCTTTCAATAGGCGATTAATAGGGGGTCGCCATCGGTCTGATGGGGGCGCCTGCAATACCTTTCCCCCAGGCGAACCCACTACTTGACCCGTTTCGCGCAAAGAAAACGCGGCTTCCCGGCTAAGCCAAGTCAAACCCGATCACAAACGACACGGACTTTGAGTAAATCGACCATGCTGAACACGATGGTAATGTTTTTGAAACGGAAAAATGCCTTTAGAAAAAGTAGATTTTTTGGAGCCATTTAAATTCCATATTTAAGCTACTAAAAGTCATTTTCGCGGCTTGGGAGCCTGCTCATCGAATTCTACAGCATCGAAAACACTAGGAAACATTCCGTTTGGTGCAAAATATAACGAGGCAACCGAGTTACAAGAGCTTCCCGGGTGTTGCCTTCTTTTTGCACGCTACTGTACCTTCCCGTTAAAGAGCCTATAATGCGTCAAAATTTACCATATGTTCGGCAGGTCTCGACAGCTACGCCACGCTCCAAATGACCTCAAAAACCTAAAACCTAACCTAAAAAAGCCATTTGCGCTTGTAGGCGTAATTTGGAGTGTAGCGTAGCTGGCGAGAGGTAAACGATGATGAGGAAGCTTCTTACCTTAGTAGTTCCTTTAAGAAACCGCGATTTTCAGACATTCTACGTCCTCTCCCTGATCGGCATCATCCGAGCCCGACTCATCTTCAAGTCTCCTTGCTATGTCGTAATGTTGTTCATGGGAGGAGGTAAGTCTCCATCTTAATTGAAACCAGAAGCGCGAAAATCGTCTCCCTCCAGAGACTAGGTCTCGACAGTGACGCGACAGTCCAATTGACAAGCGAAAATCTCTCTTTGATGGCTCTGCAGCACAGCGTTCACTACTTTACGATTACAATTTCACGCGTCATTTGGAGTGTCACGTCGCTGTCGAGACCTAGCTGATCGGATGGGTAGATTTTTGCGCTTGCGGGCGCCTTTAAAGGCTCAAAAATGGATCGCTGCTCCCATTTTTAGGAGACTTGATTATGACCTGCATCAGCTCTCAAATCAGCGCCTACTTTTTCTGGCCCGGTGCTGTGTATTGTTGCTCGCCAAAGTTCATCTACTGGTGTGGGGCTGTTGGATTAGGTCAGTTGCCTCTACAGAGCTTTTTACGTAGAAAAATAGAGAATAAAACGTTGACGTTAAATAAAAAGAAATTGTTTTTAAATCCCATGAAAATGACGCAAAATTTACATCTATTTTTGCGCCGAATAAATTAAAAATGGGGTGTTTAGCTGCCTGGACGTCATCATGTCTCTACTGTATGACTTTGGCAACTAGTCGACTGGCCGAAATCACCGGAGCCACTCGCATAACCAAATTTCTAGGAAGGAGGGCGTGTTTTTGGATATGGTAGGTATCAAGTTTACTTTATATCTAAAACTAAATACCAAACAACAGGCTACAAAAATTATACGCCATTACGCAACAGACGACAACAAATTTTAACTAGCGGCTACAAACACATTGCTGACACCTGGTACGCTAGGCTACAGACTACAGCTTACAGAGAACGTCAGACTAAAGCGGACAACTAACTTTTAAAAAGCAGCTGTTTTAGCTTAACGGCCCTGACCATCGGCATAATTTTCGGCTTTTTGACACCGGCTCCACTTTTCAATTCACCGATGGGAGCATGGTTTTTTAGTCCGTTTAATGAAAGTGGGGTAAGTTAAAGTAGCCTTCTCTCCATCGCACCCTCCCTTTCTCTCTCGCTCTCTGTCTCTTCACCAACTATTTCAGCTAGAATACGACAATCTGGCGCACCGTTTGAACAATCTTCTCGTATCTGCCTGGGCGATAATAGTGTATTCTTGTATGTGCTGGAGAGCATCAAAGAATTGGGCATGGGCTGATGGAATGTCGAAAGCACAGAGATTGGTACATTTTTCGCTCCCTCCCTCCCTATCTCTCTTTCCCTCTCTCTCTCTCTCTCTCTCTCTCTCTCTCTCTCTCTCTCTCTCTCTCTCTCTCTCTCTCTCTCTCCCTCTATCTTTTTCTATCTCGTACTCTCTCTCCTTCTCTCTAGCGCGCCCTCTCTCTCACTCTCACTCTCTCTGTCTCCCTATCTCTCTCGCTCTCTCTGTCTCTCTCTCTCTCTCTCTCTCTCTCTCTCTTTCTCTCTCTCCCGTTTCCCAATATTCCGAGACATTCTTCTTTCCAGCTGTACATCCAAGCCTTTATCATCTGTACAACACACGTGGGTGCTGCTTGGGGCTATTTACTGATGAATTACATTCCCGGATTCCCGCCGTCATTAGTATTGTGTGGACATATCGCCTGGCAGTGGAGTCATGGTACAGTAGGAGGGGTGTAAGGAAGAGCGTAGCGTAGCGCTCAAGGGACGGGACAGCATAGTGTAGTCTATGGAAATATGGTACGTAAGAGGGTGTAAATTGGAGCGGAACGTAGGCCTGCAAGTCCCTACGATGATAGGTGTGTAAGGTGAAGCGTAGCGTACTTTTTGTAGTCAGATTACGGTATTGGGGCGTAAATTGGAGCGTCGTGCAGCCCCGCGATTCGCCGTTTGACACCTCTGTAAATCGGAGTGTAGCGTAGCCGTGGTATCGTAAATCCTGCAAATAAGCTAAAAACCGCGCCAACTACCGTACCCCATTCAGGCGTCCCAGGCCTGGTATATTTTTTTGTTAAATCGCTCGGTCCGACGATCGGTTTTCGCGCTTTTCGGCGTGAACTCGGTGGGTTACTGTGGCCAGGGGTACGGTATCAAATCCAACCTTTAGAAATTCGGCATTTTTACCGTTTCCGATGCCACCACTCGGCGCTCAAATCCGAGCAGTAACACCTGGAAATAATGTGATTTAAAGCAATAAATAAATTTTCTACGAAAGCAGCATCCATCTGTCCTTTCCAGGGTACACATAGGGGAACGAAGGGGGGGGGGGGGGGGAATTTTTGAGATTTTCGATTTTTTGAGGACGCCAATCGATAGAACGTACCAAGAATATACATACTAACTGCAAAGTGTTTTTACATAGCCCGGACATTCCATTTAGGACGCGGCCTACCTTATGCAGAGTTTTTCGCTGATCCCGAACCTGTTTCCAAATCCGCGGCGCAGCCCGATTTCAAAAGTTACAGCTGTTTTGATACAAACTGGCCAAGAAAGGCCGATTTTAAATTCCACTAAAAATATTTTAGAATACTTTCAGGATGAAAATAAGCCACATTCTGGGGTAGAAAAGAAGACTTTTTCAAATGAGCCATCTCACGGAGCTGTAACTCAAAATTCATGAAAAAAAGTTTACTTAACGGGGAGCAGGCCCGTAGCGGAACCGAAATTTCGGGGGGGGGGGCCAAAAATTTTGGCGACCTCCCCCCGGTCGCCACTTTTAAAACTTCCGAAAATCGCGTCAAGAATAGCGCCGCAGGCAAAAAAATCGCAAACAAGCGTTCGCTACACTCATATTCGTCTGAAAACGCGGGGCAGAAAACGCGCCGCAGGCGAAAATTTTTTATGAACAATTGATTAACCAAGGAAAAACCAGCGCCGCAGGCAAAAAATTTTGAAAAAATAGGCATCACCAGCGCTGACCCCCCGCTACGCGGGTGTTCAGCGCTGGCCTCCCCCACAATTTGAATTTTGGATTTGAATGCAAAATTTGGCTGAATTCCTGGTCGGGCGGACAGACGGACATTAGAAATTTATATATAGTAAATATAAGTAAAAACTGTTTGAAAAACAGTAATAAACAGCGCCGCAGGCAGAAAAATTTTTACTGTAAAAAATCATAAGGGTCCCCCCTTATGAATTTTTCGGACCTCGACCCATTTCGGGGGGCAGGGCCCCTGGGCCCCCCCTCCTACGGGCCTGCCGGGGAGGTAGCGGGCAGAGCGGCTGGTTGGCTGCGTTGAAAACATAACATAATTACAAAAATTTTGAGTTACGGTTCCGCGGGATGGCTGATTCGAAAGAGCACAGTTTTCTACCCCGGAATGTGGTCTATGTTTATCCTGTAAGTATGCCACAAAATTTTGATAGGGATTTAACAATCGTTGCGGTCCTTTTTGTGAGAAAATCAGTTGTAACTTTTGAAATCGGGGGTCCTCCGCAGATTTGAAAAACAGATTCGGAATCAGTGAAAAATTCTGCACAAGATAGGCTTGGTCTGGAATGGAATTGCCAGCATATTTAAAGGCCTCTGGGACGCTGGGCGCCGGCCGCAGCCGCAAGGGTTGCGGCTGGCTGCGGAGCGCGGACACCGTGGCGGCGTATATAGGAGCGCCGCGTGGGGAACGGGGGGCACTCGGGCAGGCCATCCCTCTCCGTCGGTTGGTGAGCGTGGTGTAGTGGATAGCGCGCTGGGCTTTCAATCTCACGATGCGGGTTCGACCCTGCCCGGTGCAAACATTTCTTGCTTTTTGGCGAAAACCATCGTTCTAGAGGTCTTTAAAAAGTACATTACAGCAAGAGAATTTTTGAAAGCACAGTAAGCGGAAGACTTTCGAGATTTTCAAAAAGGCCATTCGATAAAGGGCCAAAAAATATACTAAGAGTTTTTATCACCCGAAAAACAATACTCAAAAAACCTTTTATTATAAAAAAAACTGGCCCTCCCCGTTTTTCATCGCCGGATGTATTTATTTCATGCTGTGTGTAGCCTTTCCAGTGTTTTTACGGTGCAATGGTATCAAACGCATCCAAAAACGAGCTTTATTCAAGATACATTCATTTTAAATCATGAAGAAACACTTTAAACAACGAACGAGAAAAAGAAGACAATAAATAGCGTCGTGGGGGGCCACAGTAAGCGGGAAACTGTACACATAAAAGCGGGAAAATTCGAGTAGGGGAAAATTAGTATGTAACACAAAAGGCGAGTAATTTAACTTGGGGCAATTTCGGGGGTTGGCACTGTACCTTAAACCGAGAAAATCACAAAAACGACTATTAATTAGAAGGATATTAAAGAGCCATGTAAGAAGTTTTAAATGGGCATTGGTTGGTAGGGCTGGCAGGCTTGTTCATCGGCACGTCACGACACGAGCGCCATCTCATCAGCGCTGCGCCTCCTTGCAGCCGATTTGCATCCATTCGTCGTATCGGCACCAGGCACAGGTCCCTAGAAAATGTTAGAAAGTTGTAGAGTATTTTTAGAAAGAGTTAGTTGCTAGAACCGGTACTGGACTGTTAGCGGGGGGGAACCAGGGTTTTTCCTAGAAGCCCCGAAATGCCTAGTAATTTGATAGTAAGTGTTTTCATAGGTTTTTTTTTGGCAGAAACTACATTTGAAAGCGAAAAAAATTAAAATAATTTGGGAAAAATTTGCGAATGTTATATTCCAAAAAAAGACACGTACTCTTCGGGGTACATGTGCAGCGTCGCTTGGATGCCTTCGCGTTTCGGCAGATCCGCCTGAAAGTGGCTTTGAATGCTCGGCAGAGATGAAGAATTCTTGGGCACTTTTGCAATATCGGGGGGGGGGGGAAGGTGGGCTTAGGCCTTGGTTTAGGTTTAGGCTTAGGTTCAGGCTCAAGCTCAAGCAGGCTTAGGTTTAGGATGCAGTCTTTTTGATTTTGATTTTAAGAAAACATATTTTTCCAAAGTTAAAGTCGATTTGGCCCGAATTTGCGGGTTCAAATTTAGTCCCCCCCTGATAATGCAAAAGCACTTGCTGCAGCGCTGCAGCTTTGCTGACCGACCCATATTCCTTCGAGCATGCGATGCAGAGTGGTGGTCCGTACTGCGTGCTGCACTCTGTCTTGTTGTCGCATTTTCGGCATTCAGTCGTCTAGACGTGGAGAAATTTGAGGGTGACCGTAAGAATCATACCACTTTCGCCTCCTTGACTCGACCGACTTGGCGAATTTTGTGTTGCGGCTCTTTCGCCTACAAAACAACTTTGTACTTGTCAATAAAAATTGTTGGAGAGTTTTATAGCGAAAAATGGCTTTTAATGCAGTTTAATTTTGAAATTTCATTAAATTAAATTTAGCTATTTACCATTTATAGCGTTTATATACTGTAATCGCTAGAACACTAGCAATTTCAAAAGCTTGATGGGTTCGTGCTTGCTGAAGCCAGAAAAAGCTTCTCTCTCTCTGTCTCTCTCTCTCTCTCTCTCTCACTCTCACTCTCATCAACTACGTGTGAATTTGCCGGCAAAAGAAGCAACCGCGTACCTTCTCATCAGAGGAGCCGACCGGTGGACCAGTGACGTCACTTGCTTGTTGCGTCGCGCATTCGGAAATCTGGACAAAACGTAGGAGAGAGCAAAGGCGGCAGACCTGGGCTGTGGACTGGAAGACCGAGTTGGAGAGAGCGCCCGTGCCGCTCCGCAACGTGGAAAATTTGATCGTCGAATGGTCCTGTAAATCGACATGGTTATGCTGGAGAAAGAGAGAGAGAGAGAGAGAGAGAGAGAGAGAGAAAAGGAGAGAGCCAGAGAGAGATAGAGAAACCCACCCAAAGAAAACTTCCTTTCCCGCGTTTCCGCTCGATGGAGGCGGTCGTCGTAAAATCGAGGGTAGACGCGTCGGCCAAGGGCATTGTGTACTTTTCCGGAGTGCCTCCAAAAGTGTGCGAGAAGCACGAGCGGTTCGGTTGCGTGGAGTCCGTCTAGAACAGGCTGCACACTAAAGCACGGATAAGGGACGTAGAGGGAGAGAGAGAGGGAGATGGAGGGAGAGAGAGGGAGGGAGAGAGAGAGCGAGAGCGAGAGAGAGACCGAGAAAGAGAGAGACAGTGAAAGAGAGAGAGAGAGAGCGAGAGAGAGAGAGAGCCTTACCTGTTCTTCCTTGGCTATCGAACTGTTGGGCCGACTTCCGCCCTGCCTTGTCTTGATCTCCGAGCCGTCATTCTCGTGGGCACGGTTCTCGAGCATCATGCCCTGAAACATCAATTCTGGATTGGCTACGATGATATCGACGTGCCGAATTTCTTGCCTAGTATCCCAGAATTTTCCGATAAACTAATTTTTACGAAAACATTTTTTCAGTATTCCGCTTCGCGGGCTTTGGGCGCTGGAATGCGGACTTGGCAGAGCAATGTGGCTTTCCGATAGCCGGGGGCCTCCCGACCTCACTGGCGGGTGCAACTAACAAGAATGTCGCAATTTCGATTTTTTCAAATTATGCAAATTAGCCCTTATGGTCCAAAAATGAAGAAAAGCGGTTCTAACTTTGTAAACGTGTATTTTATCTAAATTCTGAGAACACCATCTCTCACTCACTCTCTCATTCTGGCTACGGTTTACTTTACCCCCCCCCCCCAGCCGGATGGCCGGATGGATGTTTTGGCTATAACTTTTTTATTTTACACCAGCGCCCAAAACCCGCTTCGCGGGCCTTGGGCGCTGGAATGCGGCCTTTGCATGAGAAGTTTGACTTTCTGATAGCTCGGGTCCTGCGGACCCCCCGCCCCCGCCCCGACCACACGCGCGAGTGCAACTGGCAAGAATGAGGAAGTTTGTATTTTTTCGCATTATGCAAATTAGCCTTCAGGTACCCCAAAAATGAATAAAACCGCCTTTAACTTTGTAAACTTGTATTTTATCGAAATTCTGAAAACGCCATCGGAAACAGAAGGGTCGATTCCCCCGGGTGACGGAGAATTGAGGCGTTTTGGACACGGGAAGGCCCTCAAATCGGGCCTCGAAAGTGACATCCACACACACACACACACACACACACACACACACACACACACACACACACACACACACACACACACACACACACACACACACACATACACTCCAAAATTATATAAGGTAGGATTATTGTAGGCTCAAATTAAAATTCTTAAGATATTTTTCGACGCTCTATCGAATGGCGTTGCAAAAATGCGACAAAATAAGCGTACCGACCACTTTCAGACCCATCGGCTGTGGGGGGGGGTAAAGTAAACTCTTACCCTCATTCTCTCTCGCTCTCCCTTGCCCTCTCTCCTGCTCTCATTATCTCTCTCGCTCTCTCACACACACCCACTCTCTCTCGCTCTCTCTCTCGATCTTTTCTTATAGCTTAAGTTAGAGTTAAAACTGACCAGGGTATTATCCGCTTCCACGTACTCTGGCTCGGGACCTTGATTTTGACGAGGGATTGGCGTAGAGGCCAGTTTCTGAAAAATCGGTATGCAAAAAGCCGAGAAATGGCCAAAAAGTCGGAGCTTCCGCAATCAAAAAACATTAAAAAACTTGCAAAAAAAAGTAGTTCAAAAATCTGTATTTTGATATAGACTGCCATTTTCAAGGTTTCGACATTTACAAACGGTTCAAAACAGCTAGAAGCAGTTCCTAGGTTAGTTTGCCTAATTCCACATTAGCAAAGCTGAATCCTAAGGAAAAAGGGGCATTCTACTGGATATTGCGAAAGCACCGGAAAGGCTTACTGGGTCAAACTCTGAGATGTCTTGAGTGAAGTCCGTGAATCTATTGAGGACGTCATGGACGGATGTGCATGTGGTCGCGGGGGCTTGTCCTGGAAATCGTATCTTAAAAAAGTGAGAGATAGAGGGAGGAAGAGAGAGAACGCGTGAGAGCGAGAGCGACAGAGACAGAGCTCAGAGCGAGATGGAGAAACATAGATAGCGAGAGAAGGCGTGAGGGAGAGCGTGCGTGAGAGAGAAAGATAGAGTGAGTGAGTGAGTGAGAGAAGCGCGAAATCCAAAAACACTAACCAGTGCTGCCGTCCGGCACCGCGTTGGACTTGTGCTTCGGAATGACATCCTCCTCGAAGTAGCCATTCGCCGGGTCGAACTCGGCTTCCTCGGCGAGCGAGACGTCTTTTCCGGCTTCTGGAAAGCGTCTTTTTAAAAAGTGAAAAAGAGAGAATGGGTGAGAGAGTGTGAGAGAGAGAGAGAGCGAGTGAGAGAGAAGAGCGAAATCCAAAAAACACCAACCCTTCCAGCCGTCCCGCATCGTGTTGTTGTCGGGATTCTTCCTGTGGCCGATTCCTACACTCTTCCACGAGTCTCCGTCGCTGCTGTCGGAGGGGAGGCAGGGGGGCGATGTTGTGTTGACAAAGAGCCAGGAAAACGGACGTGGCATCTGAATCAATGGTAAATTTACAAGATAGCAAATGACAAAATCGAAAACGATCAGGCCCGTTAAATGAAACAGAAAGGCGGTTTTCAGATTCCCTAACTGACGGTAAAAGTTGCTTAACGGGGGGGGGGGGGGTGGTGTTTTGTGTTTTGCTTATATTATTGGGAGAATGAGAATGAGAATTATTAATAAAAGTTTGTAGTTTTTATATTGATGGATTGTAAAACACAACTAATCATTTCGCTATTTCTATTTGAAAAGTTCGATCCAAAAAAAATCTTTCGCTCCCCCCCCCCCCCGATATTGCGTAAGAACCCGAAAATTGATCACGACCCACAGGTGGTAGCGGGTCGATGGGCGGAAGGGGGTTCCAATCGTTGGTAGCTTTGCTGTATTCCTCCATCATCCACGAAAAAATGGAATGGCCATCTTCAACAGCTTGGCTTGTCGTTTTTCTCTAAATGATTTTCTTTCCTATGTCACTTTTTCCTGCAAGTTCCTAGTCACTGGTCTGAATTTGATCAAACGTTTGGAAAACCATAGATGCTGCGGACCTTGTGCATTAACGGGGGGAGAGGGGATACTAGCCTTTTTTCTAAGGATCTAAAACAATAATTTTTGCATGATAAAAAGATCTAAAGTATCTCACCCCCCCCCCTACCCTAGCGATCCGCAGTCGTGTCCAATTCCTACGATATAGGTCTCTATCGAAACCTTTCCACGAGCTGAGGAGATATGTTATTTTCCGATTTAGTTTTTAACAAGTTTTGCAACAATTTAACAATTTCTCACATTTTTAAAACTGGCATTAAAAAAGCATCGTTTTGAGTGCCATTTGAGTGAACATTGCGAGAATTGCGCTTAGGCCAAAATGTGAGTTTTATGAATTTCAAAAATCGGCAAAAAAGGAATTGCCTCAGCTCGTCAATTGCTTTCGATAGATACCTAAATCGCCGCCACGGGGGAGCTTTTTTGGGAGAACCTGTAGAATTACCTAGAGATACCTAGAGTAAGTGGTTTTCCATGTTTATCAACGCAAAAACTTGTCAATTTGCATTTAAGGATAACAAAAATTTCGTTACGTCCAAAATGTGCACTTTTTCGACCTGAATCCCGCCAAAAACATTGATGCTCTTGCGGAATGAAACATACCTGCCCAGTCAAAGCTTGTAGCGCGTCAAAACGGGCTTCTGTCTTCCGCTTCACCGCCTCCATCATATTCCGACGGCCGGTCGTTTGGTATTCGTGGACGGTCTACAAAATGATACTCCTGATGGCGGGAAAGGGAAGACGGTAAACGTCGTTTAACGGGGCAGTTATCTTTTTCGGAAAATTCTATTTGATGAGGCGTCAAAATCCTGTTCAATGCTTTTGTTTCCGCAAGTTTTCTTGTCTGATTCTTAGGCTACCATTTTAAAATAAAGATGTTTGTTTTCACAGCGTTATTTTTCCCCTGTCAAGCACCCTGGTATTTTTGCAATATCGGGGGGATCCAACCTTTCGTAAAATTCAGTTTTTGTTAGTATAATATCGAAATTTCATAATCTCAGAATTCAGATGTCGAAACTCGCAAAATTCGCAATATAGAACGCCGAATTTTCATAGTCAAAATTTCATAATGTCGGAATTCAGAACCTTTTTGCTTTGGATTCGGGGGTTTTCCGTGAAAATTGGCTTATGATTTTGACACTATGAAATTTCGACATTATCACATTTGGCAATTTTGAAAAAATCCAATTACTTCGCCCCACTCCCCCCCTCCCCCGATAATGCTAAAAATCCAAAAACCCTTAAAGAGAGGACGCCCCCGCAAAAAGAGCTCACCTCGTACAACTGGCGAGAATCCAGTGCAGCGTATTCTTCGGCTTCTCTAGCGGCATCCGAGCACAGAACCATGAACTCGATGGGCAGTCCTTCGATTGGAGTCGTACCGGCGTCGGACAACTATTACGAGCGTTTAAGATGATAACGGCGCTGGACTGTTAGCGGGGGGGGGAGGAGAGTTTTAGAAGGAACCAGGGTTGAAAAGCCGCTTCGCGACTTTTCAACCCTGGTCCCGTCTGATCCGATGATATTCTTCACTTTGCCTAATTCTCACGATTTTCGATGACAAAAAATGAGAAACGCTACCTCTCTTGTGTTACATAGGCTACCGCAACTTTCGGCGTATGCTAATTATTTCCTAGCAAAGAGGGTGGCCCATTTTTCAAGAAAAACTTAATTTTAACGTCGAAAAGAGCCCATTTTTGAAAATTTTATTGGTGTGCAGTTACGCCCAAAATTTGCACTTTTCGACCAGAATTACGCCAAAAAATTGATGCTCTCGCGGAATGAAACATACCAGCTCAGCCACAGCCCGTAAGGCATCGACACGCGCTTCCGTCTTCAGTTTCACCGCCTCCATCAGGGCACGCCGGCCGACCGTCTGGTACTCGTGCACGGTCTACAAAATGATACTCCTGATGGCAGGAAAGGGAAGGCGGTCAACGCCGTTTAACGGAGCAGCAGGTGAGAGTTTTATCTTTTTTGTAAAATTCTATTTGTCGGGGCGTCAAAATCCTGCTCAACGGTTTAGTTTTCGCAAGTTTTTTTATTTATTTTTAGGCTATCTTTTTAAGGAAGAGGGTAAGAGTTCAGTTCACCCCCCGCCCCCCCCCCCCGCCGGCACCCAACTTTTGTATCTCAGCTCCCTGTTCATCTACAGGTGTGTAAAGTGTACCAAAATGATTGCCTTGCTCTGGCGAGTATTTTGGTATACTTCACACACCTGTAGATGAGCAGGGAACCGAGATACGGTAGGTGGGTGCCGGCTGGGGGGGAACTGAACCACAGCCATGAAGCGTTTCGTATCTCTGCGTTATTTCTCCCCGGTGAAGCAACCTGGCATTTTTGCAATATCGGGGGGGGGGGAGTGGCCCACCTTTCGTAAAATTCGGCTTTTGTTAGTATAATATCGAAATTTGTTAATGTCGGAATTCATATGTCGAAATTCTGATACGCAAAAATTTCATAGTCAAAAATGTCCAAATGTGCTTTTTGCTTTCATTCGGGGGTTTTCCGTGAAAATTGGCTTATGATTTCGACACTTTGAAGTTTCGTCATTACCACAGTTCGAAATTTTCAAAGAAATCCGAATCTTTTGACCCCCCCTCCCCGATAAAGCTAAAGATCCAAAAACCCTTAAAGAGAAGACGCCCTCGCAAAAACGGCTCACCGCGTACAGCTCGCGGGGATCGAGGGCCGCGTATTCTTGGGCTTCGCGCTCCGCGTCGGCCAACAGCACGATGAAGTCGAGCGGGACTTCTTCTGCTGGCGCCGCCTCCTCATCCCACTAAAGCAGCAGCCATTTAGATGATAACGGCACTGGACTGTTAGCAGGGGGGGGGGCGTTTTAGAAGGGGTAAAACTAATTTTGGCAAGAGTCTAGGACCCCCGCTGCCGTAACTGTTCAGCCATACGTTCTATTAATGCGTGGAGTATATCAAAACGCTCCCCGCAGTCCAATTGCTCTCAAAAAGTAGTTTTCCTATGTAGTGGGTTGGTTACTTTTTCGATCGGGACCAGTCGGAAAGATGATAAAGGGAAGTCGATATACAAAAGTTGGGGAAGGCTGGGAGATGAGGGTGAATGAGATTGTGATCGTGAATAAAAAAATCGTTGTAAATTTATGTTTTTGGGGCCGGTGTTGGGGAGTAACCATGCAAACCGATGATCTTCATAGGTTTTTCAGCGCTGGTTTGTCCCTAAAAGTGCAATTTGAAATTACCTTCGTGGCCGGGGTCCTCGAGGGCCGCGGCAAACTCCTCCTCCAATGCGTCACCTGCGGGGTGAGGCGAATCGAAAAAGTGACCAATATTCGCGATCTAACGCTTCATCGAAAATTATATGCGAATTAGGGGATGCTAAGATCAATGGTAATTTGATTTTGATGTTAATTATTATGGTAATTGTGTAATTGAAAGAGCAGAATTTGTCTGTCAAATCAATTCTCTGGAATCAGGGTACAGTAGATTTGAATCGAGAAAAATAGCGAAAAATAAAATATTTGAGTTTAAAGCCCGTAATACATTGAGGCATGTCGACTTAATATTTTCACGTTTCAAAATCTTGTAAAAGCAATTTCTAACAATTTTTGACGCCAGCAAACAATTTTTTATAGTAGTAGTATTTTGAGATGCTCCACGCATTAATAGGGCGTATGGCCGAAAAGTTGCGGCCGGGGGTTTCCTAGACTCTTACCCTGGTTCGCATCAGTTGCTTCTGCGCTCTGTTAGGAGACAAAAGACCGCCCAGGTTTGAGAGAAAAACACGAAAGAAAGAAAGAGATAGACGAGCATGAAAGGGAGCATCAGCTGCGACTCCAGCAAGCAGCTCATCCGACAAAGTATTTATTGTTTTTGTTTGATTGCAATGTTATCAAACGCATCATCATGTTTATTCAAGGCACATATCACAAAAAACACGAGCACTTTGAAGGGGGGTTGGTAGGGCTGGCAGGCTGGTTCATCGGCACGTCACGACACGAGCACCATCTCATCAGCGATGCACCTCCTTGCAGATGATTTGGGTTCATTCGTGGTAGCGGCACCAGGCGCACTTTCCTAGAAAAAGTTAGAAAGTTGTAGAGTATTTTTAGAAAGAGTTAGTTGTTAAAACCGGTACTGGGCTGTTAGCGGGGGGAACCAGGGTTTTTCCTAGAAGCCCCGAAATGCCTAGTAATTTGATAGTAAGTGTTTTCATAGGTTTTTTTTGGCAGAAATTACATTTGAAAGCGAAAAAAAATTAAAACGATTTGGGAAAAGTTGCGAATGATCCAAAATAATCCAAAAAAAGACACGTACTCTTCGGGGTACAGGTGCACCGTCGCTTGGATGCCTTCGCGTTTCGGCACACCCTCCTGAAAGTGGCTTTGAATGCTCGGAACAGATGAAGAATTCTTGGGCACTTTTGCAATATCGGGGGGGGGGGTGGGCTTAGGCCTAGGGTTAGGTTTAGGCTTAGGTTCAGGCTCAAGCTCAAGCAGGCTTAGGTGTAGGCTTAGCCTAGGTTGAAACCTTGGTTTAGGCTGAGGCTTAGGGTTAGGCTCAAGCTTGAGCAGGCTTAAGTTTAGGCTTAGACTCAGAATGCAGTCTTTCTGACTTTTGATTCTGATTTTGAGAAAACATATTTTTCCAAAGTTAAAGTCGATTTGGCCCGAATTTGCGGATTCAAATTTAGTCCCCCCCCCCCCCGATAATGCAAAAGCAGTTGCTGCAGAGCTGCAGCCTTGCTCACCGACCCATATTCCTTCGAGCATGCGATGCAGAGTGGTGGTCCGTACTTCGTGCTGCACTCTGCCTTGTTGTCGCATTTTCGGCATTCGATGGTCTAGACGTGGAGACATTTGAGGGTGACCGTAAGAATCATACCACTTTCGCCTCCTTGACTCGACCGACTTGACGAATTTCGTGTTGCCGCCCTTTCGACTAAAAAACAACTTTGTACTTGTCGATCAAAATACGTTCTTGTTTTCAGCTTTTGCAACTTTTGCAACTTTTGCAACTTTTCAGCCATACGTTCTATTAATGCTTGGAGTATCTCAAATAGTGGGCCGCGGTCCAATTACTCTCAAAAAGTTGTTTCCTTATGTCAACAATTGGCAGAAGGTTTTTTACACGATTTTTAGCCCTAATTTTTGTTTTTCTGCCTATGGCACCGGTTGATCATATATAATGTATTTTATAGTGATTTGGGTTGGCTGGAAAGCTACAAAACCAACATTCAAACATTTTCGATAATTTTTGAATTTTTGAATTTACCTTTTTATACTGAAAGTTCCGTAAAAATGGTTTATGATTTGTGGAGCAGCGCATTTATCATTTTATGATTATTTTGTACGTTTTAAACCACAGGATAATCAGAAAACAGGGGAAATTTCCGACTTTTCGCCGGAAAAACTGCGGAAACTGGCTTCCCTTTTGCTAAACCCTCCTCCCCCCCTGGTAACAAACAGTCTAGTACCAATTCATCTTCAAAAACCCAACCTTGAAGAATAAACGCTTCGGGGCAGACATGGATCTTCCGCCTTGTCGCACCTTCTCCCTGTCGTCCTTCTGCCATTTCTCCACTGTGCGGCTTTCATCGTTGGCGTGGAGTTGTTGCAGTCGTTCCCCAACCAAGAGATAAATCATTTCCTAAAAACGGGGTTCTTTAGGATTCGCAGCGCGGGGAAACCAAATTTTTCGGCCCTGGCCTAAATTTTTTGATAAATAGCGCAACAATAATTAGAACAACGCATTTCCAGCCTATTTTTAACTATTCCTCAGCGTGAAAACCCTACAAAAATCAATTTACAACTTGACTTTTAGGTCCAAAAATTTGTGCACCTCCCCCATTATATCATCAGTACCCGGTCCCTTGCCCTAAAACCCACCTCCTTGAGGAAAATCCTCCATGCTGCACTTTCTTCGGTGACACACTTGAAGAGCTCGAGTAGGAGACCGCCGTCGTTCTTGAGCTCGCCCGGCAACTTGAAACCCTGAAGAATTGTGGGTAAGAGTTGCAGAGACAGAGGAAGAACAGCGGAAGAGAGAGAGAGGGCGAGAGAGAGGGAGGGAGAGAGGCAGTAAGAGAGACAGAGGAGACATAATGAAATTACCTTCCTGACTGCAGCTGCAATCACTTCAGCGACAGGCTCGGCCATCGAGATGACCACCTGGCAGATGAACGCCGCAAAGGAATAGCGATCCATTTCCAAATCCCGCAGGGCGAAACCAAATTATGCTAATTTGGGGACGGAAATTTAGTTTTTATGACTTCTTTGCATGGTATCTACAGGGTGTCCCAAAAAAATCCATGAAAACTGTATTTATGCAAAATTAGTATGCAAATTGCTTGTAAAGCTAACAGGGCGATGCTGACTTAACGCTTTTTTTAAGAAATCGTAATCAGTAGAGATACATATATAGTATCTAAATCGTACATATCGAGTGCGGGCTAAAAAATTTTGTAGAGAGAAGAGCGCTTGTTTCTCGCCTTTTCAAGGGCGATCGAATGGTGTAAAACCTTTCTCCGGACCGCTAGGGGGGTCGATTTTTTTGGGGACGCCCTGTACTGCAGGGTAATCATCTACGCAGCACGCAAGCACCGAGCACCAACTGGAGTCGCAGCTGATACTCCCAGATTTGCTTAATGGATAGGCACCTTTTCTTTTTTTCTCGATAGGTCTTTTAGCTAGGTCTTTTCGCCTTGTACGAACGCGAGAGCATCAGCTGCGACTCCAGCATGTAGCTCCTCCGACGCAGTTTTTCACGCTAATTCCAAATATTTAACTCTCATGGCTGTATCTTGTTATTCTGAATTCTGGCGCACAAAACAAAAAAAACCGAGTGTGCTGCCTACTGGAGCGCCAGCTGCCACCCCTAATAGTCCGCCGAAGAACACTGCTACTATAGTCGTTTTTAAAGTGCAGTTTCGACGGAGATTTTTGAAAAAAGCTCCAAAAAATTTTGGCTCTGCGTATTTGGCGATGATCGGGTGACACCAGCCACACCACTAGTCCGCCGCAACAGTTGCTTCTGCGCTCTGCTGTTAGGTAAAATACCACCCAGGTTCGAGAAAAAAACGAAAGAAAGAAAGAAAAAGACGAAAAACATACCCAGAGAGGGGCGGTATGGGTAACAACCGAGTATCAGGAAGGCATTCCTCAAAAAGATGAAAACTTTTTCGAATTACCGTATTTCATTACCTCGATATCTCAACATTTAATTTTCAGCTGAGCTTCAGACAACCCGAAAAAATGTAAGATTACGAGGAGTTCTGGGCTTAAAAAGAGAGGCATTGAAACCACCCCGGATGCCTATATTCATGAAACGTGGGGGCTTCGAGCACTTCCGATGCTTATACGCATGCATGGCAGATGATGGCCCGGGAAATATGTCAAATCGAGTGAGTCTTGGAAGATTTACCGGGTTCCCCAAAAAAGAACTATCTGGCATTCCGCCGTGTTACATCGAATCGTTCCCGAAATTGGACCAGACCCTAGCAGACCCTAAATAACCATAATCCTGACTCACAGTCGCAAGTTTTTTCGCGCTGTTTCCAAATATCTAACTCTCATCGCTGTATCTTGTTATTTTGAATTCTGGCGCACAAACAAAAACGCTTATTATAGAAAGGTTGTTCGTCGAATTATGCAAATTAGGCTTATCAGCTGCGGCTGCGGGTGTAACCAGCTCGAAAAATGTTTCAATAAATCTTCCAGGTGCATGGCAACGCGTTGAGAATTTTTGAATCATGACCTGAAAGGGAAGTACATCTCCGTTTGGTTACATAGTTACAAAGTGCGGCCCAATCGAGATTTGGCTGAATTCTTCATTTCTATAGCGTGCAGGAAATGTTGCGTGTAATTTTTGTGCAAATTTTGTTTTTTACTTTGGTAAGTGCATGCTTAAGTTAGCTTGAAATTTGGATCCTTATCACCAAGGTTTATTTCAGGCTGCTTGCATCAGTTTTTATCAATCCGAAATAACTGACACAATGCAATTTGCTGTTGGGGAAACGTCTTCGAGACTGCGAGTAAGGCGATAATACGGTTTTATGTGAGGAGGTCTTAGCCTCTAATGCAGAATTGCCTTAACGATACGGGATGTGCTTGGGTAGCCGGGTGTAAACAGGATTCCGAGAACCCCCGTACCGCATTCTACGCGGGATCCGCCAATGTCAAGTAAGCTAGAGGCGCTAAACAACATTCTCTTACTAGGGCCAACGTTGCGGTGTTATCGTCGGAGAATTGCACATTGTTTTTGAAAACGAATTCTTCCTGTGAAACTACCCCGTCGCCAGCCCTACAAGGCCTCATTCCCATCTCGCGATACCAAAATAAGACCAAAAATTTGGATTTGTATTGGGCAAAGGCAGATGGAACTTTTCCGATGGCAACCTATTGCAGACGGTTTGTTTTTAGAAGTGATATAGGCTCCCATATGAAAAAAATCTCTGTCGATTGAAAAAATTAGACGAGACCCACTTCCGTGAGGTTGTTATTACCTTCCCATAGCTTCAGAAAAGCCTTTTCGTATAAATCGTCAATAGGCGTAGAATGAGCTAGAACCGATTGCCCACACATCAGATTTTCAAAAAATATCTTTTTAGCTATTAAAAATAGATTTATTTTTGCTCTTTATTTGCAATCGTTATACAAAACTCTGTCTTTCTTTTACAAAATGCATGCAAAAATTTCCGTTTAACGCATTTAAAAGCCGTTTTTCGATTTTTTAGCAATCTGTCGCGAAGCTGGAAAACACATCATTCCATGTGGAATTTAATGCGCATTTTTAATTGTATTTCTAGAGTGGTGACGAACACCTAAAAAAAATAGAAATTCTTGAAAAATTTATTTGAGTTCGCAAGGTTCCAATGTTCCGACGATTTGCATGCTTTGAAATGTATTAGAGAAATGATCCCCGTCCCGAATTACCTATTGTCCCGGATTTTAAACCACTTCGTTACCGTAGTTTTCGAGTCTTTAACGGTCATTGAACCCAAAAAAACCATTTAAAACATTTAAAAAACTTTCAAAACTATGCAATCCCATCAACTCCGCCATGCTCTTTCAGCTGTGTATGGCACCTTATGGACGAGACTGCCCTAGCCACATGCGCGGCGTTAGTGCCGTTGTATGTTAATAATAACGGTATGTCTATACATCTTTCGATCGAACCATATTATTTCTAGCAAGAGTTCTAAAATTAGATCCGGGCAATCTAGCGACGCTTCTGGGATATGTTAGCCTGGAACTGGGATACTGCGGCGCAAGCGTCACTATAAATTCCTACGTGCGGACATCGTGGATCGTGGATAGCAATTTCTATGCTAGCTCGGTCAACGCTACCTGGGACTACAATCTTGTCAAATCAAAGATGTTCTACGCGTGGAATAGGCCCGCTTATGCCGGGACGCTCCCCGCCCCCGATACGGATTGCACGTCGGCACCGGTCGGAAAGTGCGGAGATAAAGAGTAATAACCGATTCCGAATATAAGCATTCTATCGGATAAATGTTGCCGGAAAAGAACGAAAAGCAATAGTATGTGCAAGTTGTTTTGCTGGTTTGCTCTTCAGCCCAGCTACTCCTAGTAACTGCCCGATTTCTTACCTGGGTTAGGTGTCACTGCTATGGCGCCGGGTTCCAAGACGCGCGGGATTTGGCGCCTTGTTCATACTCAGGTTTTGCAATTCCACGAAATGCAGCAAATATACACTTTTATATTATTAAGCCTAACTGTTATCGTGGTGCGTTCTACGCGTTTGATTTTAAAGCCTAACTTGGCTTTGGCATTGGCACGTTTTGTACGTGTCAATATCACAGAGCCGGCGCAGGTTTCCTATCAAGCCAGTGGCACCATCTTACAAGTAAGCCAGGTTAATTAAATGCAAGAATGCTCAGATGAATACTTGGCCAAATCTCTTAAAAAATTTCCGAAATTGAAGACTACAGGGTGTCCAAAAAAACGAACCATCTGGCATTTCGCCGTGTTACATCCAATCGGTCCCAAATTTCGACCAGGGGTGTATCGGACCCTAAATAACAACAATCCTGACTTATAGCCGGCTACCTACAATCGTTCTCGAGCTTGTACTCGTCGGCGCCGGACGCCAGCTACAGCACTAAAAAAGCGAACCTATTTTACGCATGGCAGCGACCAAGCGATGCAAATGGTCTCCCAAAACCGGATTCGGCCTGTGCTAAAACGCCGAAAGCAGGATGCTAAAGATTTAAAAATGTTCTACTTAAATAAATAAATCAGCCCGATAAAAAGGATTCAAACTTATTATTCACTTCACGAAAAATAGCTTTAAATACGCTACAAGGAAAAGGCGATAATATCATTGTTTTCCAATCCTTGTCAGCCTGCGAAAAAGTGTGCATTGACGTAAGTTAAAAATTTGCTCGCTAAATCATCCAGTCGCCTGGCAACCCGTGGAAAATTTGAAAACGGTTTGGGTTATTTTTCGAAGGAAATAACGCTACGTCTGGTTACATAGTTACAAAGTACGGCCCAATGGAAATACAGAGTGAGGGTCTGGTTTCGAGTTTTCAGAAGATGTTTCGGATCATTTTCGCGTTTTTATTAGTGACTTTCGCGGTAAGTATCTCATCTACGCTTTTCATTTTTAAACGTGAAGGTTAACGCAGAAAAATTTGATATTTTAGGTAACTTCGCTCAATTTTTATCGTTCCGAATTTAATGAAACTATCGAATTTTATTACGCGGTATCCAGTGCTAACTTGCGAGTAAGTCAGCATCATTATAACTTAAGCCAATGCTCTAATTCTAAAGTAAGGTCCTAAAAATTTTATAGAATATCCCACGCTATTCTAGATCTCCATGGATCTGTGCCTCAATGATTCCGACTGTTCTTCGGTGATAGGGTGCAAATTGCGAAATGCCGGTTTTTCGTTTTTCGCCCAAACGACGCGCGCCAGGTTAGTGAAAATTCAAACTGTTCGAACTCAAACAACATATCAAGTCTGCTGACAGCTAATCCAGATGCTTGTATCCTATTTTTAAAAACGAATTCCACGTGTGAATGCAATACACAAGGTACCAAAACTGAAATAAAGCTAGGTTAAACCAGCTTTAGCTCCTACACTGGCACCATCACTATCTGGAGATATCCCAATCTCACGGTAGCACACCACCGATTACGACTATTTTTGGAAGAAGACGGGCAAAGCAACTCCATTGGCGAACTATTGCAGACGGTTTATCATAACAGTATCAAAATTACATGAAATTTATGATTTAGCTGTGTTTGGCACATCATTAACGCATCGTCGGTAACGGTATGTCCGAAATTGGTTCCCTTGTATGTAGTTCGAACGGTAAGGAGTTATTTAGACGATACTCTCATCCGTTTCCACTAAAACCCTCGAGTAAAAATGGCTAAGCTATCAGAAAAGAGTCCAAAGTCATTAACGTCATTAGCACGTCTAACATAACGACAACGATATAATTTTAGGACGGTTTCTCAACTTGACAAACGCTATCGGATGGACTCAGCTCGGTTATGTGAGCCCAAAACTTGGCTACTGTGGCTCGCAAGTGACGATCAGTTGGTATCAAAAAGGGCCGAGCAACTCGTATACCAATAATGGAACAACTGGCTTTACCCTCGTCCAATCGGCGTTGTTCTACGCATGGCGAAGGCCCAGTGATGCTGGCGCTCTCAACGCGCCGGACCCAACATGTCCTGACCATGAAAAGCCAGTTAAAACTTGACTTGCCGGCCTAGCTAAAATGGATAAATTTTGTGCGAATAAATGTTGAAAGTCCGTTTAAATCCATCTCTAGGCTTTTAAAAGACCTTTTAATTTCCCGATATCCACTTTACGGAACAGACCGTAGCCCACGACAAGGTTTTTTAAACACGTCTTTGCCTATTAGTATCCAAGGCAATACCATTTGTCACTGGCTTTTAGAGCTTTGGAAAAGCTGTTTCCTGGTAACTTCCGAAGACCGCTCAGCGCCATTTCCTTGCTGGTTACAGTTTCAAACATTTTTCAAAGCCAATCCGCCGGTTGCATGGAGCCGTTGCGTTAATTTTACCATATTATTTCGCAAAAATCCGCCTGGTTATAAGTAGTCAGCTTGCTTATGCCAGAGTAATTTTGAGAAATAATGGAGCCGATGGTGGGAACTCCGGTAGCTCAAATCTTGTACCTTAATCTTTCTGCGTAGTCACCCCTGCAGCAGGGTTTATTGGTACTGCTGATACCGACTTGCGTCTACGATGCTAGTTCTTTAAATAATGAGACCATATTCCAATGCGCTCAAGAATGTGGTACGACCACGAATTCGACTTACGGAATCTACGTCGAGACAGGTAGACGTGACGGGAATTTTAAAAGAAATGAATCGTTAACACAACTAACTTTCAGAGTATTGCCAATGCTTGACAACCGAAGAAGAACTTCCGCAGATGATGTTCCGAATTTCAAAAGGGGACGGATGTCCCGTTTCTGACCTAGCCTCAACCACTCCCAACCCTTGGATTCGTGAGTATTAAAAGATGGCTTAGTCATAGGATCGGACGCTGAATCGGCTTAATCGCACCCGCAATGAAATGCAAGGTCACCGGAATCAATGATCCAGGAAATACCTTCGAGCATCATTGTTCCCAAATTCAATTACATCTAATAGACATTAAAATTAAGCGATCACACCAATGCCAACACCGAGGGCGCTGATTCCCATCACGCGATATCAAAATAGGACCAAAATTTTGGATTTTTATTGGGCAAAGAAAGATGGAACTTTTCCGATGGCAACCTACTGCAGACGGTATGTCGTTGGAAGGGTCATTAACTACTATATACGGGAGATAGGAACTCGGGAAATAGCAGTTCGAGAGATAGGCCATTGCCCTCTTCCTGTTTAGCCAGAAAACGTATTAAACTTGTTGACGATTCAGTTGCGTATGGCACTTAACGGACCGGTCCTCGTTAAAGATCTGTCCCGCTTTGGTGGAACTCTATGTGAACAAAAACGGTAAGATCTTATTACACAGCATGGAAGTGGTGCCGGCTATTGTTACTACACATGTGCTATCTCGATTTTTAGGGAGAGCGCTCATCCTGAAGCCGGGACCGTTAGCGACATTTCTGGGATATGTGAGTCCGGAACTGGCATATTGCGGCGCGAGCGAAACGATCAATTCCTACGTGAGAACAACATCAATCGTCGAGATCTATTTGTAGGGTTATATTCATTTTTACTAAATTCATTTTTCCTAAATTCATTTTTCCTAAATTCATTTTTCCTAAAAATCATTTTTCCTAAAAATCATTTTTCCTAAAAGTCATTTTTCCTAAAAATCATTTTTCCTAAAGTTCATTTTTCCGAAAATGTTTCTTTCAAAAGGGATGCGTAAAAATATCAAGAAAGGCGAAATGTTGTCATTTTTTAGCAGTATTTGTTTGGTTTGGTTATTAGTAGGCTTTTATCGAAAATCTTTCTTATTATCATTGATCCTTTTTCACTTCAAATCACCAAAATCTAGACTAAACGCGCAACTAAAATACTTCCTATGACCATTCTAGGCATATCTAAATCTATTATAAAAAATTTCGATTTTGGGATGCATAATACTAATGAACCGAGACTTTTTCGTGATTTAACTGGTTTAGGAAAAATGAACTTTAGGAAAAATGACTTTTAGGAAAAATGATTTTTAGGAAAAATGACAGTAATTCCTATTTGTATGATACGTCGGTCAACGCTAGCTGGGCATACAACCTAGTCACATCAAAGATGTTCTACGCATGGAAGCGGCCAGACGACGCCGGTGTTCTGGCGGTACCAGACCCAGAGTGTACCGTTACACCAGTCGAAAGCTGTGACAACTCAATCTGATATCGTTGGAAATGAATACTTCATCGTTACCGCATTTCCAAAGTTATTCACAGTTCAGCTACCGAAAATTCCTCACGTCCAACCTTTTGAAACTTTCAAAGTTTTTGCGGCCAATACATGTTTGCATCCCTTTTCTGACAACGTTTGCATCTCTCCAAAGGGATACAAAAAAATGCAATTATGCGATGCGTGGCAACAACGAAAACTTTTCGACGACCTCGTGCCCGCGTTGTCCAAAAAGCTTCGTTACAAAGTGCTTGGAGTTGCGGGAGTTGTTTAACCAGTTCATCGAGTTTTCGAAAAATGCGTCAGTCAACCGGTTTGCTGCTTTATTATCTAATGCACGTGGTAGGTGCAGTTTTATGATTTGAACAGATGTTTTAGTGTTGCTTTATTCGAGTATTAAAAATTTAGTGCGCAGACGGAAGTTTCATTCGCGATGAATCAACAGATACACTATTTTATTCGCTATCCGAATGCTCCAGTTTGAGAGTAAGATACTTTAAGTAAAATTTCAGCATTTCAAATTCCATTCAGTGCGCCATGCAACAGTGCCTCAACTTGACAGACTGTACGGCCATTTTGCAATGCAAACCTGGTACCGGCCGTCCTTACTATGGTACGGTGTCGCCGAGTGGTATGCAATATGGGTAAGTATCTGTAAATACACAACTCAACAATTTTAGCATGGGAAGTGACCCCGAAAATTGCTTCAAATTCTCGAAGAACAATGGGACTTGCCGAGGTAATGTTTAGTTCCAGTCCTAGATAGTAAATTCACATAAACTGTCAGTACGTCGCGTTCAGTGACTGAAAGCGTCGCTTTTGAAATTGTCTCTCGAAATCCAGAATCCTTTAGCTTCCACTGAAATCCCGAAGATAACTACAACCGCAAAATCGGCAGCATTTCCCTCTAGCTTGATCCCAGTTCCAAGATATAACGATGCAAAGATTAATTATTATAAAAATGTCAGCGGCAAGGTCCCGATCGCCGACTACTGTAAGAGGTTCGGATTTAAAAAAATTGTACCCAGGTCAAAAATCTAAAAAACAACAAAGTCGTTGACAAATTGTAGATGCGTCTGGCATATCGCTGCCGTTTCCTCGGCACCGGAATGTCCTGCTTTAGTACCATTGTACGTCAGCAAGGATGGTGGGTATTAAGGTTAACGTTAAAAATGGATAATGCACTGCGACGCGCAAATTTATACGTTTCAGGAAAAACCCTGAACCTAACGGCTGCCGCGGATTCGACCCTGCTCGGCCTTGTGAGCACAACGTGGCGCTATTGTGCCGCGAACGTTACCATCAGCCAATACACTCGAGGAACTGACACGCTCTATAAGTCCAACCCGCCGGACGGCTACAACTTGGTCCGATCGAGGATCTTCTATGCTTGGCTAAGGCCGCTGGATGCCGGGAGTCTGGCTCCGCCAGACACTGCTTGTCATGACTCTCCGCCAAAAACTTGCATTTATTAAAAGGATTTTTCTAGAATAAAACTTCAAAATTTGCATCAAAGCAGCGTCATCATCATCTGGCTAACAAGGAGTCGTTTTTAGGTGATATTGGAGTTTTTGGACGAGACCTAGCTAGTTCGAAAGAGAAAAAAAAATTCTGAACAAGTTGTCGTTTTTCAAATCTGCTAACCGTGTACGCTGTTCAATAAAAATCAATTTGAAAATCATTAATCTAACCATCATTTTCCGCCTGATCCGCAGATTCTGCGCTCTGGGTGCGCGTCAACATAGCCCCCTTTAGGCCTCCCTCCAGCCATGACCAGCTGGCCTATTGGTAGTGCGCTTGCTTCATAAGTTTTTGTTTTTTTTTTGCCAGCGGGTTCGACTCCTCGCTAGTAAAACTCTTTTGCTTTTTGCTCGATAATGCCAAATTCGATTTCAATGGCATGAAAAACCAAAAAGCAAAACAATAAATCACAATAAGTTCCGAACCCTGGGCATAATTTTGCAAAAGTTTGATAGGCGCCGGCCCTATCCACTAGGCCACGATCTCATGCGGATGTTGGTTCGCGCTGTGGGCTATCTCCCGGGCCTGATCCATGTGTCGCAGCCTGACGTCCAGGAATTTTTTCATTAAAATTAATTTTTATTGAATAGAGTACACGGTTAGCAGATTTGGAAACCGACATCTTGTTCAGAATTTTTTTCTCTATCGAACTAGCTAGGTATCGTTCAAAAACTCCAATATCACCCAAAAACGACTCCTTGTAAGTGTACAGAAATGTTGATATCTGCATTAGGGTCGATCTTACATGGTATCACTCCGAGCTCCGACGGATCCATTTAAAACTACGCCGTTACGCTAAACGTTTCTCAAGTGACCTGCCCTAGAGTCTATTATCGAACCGGTAGACATTCTTAAGCATCTAGAGAACGACAATTTGTCATTCGGGCTTTTGGAGATTCAAAAAAAATACAGTTGGCCCTAGCAACCCCGACAAAACTTTTTGGAATCTTGACTTCTTGGTTACGCCTTTGAAAGGCAGTTCGGACAATTTTGTTAATCTACAAGAACCTATTATACTTCTCAAGATCATCAGCGAAATGTCAAACACCACATACGAATTCTATTCATTGGTAACTTCATATCAAAAAGATTATCGGAAGTTCTGTTACAGTCAGCCCTCCAGCCGGGCTTGCTGATTTTATTGATTCCGTTGGGGATATATGATCTTAGTGCGGTCGGTGGGGAGCGTGGAACTCTACACTGTGCTACCTTGTGTCTAGAGTGGACGCGCGGATCCTACGGTGTTAACGTGTCTACCTGTACGTGATGGAAGCGAACTTTTATGAGATACTGACTTTTCAGCGAGTTGTAAGTGCATCACAGTGGTCGAGGATCTTCCGAGAATGATGTTCCGATACGCTCAAGGAGCGCAATGTCCTGGTCCCAGCTCTACATCTCAAAACATCTGTTTTACAACTAAAAAATCGGAAACGGCGCAGGCCAATAGCCCTTCGACTTCGCGAACACCACAGTCATCTGAATCGTCAACCTCAACCATGGAATTGTCATCTAGCCCCGCTACTTCAACTCGACGGATCGCATCCAGCACCGCAAGTTCAACCCTGCCTCCCCCGTCCAGCACATCAACTATTGTCGTCTCTACCACACCGACCGCTCCTCAATTGATAACGGACGCCCCCTTATTCCCTATAGCAATGGATTCAACTTCGACTCCTTCTACGGCTTGCCCTTCTACAACTCGCTCCACGAAACCCAGCCAACAACCATTACGCACCTACCAGAAGGGGTCCAAGCTCTACTACACGCGAGTCTCCGGATCGACGCCGCAGGAAGACTACTGCGCTCGGTAGGTCTTACCGTATTTTCTTTTGAGAGATACACAGACATTGTACAATTGCCAAAGCCCGCTTCGCGGCTTTTTAGTGCAGACAAGCAGGTTTTACGCAATGGCTCGAATTTTTGGGTAGACTGGTGCTGGGTCTTCGGGACCCGCGGATCCCGGAAATCGGAATCAGGCTTAACCTAATTTGGCCTACTCAGCTTCCAAACACGCATTCGGCACGGGACATTGGTTCTATCATACCTGGTGGTTAAAAATCGAAACATTTTATACACGAAAACCCGGAAAATTGGGTTTGCTAAATTGGCACATTTCAAACCCTGAACTGCCTCCCGAAGTGATAATCCTTAGGCAAGATCTTTCAGCGTGGTGACCCACCTGCTCTACGAACCGTTTACCCCTTGTCCGGATCTGGTGCCTTGTACGCCACGTCGGACGGTGGGTTTTGAAGATTGAGGCTTGCCCCAAACCATTACTTTCGGATGCACTTGGAGAACTTGCAGGATTAGCTACGTTATGTTCCTCTGCGCATCTGCATAGCATGCGCGCAAAACTGTGATTGCCCCGCCATTCCCCAAGCTTTTTTCGATGCCCTTTCACAGCTTTTCATTTCAGGAAAAGACTTGACGCTGACAAACTCGGCAGGAGCAACAATTGCCGGCTACGTGGCCATATCAGTGGGATACTGTGGTGCCAGCCTGACATCGTATCGCTTGAGCTCGGGGGGCGTCCAGTTTTTCGTAACAAGCCCGGGCCTTCGTGGTGTGGCCACCGGCTGGTACACTTGGAAGCTGCCCAGCGGGTACAAAACGATGCCGCCTCCGGATCCGGATTGCGCTTGATAGTTTTGAACATTCTCCTAGTTTTGGATTTGTATCCCCATGGCTATGTCAACTCAATAAATTCGATCAAATATATTAAGATGCTGATTTTTGCGCCTAAAAATTTCCTAATGTAAGAAATGTAACCTATTGAAATCAACATCTTTGAAAAGCACATAAACGTCTCTCAAGACCAATCGCATGGCAACATCCGGCATAAAAAACCGATGAAAGGAGCGAAGACGCATAGCGCATTGGTTAATCTAAGATGGGCTGCGGTGCCAGAAATATTTTGATAATCTTGGTAGGATATCTTGAAGATTTTTATCAATTTAAAAGCTTTTTAGTATTATAGAACTGTGATTGCCTATATGATTGTTGCAACCGGCGACTACAGCAAAATTCCAGAAGACGATATACAAAATTGCGCCAAAAATTGTTTATTATCTCAAACACAGGATTGTTATGGTATATCGCTGGATTCTAGTAAGTTTATTTAGCTTTTTAATTCAATAAAATAATGAAATAGCTAATTTAAAATAGTTTAAAGCCTGGTGAAATTCAAGAAACGTACCTTTCAGATGGCTGCCACTTGATTGCTAATTCTACATCTGCTGATATCATGTTTTCAATCTATGATCGTAGCGAAACCTCAACGATCGCTTGTCCCGGAACCAGTAATTTTACAAGATCTTATAGCTTCCCGTTCTAACTAATTTTTTATTATCCAATTTTCAGAAGACCTTGGCTCCGAAACTCCATTTAATCAAACCCTCTTGGACCTAATCCCGGTCCCTAGATACCGAAATAGTACCACATGGTATTGGTGGAAAATTAACAACACGATACCTATTGCAGATTACTGTAGTCGGTACGAAATATAGGAACTTGATAGCTACAGATCTTTTGTAACTTTTCAGCTCCGTTTGGCACCTCACCACGTATCTTACCTTAAGCTATTGCCCTCTGTTAATGCCAATTTGGGCTAGTGCTGATGGTACGTTTTCAACGCGTTTTTACTAATTTAATCCAGCTAAATCTTTACTTCTCACCAAACCTGCCGAAGGAAATTTGGTGGGCTTTGCCAGCCAGGAATTGGGGTATTGCGGTACGTCGCTGACCATCAATTGGTATCAAAAAGCGGCGGTGCCAAGCAACCTCTACAAAGCCAGCGGTCAAAGTGGATATACGACAATGAAGACTGGCTGGGTATATGCGTGGCCAGAACCGGCGAATTCGGGAACTTTGCCAAAACCTGATCCGGATTGTTGACATTTCGAAAGTTCCACTGATTGAATTAGATTCTATTTTGATAAATTAAAAAACCGCGGGTAACGATTTCCACCTGTTATATTTACTGCCACATATACTTTTCGTTTAAATCTTATATGTGTAACAAATGTGCCCTATTGAATTGCAAATTCCCCGGAAAACGCGGATGGACATCTCCAAAAGCGATTGCCCAGCAACACCCGGAATCAAAAATCCAAATGAAAGGCCGGAAACGCATGACATAGCCAAGCCACGATGTGTCGAGTTGTCAGATTCGTTTTGACAGTTTTGGTGAGACCATTTTTTGGTGTTTTTATAATTTCAGAATCATCTTTAGTATTATCGAAGTGTTCAGACTTATATGATTGTTGCTACCTCTAACTATGATACTACAGCTTTTAATGAAGATTATATACGAAGTTGCGCCATGGATTGTGTCTCATCTACTACTAATGAATGTCAAGGTATTTCGATGGATACAGGTAGTTTTTACAGATCGTTTATGACATAAAATCAACGAAAACTCTTATTGCAAGTCGACAAGTTGTCTATTTAAGTTTTCAGATGGCTGTCACTTAATTTATAACTCTTCTGCTTCCCAAACGATGTTTTCAATATACGATCGAAATCAGCCTTCAACGATAGCTTGTCCAGAAACGGGTAACGTATTTTTAGATATCTATCTTTCTCTATCTCTCTTTCTCTCTCTCTTTCTCTCTCTCTCTCTGTCTCTCTCTCGCAAAATTCAACTCTAGAAGACATCGGTTCCACTTCCCCATTCAACAAAACCCTGCTTGACCTGACGCCGATTCCGCGCTATAAATCTGGCTCGACCTGGTATTGGTGGAAAGTTAATGGGACTACACCGATCCCAGATTACTGTAATAGGTATGAAAATCACATACCATACTTTATTTTCTTTTAGAATTGTTTGGCACGTTTCTACTTATGCTACTTTGAGCTATTGTCCTAAACTTGTACCACTATGGGCCAGTGCTGATGGTAAATTCTAAAAATTATACATTAGAAGATTTTTAGCTTTTAAATAAATGCTTTTGATTTTTATTATGCAATATAATTTGTAAGAATTTCTTCAGGAAAATCCCTGCTTCTCACTGAACCATCCGATGGTAATTTGGCCGGTTTTGTAAGCCGGGAAAACGGATATTGCGGCACATCGAATACGATAAATTGGTATCAAAATGCGGCCGGGAGCAACCTCTACAAGGCCACCGGACAAAGCGGATATACGTTGATGGAAAGCGAGATGTTATATTCATGTTCCCAATTGCCCCCCAAAAAAGGTATTTTTGGAATTCGTAAAACCCCCCGGGCCGGCCCGGGCCGGCCCGGCCCGGCCCGGCATTTTTCAATTTCTCGGCCCGGCCCGAATGAAAATGCCGATTTTTCTCGGCCCGGCCCGGCCCGCACCGGGCCGGGCCGGGCCGGGCCGGCCCGCAAAATTCCCAGGCCTGATAACCCAGATCCAATGTTGCTAACAAGCCGATTTTTGCAAATCGCCCACTTTCCAATGCCAGACAGGACAAAAAATCAGTGCGTGTCGCGCCGGAACAAAAGAAATGTTTATTAGCACCCGGAACCAGCGGAAGAGAACAGGCAACAAACCGACATTTTTAAAAGGTGACCAGGAACGAATATTTGGGGAAAATGGCTGTGAAGGGGAAGTGAATTTGAATCACAAAAAAAGACGTTAAAAAATCAAAACACTGAAAGCAATCAAATTTTAGGCCTTTTTCTTATGGCCACAAACTACAACCGCCACAGCGATGACGAGGAATCCAATCTCAATAAATGATATCATTGAAATGCCCATCAACACGCCGAGCAGACCGCCGAGGTTACCGATGAACTGGTTGAGCTGAAAATATATCATAGATTGAAGTAGATACCGTAAGCGCAAGGTGGTCCAAAGCCGAAAAAAGTTAATGTTCTAGTGCGTTAGCGGGGGGAGTGGCGATCCTAATTTGCCCCGAGAATACTAGTAGTGCGAAAATTAACTTTATTTCAAGTGAAAAAACTACACAAAACCAAGAGAAAGTGTTCAAATTGTGGAACGCTATCGAAAATCGTTGACTTTGGTCGAAAAATTTGGATTATTTTGTATCGAATCCTTATTTATTTTTGTGTTATTAATAAAAATTGGTGATTTTTCTACGTTTTCGAATAATCGAAAACAAGAAGCACTTCCTCCCAAGGCCCCGTGATAATGCACTAGCTCCTTTATCGATTTAATAACCGATGAAAGTCTCTACGGAATTTAAAACATTGTTAAGCCCTATGACCGTGGCAGAAAGCTGAAAAAAGAAAATGCAAGAATTACCGTCATCGCCGGCACTTCCGCGAAAAGTTGATAGGTAAAGTCGGGCAAGATGACCTGTACTCGGACCGAGTCCTAAAATACGCGTCAAAATTATTAATAACGATCCTTACCGCCGCCAGAATTTCGCAGGCCGTCTTGTTCGAGGCGGAAAAGCATCGGGGTTGCTGAAAAAATATTTTTCAGAATTTTTCATAAAATGATACGGTATTATCTAATGATCTTAACTACAGGGTAAAAAAGGACAGAGAATCAAAAGCTAACCTGAGCGGTATAAACGGTCTTGGCCCACGAGAGTGTATACGCACGATTTGCGCATGGCAACGGGCAAACGCAACCCTTCATTGTCGATGGATCAGTTCCGGAAGTGGCCACGGTTTCGACGCAACTTCCTGAAAGAATAATTTTCGAAAATCTGATTTTTCAGGCCCTATTAGGTTTCAAACGGTTATTGTTTTTAAAACCCTAAATAACAACATTTTGCGACTTTATAAATTTTGTGAAAACGAGTTAGGAAGAACGTTTCAGCCAGATTTTCAGAATCCACAATGAAAAGTAAAAAACGTACGCTTTGTAAGTCCACACGGCTGAACGCCAAATTCCATTGGATATCGTGGGTCCATGCAACCGCAAGCCTGTCGCACTTCTTGTTGGTAGCACGAGCGGATACAGCCCTGAAAATGTAGCTTTCTCTCTCGCTACCTCTCCCTCTCTCTCCCTCTCTCTCCCTTTCTCTCTCTCTCTCACGCTCTCTCGCTCTCTCTCACTCGCCATAAACTCACATCAGTAGTATAGTCACCGGAGTAGAAATACTGCTTGACCTCACTGGCGTCGTTGACACATCTACCGTAGCGACCGCCAAGTCGCGTATAAGCTGTCTAAAATGCATTTGTGAAACTAATTTTGAGCGGCTGTTGCTAAGGTATCTCTTAAATCAAAACATACCAATGCCGGAAACAATTCAGTCTCTCCGCCGGGCTGTGCGTTGTAACGGACAGATTCCGAGAAGATGTCTTCTTCGGCCGGATGGACAAACACCTAGAAAATTCATGATACTTTTTTAGTTCCCAGATATATTTTAGGTATAAATTCTATACCTGAATAGCTTGCGTATCGACCCACGGGCAATATTCGTCGCTGTTGATTTTTACGAGGGCTTCGAGCGCTGAAATAGCTATTGTTCTGACCTATTTTGATATCCACAATTTTAGTAAATGTTTTAAATCGTAAATAATTGATTAAATTAGCTGGTTAATTGGCCATTAATAAGCTGGAAAGTGTTCTTAAAAAAACTTACATCCTGGCTTCCCGGTCATTCGATGTAAATATTGGGCATCCGTGGAATTTCGGTGGTTGAACGTAAAGCAATTCCCCAGCGTCACATCATTCCATTTGAGAAGGTCCCGACTGGAATTTGTAATTTTTCGATAAGTAAAACATACTGATTTAGATATAGCTAAAAACGGTGCCATTTCCGGCTGAGTTCCGACTACATTCGCTCCAACTTACGGCAAATCTAAGCTCTTCTCCTCGTAGGCCACCCAATCAAACATATCATCGTAGTCCCAACTTTTGTCCATTCTTAAAGTCAGTTTTATAATTGTTGCTCTAGATACGGTACCTTTCCGAATCGTCCAACAACCCTAAAATGAACGGCACCATGTCCTTGATGTTGGTCGGGTTTTTGAGGAGGTCTTTCAGGAGCTGAAATCGAAACAAATTTTTTTTTAATGCGCAAAAATGGTACTAAATTTGCTTAATCTATTTATACAGTAGTTTTTTCATTTATATAGCTTGAAAACCAAATTAACTGCCAAAAGACCCACATTAATGATATCATCACTAACTGCCGCATCTGGTCCAAAAATGATGATTGTTGCGTTGTAGACGATCATCGCTAAAGTAGACATTTAGTGTAAGCTTGTAGGCATTTGAGGTAAGCAGAATTGTATACTTTTAATGAGTTTTAAAACCTACGAATTGAACAATCGGCTCCAGTATAGTCCGGTCCGCAGACGCAAACAAACGAGTTCAGCCCGTCCACGCAGAGGGCCTGAAAAATCGACTTTCTTCTTCTTTTACTAATCTTTTATAACTTTACTTTCTTTATTGGTTTTAAGATCCATGTACAGGGTGTCCCAAAACAATCCTCCCCCCCTTAGCCGGCCGCGGACCTATCCGAGTTTTACGATTTAGGTACTTATCGAAAGCTCTCGTAAGGGCGAGTCCAGCATGTCTTGCCAATTTACGAAATCTCGAAATTTTTTGCTCGGTTTCCAGCATTTTTCATGCAAAAAGGACACGATTTTGTTAAGCAAAATGCAGTTTAACCGGTTTAAGCGCTATCCAAGCTCTGTTTTTGCGAAGGGCTTGCAAAAAGCCGTTGTTGCACTGCCAGGAAAGGCATTAAAATTTTTAAATTGTGGTTTTTGTATAAAACGCGGAGGTCAGAAAAACATCAAAAAATCCGTCCGTATTGCAAAAACATTAGTAAATGGCAGAAAAATTTCGAGATTTCGAAAATTGGCAAGACTTGCTGGACTCGCCTTTCCGAGAGCTTTCGATAGATACCTAAATCGTAAAAACCTACGGCCGGCTGGGGGGGGGGGATTTTTTTTTGGGACACCCTGTATACTTTAAAAGATACATTGAAAGACAAAATATATGATTTTGCAAAAGCATAGAACACTTGTTTTTGCGCTTTCAAAATTATTTAACTAACCTTCGAATCCGTCATATTACAGCTCGAGTACTTTTTCCCGCTGATCGTCTGGTAGATGCAGTCGTCGGGGTCTAAAAATATCTAGGTACCGTTTAAATAAAAATTACTTAAATATAAGATGTCTAAATTGTCCTAACAAGGGAACCACCTCAGGTCAAGGTGGCGTTTCGTTATGGGACCCAGCTTATTTTGTGCAGAATTTTTGCTGATTTCGAATCCGCTTTTATTTTTTGCTAAATAGCCCAATTTAAAAAGTTATAGCGTTTCAAAGTTCCATTTTTCCCAAATTTTTGAACTTCAAAGTCATTTATCTTGCCTTTCCCGTCTGATTCTTCAAAAACGAATATTGCCATCGTATTCAGAAAAATTTTCTCTATCGAATGAACTATTTGACTCAGAATTGTTGAAAATTGAAAAAATCGACGATATGGACTCCGTTTTTTGTATGGGAAATGGTGAAAAATTGCCTATTTCACACCCCCGTAAGTGATCGTCGATAGGTCGTAGCGCACTAATGAAATATACCAATCGATTCAGAAAAAAAATTCTCTACAAGACAGGCTATTAAAAATCGACTGCCCTATTAATGTAAAAAAGTTGGGCATCGTGACAGAGGACTTCCCGCGGGCACAGATATGACCTTAAAATCGCTATAACTTTTTAAATTGAGCTATTTAGCAAAAATTGAAAGCGGGTTCGGAATCAGCAACAAAATTCTACACAAAATAGGCTGGGTCCCATAACGAAACGCCACCTTGACCTTAGGTGGTTCCCTTGTAAGTCAAATATTTTTAAACCAGAAACCCACTATTCTCGCAAAAACTTCCATTGGCTCCCGGCTGGCAGGCGCAGGTGAGGTATGGCGGGGCTGGAGGTCGAACCTGAATAAATTTACATTGAGTTTCCCACGATTCAATTATTATTTAAACTTACATTTTTACAAGTACCACCATATTGGCAAGGGACAGAGTCGCAGAAATCGATATCTAAAAAGACAAATTAAACCGTTAAAATCGGAACAACCCAAAAAACCTGCCGTTAGAAAAATGGTAATAAACACCGACTTTCCTAGTCTTTAACGTATCTATCAAAAACTTACACGATTGGCACTGTGCTCCAGTATATCCGGGCTGGCAGGTACAGTTGTAGGTGGAGTCGAAGCTGCTGGAGATGACCGAGCAGTCGCCACCATTCTGGCACGGCACCGACTCGCACATGTTTGGGACTAAAAATGAATGATTTTCTCTGTTTCTCTCACGCACTCTCTCTATCTCTCGCTCAAACTGTCTCTCTCTCGCTTGCTCTCTCTCTCTTTCTCTTGTATTCACTCTCTCTCTCCCTTTCTCTCTCTCTCTCTCTCTCTCTCTCTCTCTCTCTCTCTTTCTCTCTCTCTTTCTCTTTCATTCACTCTCTCTTTCTCTCTCTATCTCTCTCTCTCTCAATCTCTCTCACTTTCTTCCTGAAGTTAATATAGCGTATTACTTACTATCGCAATTCTTCCCGGTATACAAACTCAAGCAATCGCAGCTGTACCCCGAGTAGTCGGCGTTGAGGTTGCACTTGCTACCGTATTCGCATTGGTTGAAGAGCGGATCGCACCAGAGTTTTACTAAAATAGTTTTGAGTAACGGTTTATAAGCGCTTAACATACGTGTACAATTCTCTCCTGTCCATCCTGGTTGGCAGGTACAAGTGTAGTCAAAACCTCCATTAGTTGAATTCGTGCAGATGGCACTGTTTTTGCACGGATTCGGGCTGCAGGGTTGGATTTCTGAAACAGGAGTTGGTTAATGGTATACCTTCAGGAGGAAGAGAGAGAGTGAGAGAGAGAGACAGACTTAAATAGAGAGACAGAAACAGAGCGAGAGAGTGAGAGAGAAGAGATGTAGAGCGTGCGAGAGAGAGAGAGGGGGGAGAGAGCGAGAGAGAGAGCGAGAGAGAGAGAGAGCGAGAGAGAGAGGGGGAGAGAAAGCGAGAGACCGAGACAGAGAGAAAGTGTTAACTTACTTGTCCCACAGTTTGCACCAGTCGTATCTCTCGGACACAAGCATGTTGTGCCGGTATTCAGCTGCTCCACGCAGACACCTCCATTTAAGCAAGTTGTAGCGTTGCAGGCGGTAGGGTCGGCTAAAATGCACTTAATGGACGTTAAGAATAACAAGTATACTTTTATCCTGGTACTGCCAGCACTGGCCACGGCTGTCGGGGGAAGAACCACATTGCTGGGAGGCTTTCCTGAACCGAAAAATTACTTGATAAAAATTAAAGGACGCTGGAGTCAGCCAGAGAGAGAGAGAGAGAGAGAGAGAGAGAGAGAGAGAGAGAGAGAGAGAGAGAGAGAGAGAGAGAGAGAGAGTGAAAATGCAAAACCTACCCCGAGCAAGCATTACTGCACTTGGGATTGGTACTCTTCTCGCTGTCCGGGTATGGAAACGTGGGGCACATGTGGCATTCGGTGCCCACTACGCCTAAAAATAATCATTGCATAACAGGCCGCTTAAATATATAGTTTTTTAAGATGCCGTGATACCGAAAAACTTACAGAAATAAGCCATCGACCCTCCATCCAAAATATCGGCTTGAACTTGGGCGCGACAACTAAAAAAAATTGAGATTAACGGATTTGTAAAAATCGAGGGAGACGGAGAGAGAGCAAGAGAGAGAGAGAGTGAGAAAGAGAGCAAGAGGGAGCGAGAGACACAGATAGAGGGATAGCGCGAAAAAGGCATTCACGTGTCTAAAGAAGCAGTTCCGCTAGTCATCGTCTGCTTGGTGCAGTTAGCTGCCTGCTCCGTGCTGGCCCAGTTAATCTTGTAACACGCTTTGTATTGGTCATCCGCTAGAAATACAATTATGCTAGAACGATTGCTATTCATTACATTGAAGATCCGGGATATCGCAGACGTCGCCCTGCCATCCTGCCGTGCAGTTGCAATACCTGCAAGTACTCGCAATCTGCCACTCAATCTAATTTTTGTGGAAAAACCTAACAAGGAGACGTTTTTGAGTGTCGTCGGGACTTTGGCATGTGACCAAGCCTATCTTGTGCAGAATTTTACGCTGATTCCGAATATGGTAACCGTTTTTGCGGGAATAGCCATTTCTCGAAAGCTATGAACAATTTAATTCTCAAAACAGTCCAAAATCGGCTACTTCCGTTAGTCATAAAAGACGTCGGAATAGGTTTTAGGCAAAACCAGATAGTGCATCTTGTTCAGAAAAAAAATTCTCTATAAAATAAGCTACTTAACTCAAAAATGCTGGAATTTTGAAAATTTTTGTAAAATTAGGGGCCTGGCCATGGCCATGGCCATGGCCCGACGACACTCAAAAACGTCTCCTTGTTAGCTAGAACAGCAATTTCGGGAATATATTTCTTCTCACGTCATACTAAATTTATCCAAAAATTGACTAGTTGTTTTACTTACGTTTGCTCCCCGTTAAACAGCGTCACGCAGCTCGCACCGTTTTTGCACGGGTTTGGCGTGCATTTGTTCGGATCTGAAATCAATCTCCTGCGCATTGCTTTTAAACTTTTTATGTATAAATTCTTTTATAGGTTATTTTATGCGCATTATGTATACTTATTTTTATGTAGATTTAAGGAAACTTAAAAGGCTTACATTGACAGTTCTCTCCATATGCCGCCGTGCCGCAACTACAGGTATACGCTGTTGAGCTGACCTTCGTGCAGGTGCCACCATTTTGGCATGGGGTCGAATCGCAAGGATTCGTAGAAATCGCTGAAAAACGGATTGAAATTTTACCTTTCAAGTTTTAGGTCACGTGACTCTATTCTCTGAGCCTCAACTGTAAAACCATGAGAATTTCATAAACAACCAGGGTTGAAAAGCCGCTTCGCGACTTTTCAACCCTGGCCCCGTCTTACCCAATGAGAGTTCTCAATTTGCATAATTCTGCCGAACCGCAATTCGAAAAAAATAAAAAATGCGCCTTCGGCCCCTTATATAGACTTTTCTCGCTTCCGGCGTATGCTAATTGATCCCTAACAAAGCGGGGGGGACCGAAATTTTTACAATAACTTAATTTTAATGACGAAAATAGCACTTTTTCGACAATTTAACATGTGTGCAGGCGTCTCGAGACGATTACACATCTAATGATGTATCAAACATACTCTAAAACCCTTTCTCTATCGAGATACTACTGGAACATACTGACGGAAGTTGCATGCAAAGTTACACACACACACATACACTATTTTTTTATATATAGTAGGATATCCAATTAATCGAGGAAATCCATGAAAGTGTATCGTAAAAGTGCACGATTTAGAGCGAGGGTAGAGTTTCGATACCCTAAAACACCTAAAAATGATACCTTGATCACAATTGGCTCCGGTCCACCCGGAACTGCAGGTGCATTGTACGTTGTCGATCATCGTACTGCACGATGAATGGGCCGGGCAAGCAGGTGGGATCGCTATGCATTTATCGTATGCTGAAAATAGGTACTTTAGGCAACAGTAATCCAAAGCACTGTAGCCAGCCAAGACCGTATACAATTTGATCGGTTTTGCGAGTCAAATTTATTGCAAACTCACAGCTTTGGCAGGCGTCCGTCTGGCCAAGATAGCCAATATAGAGGACGTAGACGCCTGGGGAATAGATGCCGTACGTACCGTCGTTGCACTAAAGGTAAGGAAATTTCGTAAATAAGATAAACTATAGATTACGGTAGTTATAACGACGGTGCTATGGTATAACTTACAATGCAAGATTGCGGATAGCAAGTGTAATATGTGGTATCGGAAGGATCATAATTATTCTCATCACATAGACCGTAATTTGCGCATCCGACTGGCGGGTTGTAGGGGTTGGGGAGGAGCTAGAAGTGTGTATTTTGTACGATTTCGTACTACTCAACATAGAGTTTGATAGATCCAAAAAAACTACGCACGAATTGCGACTTTCAGATACCTTTAAGATACCTGGAAGTGCCGAAAAACGATTTTGAACACTAGAAAACTCATTTTACAACTTACCGCGTGCAAACTTCTAAGCAAAAACGTTAAAAATACAGTAATTCTCAATCGTGTCATCCTGAAAGCCGGAGCCCTGCGGAGTTTCTCTAGTCTCCGAAATGCCCTCAAAAACTGCAATTCTTGTGCTTCGCTCTCCCGGGTGGGCGTGGCTACCGTAACCCCATTTCCGCGCGCTTCCTCCGTACGCCTTTTTAAAAATTAATACGTCAAGGCCATTGTGGACTTCAAAGAAGATTGAAAGCGAGGGAGAGAGAGAGAGAGAGAGAGAGAGAGAGAGAGAGAGAGAGAGAGAAACAGCGAGAGAGAAGAGAGAGGACTGTCCAAGAATTCCGCGTTGCACCCATCCACCCCGCACTCGCCCACTCGCTTCTTTTTTGGGATTTTTTTTGGCCTCCAAGCAACCAAGTCACTTCCAGAAATCGTGGAAAAGGAGGGCGGAAGGGTGTTGAATTTTTCGAGGGCTGAAAATAGGCTGCAAGGGCCCGCACTGTAGGACCAAAGCACACGAGGAAGTACGGGGGGATCCAGGGTGAAGCGTGCATTAAAGTGACTGGAAAGTGAGAAAATCACTGCTACAGGGTGTCCCAAAAAAAGCACCCCCCTCTAGCGGCGCGCAGCCGTGTCCGATTTCCACCGTTTGGGTATCTATCGAAAGCTCTCGAAGAGGCGAGAAAACAAGGAGAGTTCATTTTCTTGATTATGTAACTTTATTGGCAAATTTTACGTCGAAAAACCATGAAAACGGCAGATTTACCCGAGATCTGCATCTGCATGCTAATCGCGAAATTCCTATTGACAAGCTGCCTGTTTTTTAGAAAAACCTTGAATATCCAGCGTACAGAAATAAATCTCAAAAAATAAATTCCGCTTGTTTTCTCGCCTTTCCGAGAGCTGTCGAATGGTATAAAAATTATCCCGATCTGAGCTTCCCCTGGACCGCTAGAGGGGGGTGCTTTTTTTTGGGACACCCAGTACAGGGTGGGTCAGAAAATTGTTCCGGAGTTTGTCCCCGAATAACTCGAGAAGGAAAGTTATTTCACCATGCGTTACCATGCCAGAATGCTTAAATATGTCAGGAATAGAGATTAAGACCAACTTGATTTTTTCGATTTTTGGGTACGCAACTGTACTATTGACGCTGATTACGACCGAAAATTGTGCGTTCTTGAACGGGTGGTGGGAAAATTTTGATTTTTGGCCTAAAAATTGCTGACACTTGTAGAAAGCTAATGGCCAAATCTTATAATTTTTCAAGCTCTACTTCTTTTCTAACAAGGAAAACAAATATCACTGTTTTGCCTATCTTTACTTTTTAATTCGCAACTCGCTTCAAATACGCTGCCCATGGCTGATCTTTTGCAGATGGTGTCTCCGAATGATAATCTTTAGCATAACGCCAAATTTTACCTGATTCTATGGTATTTTAATATTGCTTGCTAAAACGTGCCCCAGAGGGATACTGTAGTTTTTGTTTTTCGCGTTTTTCTCGTGACTCAAAGCTGCGATCTTGCTGAAAATTTTATCATTGGTAAACACTAGTAAGGGTCACCTATGGGCTAAATTTCGCGAAGTTCTAGCCATACACCTTCCCAAAATATGCAAAAAAACTTATTTTTGAATTTAGCCACGTAAATTTCTAAATATTTTGATGCATCGGACTAAAAACTACTATTATTTGTTTTCCTGAAAGATCGAAACGCTTCTATGGTGAAAAGATCACGAAAACGACGATTTTCTGTTTCCTACAGTAACCCTCCTGGAGCGCGTTTTAGCATGCCAAGACAAAATTCCATAAAGTGACGGTTTTTCGATTCTAGACTGTTCTTTGGGTGATTGTAAGAGCACCTACAAAAAATGACTTCATTACTGTGGCAAATGACAAAGTTATGAAGGAAAGAGGAAAACCCGCCCTGGGGCCCGATTTTGGATCTGACCCCCCGGGTCCAATATGGAATTTTTGAAAATGAAAATGGCACCGGGGTTTGGTGGATACAATTAAAGCACGTATCGAACTGTGCATGAGAGCCGAATTCTGGAATGATCTGGCTGAAGTTAATGGTTAATTTTTATTTAAAACCCGAAAACAACTTTTTTTGAAAAGCCGACTTTGGGCTGCACTTCTAAATTCGTTTACCATGAAAAGGTTTTGTATTTGCATGGGTTCTAGTTGACTACCCAAGCTGAGTTTATGCCAAAAAAGTCGGGGCTACTAAACCCTCGAGAATTTTTTTACGTCGCCTCGAATTCGGGTATATTTCGACTTTTCATGAATTTCTTTTGAAAGATCGGATGGCCCAATAAATTTGTAATTATAATATTAGAATGCGCCCATTAAGTAGTATTAAATAAAATGATGACAATAATTCTAGCCGCGCAAATGAATTTTATAGACTGGCACGAACATCTGCGAAATAGCAAGAACCAACCGTTTTGGAGGCGCTAAAAAGCAACCTTCCAAAGGGGTACGGTAGCTAGAAATTGTTTACATGATAGATGGTCGCTTGTCCTACACAACGAAGCAAAGAAAACACAGAAATTCTATCTGCAATTTTAGAAATATTTTTCCAAAGTTCAGTTTCGTCACCCCAAAAAAAACCATGACCAGAGGGTCGTCGAAAAACTCAAAAATCCGCGAATCTGAAAAATTTTTTTGATATTTTTGCGGGATCGTATCAAGCCTATAGACATGCTAAAACAGCTTATTTGGAGGTTTCCACCATAGGTTTTTGTAATATACGAAAGTTACGAAATTTCTCCATATTAAATTTGAGCACGCTATAACTTGCCAACCAGACCTTCAAAAATTCCAAAATTCCGGATGTGCGTAGGGGTAGTCCTCAGGTACCTACACTGTAAAAATTGGAATTGTTCGACCACCAGCAATCCAAAAAAATGCAAACGAAGTTTTGCCGGAACGCACAGTTTTCGGGTGTCATTTGTATGGGTACGTCGCCAAAAATCGAAAAAATCAAGTTGGTCTTAATCTCTATTCCTGACATATTTAAGCATTCTGGCATGGTAACGCATGGTGAAATAACTTTCCTTCTCGAGTTATTCGGGGACAAACTCCGGAACAATTTTCTGACCCACCCTGTATTGTCTGCTAGGTATCGACAAGTACGTGACCCGCCAAAACACAAGTGCACAAGTGCACGTATCCGGATTTGTTGACGTGCAAAATTTGTCAGCGTATCTTACCCAGCCGCTGATCATGTTGAACGTGTTTTGGCATCTCTCGGAATTGTCGACATCTAGTAGACGTCAGGAACCCGTTCTTGAGCTTTCTGGTCAGTTTAAAGGTCCTAGGAAGTCTGGAAATTGTCAAAATTCGTTGCTTTGGGCGGAGCGGAATTGAACTATGGAAGTTGAAAATGTGTGATTCTGATATAGAAAAAAAGTCTTAGAAAGATTTTTAGGGGATTGCTGTTTGCCACATGATATGGAAGGGAAAAGGTGTCAATATACGTACTTTCGAAATTCTGATAGGCAAAGTCCCAAACCCTGAAGTTCCGACATCCAACAGACAATATCTGCGCCAAGTTTCAGTTGCCGCCAGGTCGAAAATCCGACAGCCAGAGCCAACAACAGGCAAATTCCAGGCTACTACTATATTTATCAGTTTTTCTGGTTTATCTTCCTACTCGTTTCTTACCGTATTTTCAAAACTCTAGCCAGCGCCACTCTAGTCTACCCAAATTCTTTACCCTGCTTCGAAATTCCCCCGCTTTTCCAGGCACGAGTGCTTTTTTCGAAAACATCGTCGCCAAGAGAAACCGAAAGAGACATCCGGCGGCAACTTTTCAAGATGAGGGGTCGGAATTTATGAGGCAACGTGTTTATCGAGGACGGGTCATCGCAGAAATTGGCATAAACAAGCCGTTCCAGCAGACGTTAGCACTACCCTATACCCGAAATCATTGCAAACACAGAAAGCTAAAAAGAACGTAAAATTTAGCTTCCAAACCCGGGAGCTTTTTTAATACCGTTGAAGCATACCTAACTGCGCATAATTTGCTTTACCGGGCTACACATCTAATTTAACACAATAAAATTACTGTACAGTGTATTACCGTGTCACTTGAGATGATTTCTGAACACGATACTTTAATGCCGTTCTGATGCCCCGACCGGAAAGATTTTTATCTTTTTCTTATGTTCTTCGTTCCGAAGCAGCCTGCAAATTTGCAAAACTGCCCGAGAGTGGGGCGTAGAGGCCAATGGTCGCCTGGGTGTAATGGATGCAAGCACCGGGTTGGTGTCGTCACAGTCATTAGATATTGGTTGCCTAGTACCCGATTATTTTTGTTGAATCTGAATCGAAATCTGAATCACCTGAATCTTTGTTGAATCTGATCGATCTATCCTCATCGAGAAATCAGCTGAGAACTTATAAATGCGCTTTTTTCGTGTTTTTGGACTTTTTAACAGTTCGAATTGTTCGATGCCAGGGCTCATTAGATTGAGCCAAAAATTCTGAAAATGTTTCAATCTGTCAAATGGCTGACTGATAAGAGTTGGGGAAAAATTTTTCAAACAAAATGCGCTAAATAGGCGCTAAAAATCGGCAAAATAGCTCTTGCAAGTGAGGTAATCACATCAAAAAAACTTTAAAAGCAGCTGAAAACGTTTTCATTTTAGTCTTCATGTCACAATCCTAAATTTATCAGCATATGAAATATCAGGTGAACGCTACTAAACTGACGAGCCTCCGCTACCCGTTTTTAGTGTATCATAAATTCTACTACCCTAAAACCTCGTGTATAGGTCCGGTACAATTTGGTTCCGTACCAATACAAATGACACCAAATAATGTGCGTAGGGTACAATACGGCGCAAAAGCTATGTAAGCCAAAAGAGCCGGTTCTCAGGGCCTCATGCAGCAATTTCTTTCATTAAAGCACTCAAATTGTTGGAAATAGTCGAAATACGAACAAATATTCCATCAAAATTGCAAAAATACCATTCGTGAGCGGCGTTATTTGCAAGAATCCGAAAAAACGAAGCACACCTAATGACGGTCATACGGAATTACGGACGCTCCGTACAAATGAAAATTTTCACCCGGAACTATCCACGAGGGGGAACTATACACGAGGTTTTAGGGTACTATTTTTATCTTGTAATTTAGATCTCTGCTACGGTAATGGATTCCCATCGGCAGGTCGTTTGTCGTTAGTAGCGTTGCGTAGCTCCTGGCCCAACATTAGAGATCATGAAAAGTGAGAGTTCCCAGGCACCATGTGTTGTCCTCCGAGTGAAGCTTGTGAGTGCTGGTTGTGGTGTTTCACCCTCTACTCTCTAGATTTCCCCTGATCTCTCGCTTTCCTTTTTTCAAAAACTAAAGCCTCTCTCCCCCCTGGCGACCGAGGACCCGCGAAACCCTTGGTTTGCATACCTTTTTGGGCCCTCATAAGCGTTTTCTATTGATTTTTAGTAATTTTTATCGCTGATTTTTTCTTATTTCTTACATCCTTAGTTGCTCAAAAAGTTGCGTTATTAAATAGCCCTTTCATAGTTTATTAAGACAGAGTTTTCCGAGAATTTTGTCGGGATGTCGGGGAAAACTTCGGGGGTTTTTACATTGTCTTTTCCGTTTTTCGCTTAATTATAGAAATGATTTGTTGGATTTTAGGCTGTTATTTGAAGACACAACCATTTTTCCTATATATCTTCTTGTTTACATCTTTCACGGCTTTTCCTGGCCATTAGCATATGCACTATTTCTGCCCTTTCTGGCCTCGGGACCCGGATTTCTTGGTGTAAATAGGAGCAATAAGACCGGATTTCCAGATTTTATCCCCTAAAAATATTTATCTATTTTTGCTTTACTATAATGCATTTACTTTATAATTTACAAAATCAGTGGGAGGTAAATAGGTATCCTAAGACTCAAAGGCAAAGGCATTCAGGAAGCACGCATATTTTTGCCTTTTGAAGTTCTAATTTATATTTCGCTATTTTACTATAAACAGTACGTTCCGCTCCTAAACCCAGTCTAGTCCGTCTATCGGAACGAAGCGGAACAACCCGCGGCTAAAGTCAATCAATCACCGGGCGCTAAACAGCTTTTTACACCGCTTGGTCTGAACCACCAGTCACCGCCCCAAAAACCTTGTTTTGATCCCAAGTTTTTGGCGTGGAGAGAGAGAGAGAGAGAGAGAGAGAGCGACAGAGAAGGAGAGAGAGAGAGAAAGAGAGAGCGAGAGAGAGACAGAGAGAGAGAGAGAGAGAGAGAGAGAGGGAGAGAGAGAGGAAGAGAGAGAGATAGCCTTTGAAAAAGAGAGCAGCTGCTAATTCCCATCCGATCGTTTTGCAGACCCAATTCCTCGGTCAGCTATATGAGCATCGTTGCCCCCGGGGTGTCGATAGGCACGGAATGGACGGAGGAAAGGCACCGGTAGATGGCTCCGAAGAGGATGAACATGAAAATGCGCGGATTTACCTGCCGGACCAGGTTCTCGATGAAATTGGTGAGTTTCTTTGTGAAAAATTCATAATTTCTAATAACCTTTGCTACGATTTTTTTTCTACTTTTTATAAACCGGAGCTTTGGAATCGATTATTTTTTTAAATTACGCCATTGAAATTTATCTACTTAACCAGGGTTGAAAAGCCGCTTCGCGACTTTTCAACCCTGGCCCCCGTATAACCCCCATGCTTCATCACTTTGCATAAACACCTGCATTCCTGTGCAAAAAAAATGAAAAGCGCGTCCTCTCCGCCATTATATAGCCATCCTCCACTTCCGGTGCATGCAAATTCATTCCTAACAAAGCGGCTGAGCGAGATTTTCAAAAAAAAAACTTAATTTTAATATCGAAAACGGCTGTTTTTTAAAAATCTCGTATGCGTGCAGTCGTGTCATGACCATTACGCACCTAATGACGTATCATACGTACCCTTAACTTTCTCCCCTATTGAGATACGACTGGAACATACGGACGGAAGTTGCATGCAAATGCACACACACACACACAAACACTATTTTTTTATATATAGTAGGATAATTTTGGACCCATACCTGGTTTTCATACTTTTACCCATTTTAATTTTTGTCGAGTTTTCGGATGATTATCAATATTTTTTGCCTAGAAACAGAAAGCCTTTTGAGACTTTTGAAAATTAAAAATGTTGTAGCTAGTTTTGCCCTGTTTACCTTCTAAATTTCCATTACGTTTCCAGAGGACGGCAACAATTCCCTGCCAATTTACATGGGAGCAGCAGCACTATGTTGGACCCTTGGCTCGATGCCCCTGATGGCATCGAGTTTCACGGCCGATACAAATAATGCCACCATGGAGACGCTTGTCTCGGAGGTATCATTGCCTTAACTAATTCCTTACTTAATCTTCGTCGCTATTTTTTGGTGTAGTAAACTATATTTAATTCAGTTAGACTATGAAAATTATCACCGATACGTTTAGTTCAACCTTACCGACTCCCGTGCGTACCTCGCCGATCTTCCCACTTCTGCCTATATGGCTGGGAATATGATTGGAGGGCTGTTTTTGACTACTGCTAGCGATAGGTAAGAGTATAATGGATCGAAAGTATCTTCAAAAAACATATCTCAAAACTTAAAAAATGCATCTAACCACCATGTTCCGAAATGTGCACATTAAAGGGGCTCCGAACTGCCAAATCAAAGCCCTTTTGGGAGGCCTCTTTGATTTCTGGCAAATTGCCAGCGGGTGCTGCGGGACGAAGGCCCTCACTCTTTCGATTTTTGCGCGTAGTTGTTTTTGCCCGGTTCCTTTGTGAAAACACTATAATTCGCGCATTCTGAGCCCACTTTTGAAATCCTCCCTCAATTTTAAATAGTTTTCGTGTTTTAATCATCAAATTTGGCTCAAAAAAGCCGAGAACGTGATTTCGAGGTGACAACAGGCAATTTCAAATTTTGCGAGCTTCCCGGCCCCTGGGCGTACAGAGGCCTCCGACGTACAGGGCTCCGATTTTCCGGCGGTCACTCAATTTTTGGCATTTCGTAGCCCCTTTAACGATGTCAAAAAGCGCAAACCAATCGACCTGTGCCGTCGCTAAGTGTCGACAGCTCCGTTTCGCTCCAAATCACGCGATCAGTCTGGGAAGGCCAAAGATTTCGACAAACGTAGAAATCGAAATTCGTCCTTTCGCGTTTGGGATAACGCAGTTATCGGCGGCGACAGGATTTTCCTAATTTCTTTTTGCTTTCACAGTTAATTCTGGGTTAATTTTTATACCTTTAAATAAAGACTTTATTTATTAAATCTGCAGCCGTTATGATCCGGTTAATAGTATGTAGTTCTAGCCTCTTTTCTTTTCAGATGGGGCCGTCGTCCCGTCCTTGTCTCGACTCTCATTCTCTTCTGGATCTCAGGGCTGCTGGCCGCCCTCTCCCCCTCAATACTGGTCTTTGGCATTCTACGCGGCTTTCAAGGGTGCTTTTATACGGTACGGGTCGTAATCCTGATAAGAAATCATTAGCTTATAGGGTTCAACAATTACTGCCTGGGTGGCCGGGTATGAGATGACGCCCACGCGACTTCGCGGCAGGACGACATTTTTGTTTGGGATGGCTTGGGTGAGCAATTTTTAAGCTTACTCGTTCTCTATCTTGACTATTTCTATATCTCTCACTCTCATTCTCTCTCTCTCACTCTCTCTCTCTCTCTCTCTCTCTCTCTCTCTCTCTCTTTCTAACGGCCTGCGTCTCCGCATCGGCGCCTTTACAACGAGAGAGAAAAATAGCTAAGGAGCGAGTGAGAACAAGAGAGGGCGAGAGACAGAAAGAGAGAGAGAGAGAGAGAGAGAGAGAGAAAAGAGAGAGAGAGAGAGAGAGAGCTTGGTAGAGCGTCTTTTCGAATGTCCGACCCGATAATCCTATATTTTTTTAGGTAATCGGTTATACCCTCGTCGCTCCTCTGGCCTATGTAAGTACATCTTGGCGATGGCTACTCGTCTATACCGTAATCCCATCAATCCCATTTTCATTTTGGGCGTTGCGGTAGGTATTTCCTATCGTAGTTTTTTACCCTTTTTAGTTATTACCCGGAAACCCTGCATTTTCTGGCAAATCGATCAAGGGTCCACGAGATGGAGGGCTGGTTGCTAAAGGTATGGATTTGTGTGTAAGTCTCAAAACAACTTAATTTTTTTAGATCTCAAACCGTGAAAAGCTACAAATTCAGGCTAGCCAGATTCGATGCCAGGCCGTTCAAGAAAAGTACGAAAATTTATGAGATTCCAGGAAAGGTGGTTTTTTTTAGAATCGACGTCTGGCGAGAAATTTGGAAGCACAAGATTTTCCTACTGTACAGCGTAATTATGATTTATTTATGGTAGGCTGCTAATTCAAAAAGACTTTTCATTTTTTAAACGAATGGATGTTGCTAGGAAAAGCATGATAAGTTTTGAAAACAATTGTTATAATTGAAGTGTTAATACTTTGAAGCCGATATATTCCCTAAACCTCACTCTTTTCCAGGGTTTGCGATACCTTCACCTACTTCGGTCTATCCCTCTACAGTACCCAGTTATCTGAAGGGAAATGGGCCAGTTACGTACTGATGGGAGCTGTCGAAGTACCGGCCTATATTTTCACGCCTACCCTACTGGACAGGTGAGTTCACTTCATACTTTAAATCGCCTCTAACGCCGAGAACTGCAGCCAGTGACGTGGATAAAAATGGCATAAAAATTCTAGGTTTGGCCGTCGTACCATCGTGGCATCAAGCCATTTCTTGGCGGCCCTGGCTTTTTTCACCTTGCTTTGTAAGCCGGGTAAGTTAAAGCTCAATTTTTTTTTGCTCAAAATGGGAGTCAGGCTGTAAATATTGATAATTTCCCCTTTTTAGGTGAATGGCTAGTACTCTCAATCTGGCTGATCGGAAAATCGGCGATCACTCTGTCTTTCATGGCACTTTTTGTGTATGCTAGCGAGGTAGGCGAATTTTATAAATTGCTTCCCAACTTAGTTAAGCACAATTTAACTTATATTCATATTATATTACACCATAAAACCCATTAATATTCATATTTTCATATTTCAGGTCTTCCCCACCAACATCAGAAACGCTTCCGTCGGAATGTGTGCTGTTATCGCGAGGATTGGAGGGATTGCAGCACCACAGATCAAGAATATGGTAAGAAAATATTTCTTAGTTTTGTATTCTATATTATTAATGTGAAAAATTCGCAAAATTCAAAACATTTCAAAAAGCTCTGATTTCAGACCCACATCTCCGAAAACCTCCCGGAAGTCGTGCTCACCGTCATCTGCCTGATTGCAGCGTGTGCCACCCTGTTGCTACCGGAAACTGCCTGCAAGCCACTGCCCGCCTCAATTTTGCAGAGTGTCGAGAAGCCGACTGCGAAATTGATTGGAAACTCGGAAAAGTTGGAAACTGTATAGTTTTGTACAAAAATGGGATAAATGTATACGAGTTAGCCTTTTAAAACAGGCAAATAAAAAATATCTTTCTCTTTCTCTCTCTCTCTCTCTCTCTCTCTCTCTCTCTCTCTCTCTCTCTCTCTCTCTTTCTTTCTCTCTTTCTCTCTCTCTCTCTCTCTCTCTCTCTCTCTCTCTCTCTCGCTTTCTCTCTTTCTAGCTCAATGGCGATCCAGAGGGTCAACATATGCAAATCTCTCTCCCATCACACCACACGTTATGAGCACCAGCTTTTAAAGGAAAAGTCACTCCACGCAATACCCCGAAATACCCAAAAATGACAGCTGATCCTTCCTCATCTTCCCCATTCTATTCCCTAAAATCCCACAGATTTCAGTTGACCCTGATCCTAGCTTTTGGGCTCTATTCCATAACGGCTATGCGGATAAACCTTGGATTCGCTACCGTATGCATGGTTAATTTTACTGCGCTGGAGGAGCAGCCGACGAAGTTGGAGCATCAGGTAAAACAGGAGCTTCTGTTGCTAAAAGCTGAATTTAGACGAATCAGGCACTTTTTGCCGATGCCTCTGGGTGTAAATCCGATGAGGTCCTGTGGTCCGAGAAAAGCGGGTATAATGTGAGTTGGAAAAGAGAGAGAGTGAGAGAGAGAGAGAGAGAGAGAGAGAGAGAGAGAGAGCAATATAGAGAGCAATCAGCTTCTGCAACCTCAGGGCTCAATCGTCTGGACTCGTGCTCAACAATCACTGGTGATGTCGGCCGGATTTTATGGTGGTTTGGTCACGATATGGTTTTCCGGGTATCTAGCCGATCGACTCGGACCGAAACTGATTATAATAGGTATCTCCGAAGGGCAAAAAATACATGGTGCGTTTAGGAGCCTTTATTGACTATGTTGCGATGAGCCTTGCGTCTCCCTACCTCGCGTCATCTATGCCATATCCCGTATTTTTCGCTGCTAGGGTTGTGATGGGCTTGGGCGAGGTGAGCCTGTAGGAGAACGTCGTCTTCATATTAAAATCCATATCCCTACCTTGCCAATCCCTTTCAAGAATCGATTACGCTAGTAATACCTATTACTTCAGGGCTTCTTCCTCCCATGCCTGAGCGCCTTAACTTCAAAATGGTTCTCCGCCAACGAGAAAGCATCTAGCGCAGCTATTTTCACGTCTGGAAATGCTGTAAGGAAGCTACCGTCCATAGAAACGTAGCGTACAGATTGGCGCCGCACTGACGCCACCAATTTCGGCTTTTCTCTGCTCATCGCCACTCGGATGGCCAGCCGTATTTTACGTTCCAGGCTTGAATTCTTTGGGTTCAAAAAAAAAACTGATAATTTTCAGCCGGAATCGGCGCTACGGCTATGCTATTATGGACATTTTTCGTAACAAATACTCCAAGTGAAAATCGATATGTTAGAGGTATGATATAAAGTTGATTTTTATTGCTTTTTCTCATAATGGTATATTATGGTGGTATAATCATTAAATCTGAAAACATCCGGATTTTGCAGGCGCCGAGAAAAAATTCCTAGAGGAAAATCTGGCACTTCCGGCTAAACTACCGCCTGTAAGTATCCAGGGCTAGAGATAATAAAGGAAACGAGAGAACGAGAGAGAGAGAGAGAGAGAGAGAGAGAGAGAGAGAGAGAGAGAGAGGAGAGAGGAGAGAGAGAGAGAGAGAGAGAGAGAGAGAGAGAGAGAGAGAGAGAGAGAGAGAGGGAGAGAGGAGAGAGGAGAGAGAGGTGAGAGAGGAGAACGGGAGAAAAAGAGAGGGAGAGAGAAAAAGAGAGAGATTAAGATTGTTTTCACATTTCTATTATGTGCCCCAATTACCGTACCTAGGGCGTATCAATGCCATGGAGAAAACTGCTGTGGTCAACAGCTTCCATGGCAGTATATTTATGTACAGCCGTCGATATGGCTTGCGTGATTATTACCCAAGCATATCTACCCCAGTTCATGAAGGAGGTGCTGAAGCTGCCGATACGAGAGGTTGTTCTGCTTTTGCGATCAATTTATGCAATCCATAAACATCAAAAATTCTTTTTAAAGGCACCAGAAAGGGAGAAATCTATAACAAACCTCAAAAAACGTATTGTTACAACGTAGAGAAATTTTCGGTGCATTTTTAGTGCACATTAAAAACCAAAAAATAAATTAATTACTTGAGAATGGTCTCTACACGATGGTACCGTTCGTATGCCAAATTGTCACAAAAAATCTGGCCGCTCCGTTTGGAGATCATTTGAAAAGGCGTGGAATCCTTTCTCACACAACTGCTGTAAGAACTTTCCAATCTATCAGTAGGTGTCATTAGGTGTACTTCGTAGCAAGAGTCCGCTTTAGGCGCCTTCGGAGCAGCAACCTGTCTATATCTAATGGCAATCATCCCGGATTGTAATTCCCCTTCGTTAGCCCTGCCTCTATTGGCGTTATACGGTATAGAAATCCCTAAAGAACACCGTAATTTGTACATCTAGGTACTTTTTATTCCACTTGCACAATGGGGTACTTTACATCGATGCTATCGATTGCTCCTCCATTTGCTGGGACGGTGGCATCGATTTCTCGGACCTACGGGACGTTGGGTCAAATTTTTGGCACGAGTTTTGTCGGCGCGCTATCGTTTTTGGTGGGTTTCAGTACTTAAAATTTTCCTTGGCCGGCAAGAACTATTAAAATCAAAATAAAGTAAATAAATAAGCGTCTTTTCGTGATTTGGCTTTAAAAATCACTTTTGCAGCTTTGTAATTTACTTTCCTACTTATTTTTTGTTATAATCTTTTACTTATTCACTTTTAAGGCGCACTAATCGTCTAAAAGTCCCTTTTTAATTGCTCCTTATAAAATTTTCTTCAAAAAGCTTGTGACATTAAATTTCTTGGTCCTAAAACAGGAATTCTACGATTTTTAGTGTGAAAAATCGTGCACTTTTTCTGTTGTTGTCAATTTTAACACTTTTAGACCCCAATCGCCCGATGGCAGACGATTTTCAGCACGCTAGCCACCTTGAAAATTGCTGCCGGGCTGTTTTTTCTACGCTTTGGCTCTGGTAAGATAGTAAAACTGCGATAATACGACTCAAAAACTAACAAAAAACGTAAAAACACATTTAGCAAACCCTAAAAATCGTGAAAACCATGAATTTTAGCCGACGTCCAACCCTGGGCCCACCTCCCAGAGCCGGAAAGCAAAAAGCAAATCGAATAAACGCGTGCAAAAGTGTCAGCACACACATTTTGTCTACAGAGTGATTTAGAAGACCGTCGTGTGTATCTCATCATGTTGTGGGCGGGGGTCGAACCGGGGCCTTGCGGGCGGCAGGCGGGGAAGCATACCCCCAGACCACGCCCATAGGCTGTGGAGGGTGATGGAGGGCGCTCAAGTGAAATGGGCGCCGTCAAAAAATGCTAGCGCGCGTTTCGGACATTTGTAAAAACTTATTGTTTTCTAAAGGTAATGAAAATTCCGAGAATATCTTTAATTTTGCTGATACCTTCTTTATTAGTTCTCTATTAACTTAGTTCTCTTTCATATACCTTTTTGAACCGGCCGATTACATAAAAAAGTAAGTATGTAATTTTCTAGAGCTAGTTTTAACCCGTTTCAACACACGATTTTTAACGTTATTTCTAAGCTAAAAACAATTCATAAAATTTTTCTAAAACTAATTTTTCTTGATAGATTAGCCTATACCTTCCGCTTCCGCTCTATTAATCTTTAGCTTCCTTTGCGAACCACGGGAATGCAAACTAAAAATAGCTGTATATTTTGTATCACCTCAAGTCTTATGGTCTACTTTTCATTTAAAAATGCTTTTTTGTACTTTCAAACACGTAAAATAGCTCCGAAATCGTTTGCAGAGCACTTCAACCATCATCAAATTCTGAATTCCTTTATCCTCATCATTAAAATTCGCTAAACAAGGCGGGGTCGTACAGTCAATTGCTCTGGGATTATTCACCGTCAATATTCGCGAGTATGAGAGAAAAGTGGTGGGAGAGAGAAGGAGAGAAACGAACACATATAAATTACCCAGCAAAAATTATTTGGGGTTTAAAATCGGTAGGCTTAATGGAGGAAGGGTAGGAGATGCCAGAAGGGCTAAATTAAAATTTGAGACACACTTTAAGGGGGGAGAATTCAAAAACGTACTAGGCACCGGAAACAGAAGAGAAATCGGGGGGAAGAAGCTAGGAGAAGCACTGGGTGGTAGAAGTTCAATAGAGGTGGCGATTCAGCTAGGCCGAGAATCAGGTAAAGGGCGCCCGCGTGGGGTTTAGCCCAAAACCGTCACAAGGCACGGCCCGGCCACATAAAGTAATCACAAAATATCGATTAGTATTAAGAATACCGACAATATAGAGCAGTACAGTATGGATTTCGAGGGGTAAAAAGTACAAAAAAGTACAAGAAAACCCTCGTCATCAATCGCCGAGTAGGTTCCGCGGGTGGTATGGGGTAGGATTGGGTTTTTGGAAGGACGAAAAAATTCTCAAAGCATACAATTTAGTTTTTAGAGCCCAATGCTACCCGCCCGCCGGGCGGAACCCACTTTAACCTCAGCATCCTTCCACCTTCAGCTCTTCTTCGCCCTCCTTCTTCTCGAGCGTCAGCGTGGTGAATTGCTGAAAATGTGATTTTAAATTAATTGGTCCCTTTTTAAATGAAGCTGACTTTTATGTGTCTTTAAGTGTCAAGATGAAAAATGCAAAAAACACGCTTTTTCGAGCAAAATTTCAACATTTTAATTTTGCTAAATACTTTTCGTTCTAGAATTCACAACTAAATTTATAAATTTCTATAAATATAAAAAACTAATCAAAAAATTTCTCTTGGTAACAATAAATAGCTCAGTCTTTATAAATTTAATTTAAATTAAAAACTTTAAATTTAGAGTTAAATTTATCTCGAGAACAAAAAGATAAATATCTAGATTCATAGCAAAAAGAATGCCCCCCCACCCCGATAATGCGAAAGAAACGTAGTTTGTATGTTTCGTCTATAATCGTGTATTTTCTGGTTCGTTAAAAACACGAAAACCCTTAAAAACGCTCGCCAAACACAAAATTTGAATAGAAATCCACAATCCTCACCTCAGCAACCGTAGGATGGATACCAATCAGCCTGTCAAAGTCCCGTTTCTTGGCGCCGAGCTTCAACCCGATCGCGAAGCCCTGCGTGATCTCGCCGGCGGTTGGCGTCAGGATGTGATACCCGACGACGCGTTCCTAAATGACGTTTTTCTACCGTAATCGCGGAAAGCGCACCTCTTGATTGCGGACGCAGATGAGCTTGCAGTAGCAGTGGTTGTTCTCAATCCGGTCTTCGTTGATCACGTATTCCAAGGGTTTGAATGCGCCGTGGTAGACGATGATGTTGTCCTAAAAAGCCATATTTTCAACGTAATTTTGTGTTTTGACAATCGTGGGCCGTCCTATCAATCCAGATACACCTGGAAATGTAATAGCCAACATTTAATACTGTAATTTTTATAAAAGTTCGCTAGATTTCAAGCGGAAACAATCATTTAGAAAACTTAGAAAAATGCCTCAAACATTTTGATCATGAAAAGATATTTTTCTAGTTTCATCAATTCTATATATTTTTAAATTAAGCTTTATATTGCAAAAACGCAGCTTTGAAAATAAGAAACCGAATTACCTGGCCATATTTCTTGATCGCATCCTCTTCCGACAGTCCGCAACAGCCATATTCGAGCGGAGTGAAAACAGTCGTTGGAACCTTGTCGTACTCGGTCTAAAAAAATTTAGATCTACTTAAAAAAAACAAGAACAAACCAATTCATAATTTCCCTGGAATATGCGACGAGCCAGGACACGACCGGCTTGAATGGCGACCGGGGTCAGCTCGGGCTTGCCCTCCAGAATATCGCCGATAGCGTAGATCCACGGAACCGAGGTCTGCTCGTGCCGGGCGACGATCTAAAAACGCATAAAAACTTGTTGGATATGTTGCTACCTTTCCACTCTTCGCCAACTCGATATCAACGACGTCCGTTTTCACATCAACATTCTGGGGCTCACGGCCGATGGCGTAGAGAACCTAAAAAGAATGCATAATTAAACGAACGACAACCGATTTAAATGACGAAAAAGAAAGACCAAAGCAAACTTCAAGCATTTCTTAAACTTTTTTGAAAATTCTTATCAAAAATAGAGTGTTTTTGCCGAAAAAATCTATAGTTTTGTGTTTTTATTACGTTATTAATTACCGTTGTTACGTTAATAAATAGCTAAAAGTAATTTGAAATCTGTACTCTATTTATATTAGCAAAAATTAGCTTCGAAGAAAAAATCTAACAATCTAACAACCTACCGTGTTGAACTCCTCGGAATGCTCGGTCTTCTTGCCCTCGGCGTCGATGGACACCCAGTGCACGAGCAATCGGCCGGGGGCTGTCTTCGTCTTTGGCTCGAGCTGCTCGATCTTGGTCGGAATGCAGCCCCTAAAAGTATTATTTAAAAACAATCAGACCGGAAAACCTGATGAAATTGATGCCGTACGCCTCCATGTGCTTTCCGATCTTTTCGGAAATTTGTTGGTCGAAGCCGCGCAGCAGGATGGAGCGCACCATGACCTGAACAAGGAAAAAAATAGATGTTTTTCGGAGTATTACATAAAAATTCATATTATCGCTGTATTAATACTTACCGAAACTTCCAGGCCGATTCCCTTCAAAAATCCAGCGCATTCCAGCGAGATGTAGGAAGCACCAACGCATAGGGTCTTGCCAGGCGAATACTTGATCGAGAAGATGTCGTCACTAAACATTAAAATAGAAAATTCCACTGTCCGATACTTTGGCATTAGTGGGGGGGGGGGCTTTTCCTGTTTCTGTTAGCATCCAATTTATTACAGGAAACCATTGCCTCCCCCGTTAATGCCAAAGAATTTCCCATGCTTACCTTGAAATGCAATACTCCTTGCAGCCCGGAATCGTCGCATCAAATTTTGGCCGCAATCCGGTGGCGACGAGGAATCGTGTGGCCGTGTAGTTGGTGACGACGCCCTTCTTGTTCTTGCCGCTGACCTCGTGCGGGCCGACGAATGTCGCGTAGCTGTTCACGTATTCGACCTAAAAAATCCAATAAATTCAACAAAAATAAAGCTTACATTCTTCTCGCGAAGCTGTACTCGATAGGCCCAATTGAGTCCGGCAATGTGATCATTGATGGCGTCGCGCATGGTCTTCCAGTTGTGCGTGATCTCGCCTTCCGGGAATTTCCAGCCAAACTTTTTGGCGTCCTCTGAAAAAAATATGGTAATTCGAGCGTAATTTTTCTAATATTAATAGAGAATGTTTCTACATGGTTTTTACTATTCCCAAGCGTCAAGGTTTTGCAAAGTTGTATTAAAAAGTACAAAAAAAAAATCGATTTTTCGATCAAAACCGGCGGATTTTCGATTTTCGAACGTTCTTGTGAGTTTCCGCCTCCCGATTTTTTAGAAAACATCGCTTAAAACTTGCTAATAGATCCGCCAAGCAAAGCGCCCTGATGCATCAGCTTCTTCGGAATACATCCAACATTCACGCACGTTCCACCAAGGCCCCATGTCGTATCTTGCGTCGAGGGCTTCACATAGTCGAAGCAGGCGACTTTCTTGCCGAGCCTAGCGGCTTCCTTTGCCGCTGCCAGACCGCCAGAACCACCTCCAATCACGATCAGGTCATACCTAAAATTTCAGTGAATTTTTGAAGGTCTATTCTTACTGATGCTCCTGGAACCAAGATTTCAGCTGGCCGTTGGCGACGAGTTTGTTGACTTCTTCAAGCCCGCCGACGCAATCACCCTGAAAAAATTAGGTAAAAAAAAGAATACGCTTTCTTACCTTGACGTAAACAAGTGGCCAATTGTCGCGTAAGGTTAGCTTTTGAAAGTCCTTTCTGGCATCTTCATCGACGTGGACGACGACCGTGTTTTCGATTTCTTGACCTCGGAGAAGGTTGACGTACTGAAAAATGGAGGGTTTTAGGTGAATAGCTGATCCAAGACAAAGAGAACGAGCTCTTTATGACACAAAATCCCAAATCAAAAACTTTTAGGCGACTTTTAGGTGATAAGTTTCACCAAAATTAAAAGATCGTAGTAAGCCAATCCTGGCATAAAAAGTAAAAGCTGGCATTACCTCTTCTAATCTGTGTTGCACGCTTTCCGAGTATACAACGGCTGCTGGCGATTTTGCGATTGTCGTAAGAGCCTGAAAACATGTATTCAAAACTAGATACTGGCTAACCGCGCTGATGGGAACTGCGGAAGAGCCGAGGCGGGCCGCGCGCGGAGCCATAGCCCCGGCCGTTGATGCAACGGCGCCCGTTCTGCGGTTTGACGCGCCGGTGTCGACGCGAGCTGAAAAAGAACAATAAACAGATAAAAACCGAATCACACGAGCCACGGTTGCCTATAAGAGTTTTGCTAAAACAAGCCGTTAGCGGGTTCCAACTCATTTTAATTGGTTCGGGAAGCGGTCATTTGGGAGTTTTCAAAGAAAATTAAGAATTCTGGCGCTATTCTAACGATTTTTGGATGAACGTTGGGGGGGGGGGGGTTGGCGCACTAATAGTAGAGTAAGTTTTCTAAATAACGCTGCTGCTCGAAAATTATAGCAAAATTTGGTATTACCTACTTTTTAGCGTGAAAATTCTTTTATGCACTAACGAAGCGAAAATGAAGCCTTGAAAACTGTGTCCACGCTTTATTAATCTACGAACACCGTCTCTGGTAAAGTTACATTATTTGAGGTTGGAAATGCAATTAAAACCGGAGATTTTTTATTTGGTCAGAGTAAAATATCGCCAAAAATCAAAGTTTACCAACTTGGCTGACTTTTTCCTTACCAAGGGTTCGTAAAGCAAATATTCGGGCAGTTTTCACGAAAGAAAGCATAAAGGAGTCAGGACTGGGGCCTAAGTTTCGGCAGTAAAGGGCAGTACAACCCAGAGAAAGTGGGTAAACAACTCGTAATGCCTATCGATTTGAATCATCCCAGGATTTGCGAAATCAGTAATTTACTAAAAATACAAACAGCTGAAAAGCGATCAATGGGGTGATGTTTTTGAACGGTTTCTTTTGGCATTTCGTTGCTTTCTAGTTGTTGTGTTTTGTGGCGGGAAACCGGGGGGAGGAGCCGGTGATGGAACATGGAAAAGGGAGAGGGAGAGCATGCGACCCCCTAGACAGCCATTTCGCACGAGGCCGGGCGAGTAATCGGCCAAAATATACACAAAGCCCCGGCCAACGCCATCAAAAACGGATCCTAAACAGATGTTGGGCGTTCGGCAATCGATAGGAAAGCTTATTTATGTGGATCGATCGATCTATCGTGAAAATAATGCTAAAAAGTTGTTCTTTTTAAGAGAAAGACCCAATTAAACGAACCAAAATTAAATTAAATCGGGAAAATCGATAGCAAGAATAAAATTTGAGCTTACAAAACCAGTTTTACTGCTTGAAACTAACTCGATCTAAACTAAGTCTAAAAGTTAATCGTGTCATTTTTCTAAAGAAGAACAAATCCACTACACGTAACAAGAAAAATCTAATTGATCGGCTTAATTTTTACGCTTGTTAAATCTCTAATAAAAATCGGCTTTGAGCTGAAAATGTGGTTTCAAGCGACTAACGTTATTTTTGCACTGTCTGAGCCAATGTACTTTGCTCCGAATCCAAAAACAGACAAAATCTGACGAATTTTTGGTTGACAGGCGCGATAAAATCGTGTATGGAACTTGATGGATAGTTTTCACCCCGAAATCTCGAGTCGATCGTAAATTGGCTGAAATTTGAGACGGTGTCATGACTTTAAAAAAGTTGCCCAAAAATCGGACGGTAGAAAAATGTGGCCTTTTAGGCACGTGAAAATCTTTACCCTTTTTCAGGCTCGAGGCCGCGATTTCAAGGTGGTCAAAGGTCGAATTTTCAGAAAATCAATAGCGTGTTGCGTTTGGTTTGATGATAGTGCGATCAGAAGCGTTCTAGACGGGAGGAAAGTGCCCGTCGGGTCCCAGCGACTCCGATAAACAAACACAAAACAAGCCAAGGAAAAAGCCTCTAGCACCCACCTACAACGCGCTCGCGGATCGACGTGAAGAAGCGGGAGAAGCGTCCCGGGCTGCTCGTCCTGGAGGCCTTATCGCCGGCAGGGCACTCCATCGCATCTTTCCCCGGGCTACACAATACGCGATATTACAAAGAACGCACACAGTTTATTTGGGCTGAAGGCAACAGACCGGCGGCTAGATAAGACCGGATCACGAGGGCTGCCGGCTAGCTTTCTACGCGTCATTTAAAGGGCCGTAGAAGGCAAAGTTGGTTTAAAATTTAAATTTGGCATATATAAAAATCAGGCTTGTTTTGAATTAGAGAATTTTAAAAAAATTGGATGGATACAATTTTCCGAATGACTCGGCGCGGCAAAAATTCTCAATCGTTTTCTTAGATTACAATTTCAATTTTAAAGATCGTCGGTAGTTTTAAAATCCTTTTGTAGAATTTGGAGTTTGTAGTTTACGTGATTACTGAAACTACAAAGTTCTCACGCCAATCTTATGCTTTTTACTGCGTAATCGGCCGAATTGTCAGCATATTTTAATGACGCACGCCTAGGCAAAAATGTGCTAATGTTTGCTTTTCTCGTGCCAGAGCAATATTTGTAGTTTGGAATGTAGCGTAACTATCTGGTTCGAAAAATTTAGGACAAATAATTACTTATTTTGTTAAGAACGTAACTATTTCGGCTACAGATATAGAAAATGGCTGGTAAAAAGAGCATTTCTCGTTTCACGAGAGCCAGACCGTCGCCTTCAATGGCCCTTTAAAAAGAAGTTACGGCGTTTAATAGAGATATAATATCAAAGAATATGATCTATAAAGTACCGTAAAGACCTTCTCGGTATGCAACATAGCCGACCGGCGGCCGCACCGGGCCCTCCATCGTCCATTCGGTCGGCAGAGGAGAGGGCAGGTGAGACGACCGGTTACGTTATGCTTCCGATTTCTCTCTCTCTCTCCCTCTCTCTCTCTCTCTCTCTCTCGTCTTCTATGGCTGATTGCAGAGCTCTGGAACTGATGCCCAGGAGATTCTGAGAGAAGACAATTTCTAGTTGCATCAGCTGAATTACAGGGGGTCTAGGAGAAAATTGAGAGCGGGGCAAACAAAATGTGACAGGCTTGGGGATTGGTAAACTGAACTAGCGGAATTTGGAAAGGTAGAGATGAAAGTTTGATTTTTATGTAAATAACGTTGCCCGCTATTAAAATTGAACCTTTCGGTCGTGAATTGCGAAAAACATCCGAGAATTACTTAGTGTCGTCTTTGACACTAGAACGATGAAATTGGATAAATCTGATGTTAATCTTTTCTTCAATGGGGCTGAGGAGTATCTTAAAAAATCTGAAAAGTGCCGAAATCGACCCTTCCGATCGACTAGGTATCGACAGCTACGCGTCACTCCAAAACACGTATGTCAAAGTCTATGGATTAACCAGAGCATATGGATTTTGCTTGATCCCGACGGCCAAATCAGCTATAAAATTAACTGGAACGCGTCATTTTGCGCAATAAGTAACTGTCTGGACCTAGAAAATATAGGAGGTTGATTTTCACAACTATGGGATTCTATGCAGAGGCTAGAATAAGAAACTTCGAAATTTGGAGATTTGGCTACAATTTAATGAAATTCCAACCAACGAAATTAGAAATGAGAAAATTAACTAAATTACCAGGGTTGAAAAGCCGCTTCGCGACTTTTCAACCCTGGCCCCGTTTTGGACCAATGAAAGTTTGTACTTTGCACAATTCGGCGCGATACACGCTGAAAAAAGTGAGAAAGGCGCTCTTTTTTTCCTTTATATAGGCTCCTCCCACTTCCGGTGTATGCTAATTGATTCCTAACAAAGAGGGTCCCGGATTTTTCAAAAAAAACTTAAATTTAATGTCGAAAATAAGCGTTTTTGATAAATCTGGTATACGTGCAGTCATCTCCAGACCATTACGCACCTAATGACGTATCGAACATATCCCTAACTGCTCCCCTTCTTGAGATACGACTGGAACACGCTGACGGAAGTTGCATGCAAAGTGGCACACACACACACACACAGACACTATTTTTTTATATATAGTAGGATGGTTTAGGATTGCAATTTTTCACGAATTTAGCCAAGGTTAATTATATTGCATAAATTTAGCAAGTTTGAAAACTTTTAAAAATTTAATTGATTAAGAATGTAGTTATTTAAATGTATTTTAAAGAACGTAGCGTATTGAATATATTATAATAAATTTATTTAGTAGCTATATTTATATGTTATACGCGCCCTTAAACGTTTTTATACTTTATATTTAATTCCAGCCCGCCCGCCTCCACTACCCTTCTCCAGAACTTATCGAAGAAATCAGCAAAAGATTCATCGAAGAGGAAAATTATGAAAAATCTGAGACCGAGACTGATACGGTAGATGGAGAACACGGAGATGATTATCAGGAAGCTTATGAAGAGGAGGCAGAGGAAAAACCGCAAAGAGGAGCATCTGTCCAATTCTTCAAAGCGGAACCCGTCTACACACCTGTGGTCATCAAAAAGGAGCCAAAAGTGGAGCCGGAAAAGGTAAAATCAGGATTAAGCGGATGGTGAAGACGGAGATTCTAGCTTTTTTTCTGGCTGGGTTTAGAGAGGTACGAAGGACACCAAAATACGCCCAGGGAAACCAAATTGAGCTCATGCGCGTCATTTGGAACGTCGCGTAGTTGTTGAGAGCTGGAAAAGCGAGCAGCCGATTTTTACGCTTCCTAGGCCCTTTAAAGTTATTTTAATTCATACCACGGTTGAAAAGCCGCTTCGCGACTTTTCAACCCTGGCCCCGTCTAATCCTATGATGTTCTCTATTTTGCATAATCGTGCCTCAATTCCAATGACAAAAAAAATGAAAAACGCTCCCTTTGGGCCTTTATATAGGCTACTGGAACTTCCGGCGTATGCTAATTTACTCCTAACAAAGTGGATGACCGAACTTTTACGAAAAACTTAATTTTAGTATCGAAAACAACATATTTTACAAAATCAGATATGTGTGCAGTCATCTCCAGCCCATTACGCATCTAATGACGTATCAAACACCTCCTCAAACCCCCCTCTAGAGATATCCTCCGGACACGCTGACGGAAGTTGCATGCAAAGTGGCACACACACAGACACTATCAACTATAATAATTTTGCTGTGGTCTCTGTGTGAAGCCGAATTCAACTCGAAGGGGAAAGGAGCTAGAGCTTAGCTCTCTTCGGATTCGGATAGAGCGCCGTCAGAAACCCCCAAACTGATCAAGATCAGAATTTCAAAACTTTATTTTCATATTTAAAAATCGATTTTAAAATACGGCTAATACATTTTTGGCGGCAACGTAAGGCTACTTTACACGTCGTGACATGGTGGGGACACAGGGAGCGAAGCAATGAAAATTTTCACGTGGCTTTCGCGTTTTCTTTCTTTTGTTTCTTTCTTTCTCAATCTTTTTCTTTTTCGATTTACGTTTTCGATTTTCGATTTACTTTTCCCGATGCGCTACATTTTTTGCATATTTCATTTCCATAACTTCCGGCCTTCTCCTGTCTATTACTTTTTCCAGGTAATCCTCATTGGCTGCCCTACTCCAAACCGGATCGGGCGGTGCTATTTCGCATTGCCGGTAAAGTTGATCTTACGACTCTTATATATCATTGTTTAGTAGCACACACAACAACAGCCCCTCCGCACCTCAAGGCGTCCTTTGCTGCGCATATCCACGGGCAGTGCCATTCCGGTAAAACTCGCGTTTCTTTCTTCTTTACATGCTTTGCCTAGGTGCCATCGACAGCGCACCGCCAACTCCAGGCATCAAAGCCAATCCACATTGCCGGTAAAGTTGAGTTTGCTTTTGTTACATTCAATGCTTAGGTGCAAAAGCCCAAGCGGACTGCAGCCACCCCCGTGCAAGTCATCGACAGCCTCGCGCTCCTCCATCAGGTAAAGCTCCTTGGATCGATCGTTTACGTTTTCCATTTTAGGCGGGTGCAAGCAGGAATCCACAGGCGAACCCGCTTCATTCCTCACTGCCAGGTAAACTCGCCTTTATTTTTCTTTCACTTTCAATACTTAGGTGGAAAGCCACGAAAACCATCAAGACGTCGGCTGTGCCATTCATTTGCCGGTAAAGTTGAGTTTACTTCCCGTATATGCGATGCTTAGCTGCCAACAACCGCAAGCCTTCCATCACAACGCTTCCTCCGCCGCGCACTACACGGTTGAACCCTTCCGGTAGGGCCTTTGGATCGATCGTTTACGTGTTTCATTCTTAGGCCGGTGCAAGGAAGCATTCAACGGCGAGTTTGGACCTGCACATAGCCAGGTAAGCTCGCGTTTAGTTTTCTATTAAATTGCATGTTTAGGCGCAAAACAACAACGACCACTTCTCAACGTAAATGCCGCGCGCCAGGTTGACAGCCGCGGAACGTGAGGCTGCCGCAGCACGTCGCCGGGAGCAACAACAGGCACGCAGGGCTGCCGAGTCGGCGGAAGCGGCGGCGGCTAGGAGGGCTGCCAATGCAGCGCAAAACCAGGCCCGAAGGCGTACCCTGTCACCCGGGACTGCGGCGGCAATTCGACAAGCGGATGCTGCTCAACATCAAGCCCAGCACGCGCAGCTCACACCGATTCAACTAGCTGCCGTGAATCACCAGCGCCAAACAGTTCGGCAGCAACGAGCGGCGGCTGCGATACGCCCAGGACGGGATCCGGCCTCGCGCCCCGAACAGCACTATCTCGGCGCTATGCTCCGCCTCTGCCTTGGCTGCAATGCCTTGCATTTCGAGTCGGAAGGCAATGGCCGGCGCCCACAATCGTTTCAAGCATGCTGTGGCGGTGGACAAGTCATCATCGACCCATTTGGAGACACGCCACCAGAGCTCCGTCTTCTATTCGAACGGGACCACAATGCCGGAGCAAATTTCCATCAAAACATCCGGCTCCTGAACGGCGGCTTGGCGATGGCGTCGATGGCAGGAGATTTTCAATCTCCGCCTGGACATGGGCCGTATGTTTTCCGCATACACTCCACCCACTACCATCGGACGGGCCCGCTTCGCCCCAACAACGGCCAGCCGCCCCAATGCGCGCAA